CAATTTTCCAACAAACCATTTTCCGTCAGTTCATGTTCGCCTTTAAGATAATCCTCCAAAACATCAACTTGAAATATCTTTACTACTTCGAGAACTGAAGAAGTGAGTTGTGCATCGCATTCAATTGAAAAATTAAGTTTTCCGGTGTACATAAAAGTGAGCATCTCGTTGAACGCATTTTTGGATACATGATCACTCAAAGTTAAAAAAATTGTTTGCGGTTCTTCAAAATGAACACAATCATAGGGTACATCCTTATTGCTTTTTACCAGAAAAAGTCCACAAACGCGACCACAATTAATGTCCCTACTTGTCAACTTCCCACCAAGGTTTCTTTGGGATTGAACGGCATTCAGTTTGTTGAGAGCGGTATTTCGGAGGAATATACGACGGAACATATTAGATGTACAACATAGTACTAAGCGATGCGCTTCCATTTGGGTTTTATCCGAGAAAATGAATGTTACATCAGTCCCACATTCCGAGTTACTTAGTAATTTTTTCATGTTCTTTGAAAACAAAGATGGTTCTAATGCCAATACGGGTAATGGACCTAAACATCAAAAGGTTCAATCGTTAAAAAAACAAATTTCCTATGAATAAAATCAATGATTACATGTAAAAGTGATTCAAACGTTTTCAGTGACACACGTGATTCACCCATAGAAAACCGCTTAAGTTTACTTGTTGCTTAAATTGCCACCTACAGCAATTAAATGATTATTTTTTGGCGACACACATTTCTCCCATTTAAATACGTCAAAATTCAAGTATTTTTAAGACAGGAAGAAATCAAAACAGATCGTTTAAGTCAAACGAAAAATTTCACGTCGATAAAGTCTCGCTTTTTAACAGCTTACAATCAATCGATGAAATTTTTGTTTTCTACAAGTTTGACCACTTACTGGGTGAACATATTTTTAGTTCATTTTTGTTTAGCTATTTATATCTCAATCAAACATGAACAGTTTTTTTCATTTGATAAGTTAAATTAACTCATTAGTGTTTGACATTTTCAGTGTTTTGACGTGCTTTTATCTAAGTTCGGAAGCAAAATTATGTTTACAATTTTCATGTTAATCCATTGGAAAAGCAGGTGTAAAGGTGCGAAAATAAAAGACTTTTTCATCAAAATAAAATTTATCAATAGGTACAAAATTTTAAACAATACTTCCATTGCTGAGAAAACAATTTAAGAAATGCAATTATGCTACGGATTTATACACTCAAAACAGTAAAAATATGATGCAAGAAATATCTCGACTGACATAAAGTTAAAACAATAAGCTAAAACTGCAAAAATTTATAAAAACCGTGACTCATTCCAATCCTCACTCGCTATCTTAGCATTTATAAATGGATACACAAGTGGAGGTCAATATTAGTTTCCCTTACCTCAACAAATTTTGAACTCCTGTAGTCAATAATTTAACTTCCTCCCACCCCAAACTTTCACCCAAACATACAGGTAACATGCCTATCTAAATTGCAGAATTTGTCTTTACGTAAAACACAAGACAATAGACACTTCGTATAAAGTAAACATTATTTAATCTAAACGTTTCGACAAGTGTTACATGTCATCATCAGTAGAAAAATGTTTGCTTTTCAAAAATTACAAATTGTAATGTGTAATGTGTAATGTGTAATTGTAATGTGTATATGTAACGTGTAATTGTAATGTGTATATGTAACGTGTAATTGTAATGTGTATATGTAACGTGTAATTGTAATGTGTATATGTAACGTGTCAGTGTAATGTGTATATGTAACGTGTCAGTGTAATGTGTATATGTAACGTGTAATTGTAATGTGTATTGTGCAATTGTAATGTGTAATTTGTGCAATTTTGCAAATTTTTAACTCGTTATTTGTAATTTTTGAAAAGCAAACATTTTCCTACTGATGATGACATGTAACACTTGTCAAAACGTTTAGATTCAATAATGTTTACTTTATACGGAGTGTCTATTGTCTTGTGTTTTATTAAAATACTTTTTGGTAGTCGTAATTGTCTTTACGTTGTATTGAGTGTTTAAGATATTTTGCAGTAGGGTTTTTACCATATTAGCCTCTCTATAGTCTATGCCTCCCTAATAAACTCAGACCAGTAAAATCAAAAGATACTTTTCATTGATTTTTACCTCCTGGCAAATTCCCCTATACAAAATTTATGCCTCCAGTCAAGAAAAAAAACATGAAAACTCGTAGGCAGTAATCGCCTCCCGCCAACGTAGTTTTGCATAACCTACCCAAAAGTTGTAAAAAATTAGAGCAAAAAAAAGAAGAAAAAAACCGAACTCACATGGCGGAGGAAGAAATGGAATATTAGGTGATCGTCTATTTTGTCGTAAACCAAAACAACCAACAGATGTTCTACTTGGTTGTTGATGAATGTAATATCTTACAGCCGTCTGAAATATCTCTTGAACTCCTCTGTTTTCCTTAGCACTGCTCTCGCAATATATCGCTCCTAAAATACATTCGTATCTGTATGAGTAGTAGTACTATAAGGAAAAACAATGCAAAAGTAAGAAATAAAATGAAATAAAAATAAAAGTAAAAGTAAATAGTAAGTAAAGAGTAAAGTAAAGTAAAGTAAAGTAAAGTAAAGTAAAGTAAGGGGAAATAAGTAAAGTAAAAAGTAAAGTGTAAAAGTAAAAAGTAAAGAGTAAAGTAAAGTAAAAGTAAAGAGTAAAAGTAAAAGTAAAAGAGTAAAGTAAAAGTAAAGTAAAGGAAGTAAAAAGTAAAGAAATTAAGAGTAAAGGTAAAAGTAAAAATCAAGTAAAAGTCAAATAAAGGTAAAATTAAAGTAAAGTAAAAGAGTAAAATTAAAAATAAAATTAAAATAAAATTAAAAATCAAAATCAAAAATTAAAATAAAATAGAAATCAAGAATAAAATTAAAAGAATAAATAAAAATAAAATCAAAATTAAAAAGTAAAATCAGAATAAAATTAAAATAAAATAAAATGAAATAAAAATAAATCAAAATAAAGTAAAATAAAAGTAAGAAATAAAAGTAAAATAAAAATTAAGTCTTGAGTCATCAGAAATAAAATTAAAATTAAAAATCGTAAAATAAAATAAAAATAAAATAAAATAAAGTAAATCATCATAAGTAAAATCAAAATAAAATCATCATAAGTAAAATCGTAAATCCGTAAAAAATCATCGTCATAATCATCAAACCCGAAATCATCCAGAAATAAATCCGTCAAAATCATCAAAATCATCCATAATAATAATAATCATCAACCGTAAAAAAAGTAAAATTATCTATCATCATAATACATAAATCAAAATCTCTAATCATGCAGTAAAAGTAAAAACAAAACAAGGAAAGTAAAAGTAAAATTAAAGTAAAGTAAAGTAAAGTAAAGTAAAGTAAAGTAAAGTAAAGTAAAGTAAAGTAAAGCAAAGTAAAGTAAAACATTAAGCAAATATAAACGAAATATATTGGTTATTTGGCCTACTTCTACGTAAATGAAATATACTACCCCTGAACACGAAAGACCACGCATGCGTAACAAAAAAAAGAATCGAGCTTTAATAGGCAATCTTGCATTTGAAATTGTGTGTTGTGCTTGTATCATTATATAGCAAAAGAAATGTGCTTTTTAGCTTTCCAACGATATTTTTATTCACATTTAATATAAACGACAACTTTTTTAAAAATAGACATGTTTCGACATCTCATGACGCCATCTTCAGTATGAATGAAATAATAGGTGATACAGGGTTTATATAAAAGTAATATGATACATAAAATTAGAACAATAAAAAGGAAATAAGATAATATAATGAGGAGTGTCCGAGCGTTTTATAAACTAAATATTGTATTGAATTTAAACGACAACAAACATAGCAACAACCTCAACCTAGACACCGAAACTCCTGACACGACGATCACAACCAACACAAATGAAAATTCCAAAATAACAACTCTATACTTCAAACTACCATACATCGGACATTACTCACGACACACACAACGCAGACTTACAAACATTATGAAACGCTTCTGTACAGATATTGACATTCGACTAATTTTCACATCATTCAAAATCAAAAACCTTTTCTCATTTAAAGACCCAATCCCTGATTCAATTAAATCTATGGTGGTATATGAATTCAATTGCGCGGGATGTAATTCCCGATACATTGGCGAAACTTCGCGCCATTTATCCACCAGAATCAGGGAACATACCACAACAGACAAAAACTCTCACATCTACCGACACCTTCTTAAATCTCACTCATGCAAAACCAACTATTCACCCTCTTGCTTCAAAATCATCGACACTGCCGACACCTCATTCACCCTTAAAATCAAAGAAGCACTCCACATTAACAAAACTAACCCTGACCTCAATGTTCAAGTTTTTAAATTCAATACAATATTTAGTTTATAAAACGCTCGGACGCTCCTCATTATATTATCTTATTTCCTTTTTATTGTTCTAATTTTATGTATCATATTACTTTTATATAAACCCTGTATCACCTATTATTTCATTCATACTGAAGATGGCATCATGAGATGTCGAAACATGTCTATTTTTAAAAAAGTTGTCGTTTATATTAAATGTGTATAGGCAATAGTGCTTTTACGAAATTATGGAAACGATATTTTTATTCCATAACAACAGAAATGATCGAATACTTCTCAAATAAAAATTGCGATCGAAATTGCATTTTCCATCGTTGAGAATAAAATACAGTTATTGAACATTGTTTAACGTGTGATACAACACAGGGAAAAATCCGCGTTTCATTTGCTATTTTTTGAAATGACAGTGAAATAATTTTAATTCCTTAATAATTTTATTAAATTCCTAGCGGTGAAAAAAAATGCAATTTCGACTTACAATTTTTATTTCATGAATACCCTCGATTATTTCTGACTGTTATGAAATGAAAAAAAAGCTCGCATTATAAAATGCACCAGAGCATGATTGATTTACTTTTTTTGATACACACTATATGGTATCAACTGACATATAACATTTGTTGATCCAGCTGTTGTGTCCGGATGCTTCTTCATGTGCAATAATATCCAATAATAACTCAAATATTATAAGCACGAACATTGACAACAAGAGGCGACAACGGCAAAGACAATGGCAACGCTTGGTAAGTGCAAAGTCTATAAATATGTACTGCAAGTGTAAAGTCTCTAAACACGTATGTACTGCAAGTGTAAAGTCTCTCTAACCATTTACTGCAAATGTAAAGTCTCTAAACATGTATGTATTGCATATGTAAAGTCTCTCTATACACGTACTGCAAATGAAAGTCTCTAAACACGTATGTACTGCAAGTGTAAAGTCTCTAAACACGTATGTACTGCAAGTGTAAAGTCTCTCTAAACACGTAATGCAAGTGTAAAGTCTCTCTAAACACGTACTGCAAATGAAAGTCTCTAAACACGTATGTACTGCAAGTGTAAAGTCTCTAAACACGTATGTACTGCAAGTGTAAAGTCTCTCTAAACACGTAATGCAAGTGTAAAGTCTCTCTAAACACGTAATGCAAGTGTAAAGTCTCTAAACACGTATGTACTGCAAGTGTAAAGTCTCTAAACACGTATGTACTGCAAGTGTAAGTCTCTAAACACGTATGTAATGCAAGTGTAAAGTCTCTCTAAACACGTAATGCAAGTGTAAAGTCTCTAAACACGTATGTACTGCAAGTGTAAAGTCTCTAAACACGTATGTACTGCAAGTGTAAAGTCTCTAAACACGTATGTACTGCAAATGTAAAGTCTCTAAACACGTAATGCAAATGTAAAGTCTCTAAACACGTAATGCAAGTGTAAAGTCTCTAAACACGTATGTACTGCAAGTGTAAAGTCTCTTTAAACACGTATGTACTGCAAGTGTAAAGTTACTAAAAATGTACTGCAAATGTAAAGTTTCTAAACAAGTATGTACTGCAAGTGTAAAGTCTCTCTAATCACTTACTGCAAGTGTAAAGTCTCTAAACACGTATGTACTGCAAGTGTAAAGTTGCTAAACATGTATTGCAAGTGTAAAGTCTCTCTAAACACGTACTGCAAATGTAAAGTCTCTAAACACGTATGTACTGCAAGTGTAAAGTTGCTAAACATGTACTGCAAGTGTAAAGTCTCTCTAAACACGTACTGCAAGTGTTAAGTCTCTAAACACGTACTGCAAGTGTTAAGTCTCTAAACATGTACTGCAAGTGTAAAGTTGCTAAATATGTACTGCAAGTGTAAAGTCTCTAAACACGTACTGCAAGTGTTAAGTCTCTAAACACGTACTGCAAGTGTAAAGTTGTAAATTCGCAAACATCTACCGCAAGAGTAAGGTCCCTAATGACCTACTGCAAGTCTAGCAAAGTTTTGGCACAAGCACTGCGGCATTTTCCACGTTAAATGGTCAAATACTAATGAGTCTCCGTCATTTACTAGAAATGACTACATATTTACCTTCTCTTAAAGCAAGACGAACACCTTCTACATGAAGAACAAAGTCACGAGATGATGCATCAGCCAGACTAAATTAAACAAAAATTGATTAAAAAGTAGCTAATTCGCATTAACAGAAGTTTTTTGCTGTTTATGTTTTGGACAATGGCGTAGCCAGTCAACAAATTTATTTATGTTGTGTAAATATCTCATTGTAAGAATTATCTACTTTTTAAGAGATTTTTTGTGTTTACAGTAAAGTTAAGCTGAAATATTTACAATTAAAATTGTGGGTTGCTTTCACTACTATAGATTTGGATAATATAATCCTGAAGAAAGTTCTGAATCCAGGGAGGGAGTATTCACTTGATTTTGAATTTGTGAAATTGTTATTATTGCAAAGGTTGTTGAAACATCAGTAGACAGTCCTTTTTAGAACTTCATTGATCCAGTCTCCTGTTGCATCATGAAATTTCTTTTTTCATTTCAATGCCAGCAAATGTAAACCGTAACAAATAATCAAAAAATTAATGTATACTTAAAGCAGACTGGTCTGCTGATTAATTCATTACAGTGAACTAACAACATCAAAGCAATGTTAAAAATTATAGGCTTTTAACATAAGTTTGAGACTTCTAAATGTTGGATCACATAGATGCTCAACTTTTAATCAAAAAATAAAGGTTGTGCAGCTTATGGTTAAAATAAACATAGAATGTTTAGCCTGGAATATATGACTGTTGGACGTAATTATCAAAGTTGATAAAGACAGGATGTTTAGCTTAGGCTTGAAAAACAATAGACATATTAATTTCTACTTGTATCATATTTTTCACTGGTACCACATTTTGCACTCTACGTAACTAGAGAATTAATTTGCAATATGTAAGCCATTTCTAATTTATGAATTTTAATATATACCATAAAATGCCCACACATCATGGAGCAGTTAGCAGAATTTTCAATGAAAGGCATAAATAAGTATGTGACTCAATGTTATTTTGCTAGAACACCAGGTCCATATGTTATCTTTCGACTCAATATTAAAAGAGAAAATTTATTCCTCTTTGTAAATAGGATTCTTTTTTGTCACAATTAGCAAAGGTTTTAGTCGTTGTGTAAACAATAGTTGATAATTGAAACATAAAAAGTTCAAAAAAATGGATATATGAAAATAATTGAATGAGTAATGTGATACGTAAGTCATTTTAAGTTGTCTTGTTATCAAATAAAGTGGTTCAATTAACTTACGAATGTGATGGCACAAAAGCACTTCATTTTTCAAAAAGCTCATTCCAAATGCCGGTCTGAGCATTTTCAACTGTATAATACCTTACCAACCTTTCAGATCGAACATCCATTTTGTTGCCGACTATAATAATAGGGGTTCCATTTTGATAGCGTTTCACTTCGGGAAGCCAAAGATTTTGCAACTGGATAAAAGACTCCCTGTTATTGATATCAAAGCAAACAAGAAAGACATCTGTCTGTGGATACGATAGGGGTCGCAGGCGTGTATAATCTTCATTGCCAGAATTATCCCACAACAACAAACCATACTCGTTGCCATCAACTAAAACTTCTTTCCAATACGAATCGAAAACAGTGGGTACGTATAGATCAGGGAACGTATTCTGATGAAAACGAATCAACAAGCTCGTTTTCCCGACTGCTTCTGATCCGACAAGAACTATTTTCAAAGTGGCCATATGATAGCGACTTGAATTGGTCGCCATAGTTTAAAATACGAATAACAATGACAGTTCTTGCCTTCGAGCTTTTGACATAACATACAAAATAAATGACACCTCTCCTCAAGCAAGCAAATCATATCCAGTCATGCTCTCAACCCGCAAATTCTACAGAAAAAAAAATGGGCAATTAAACAATCTATACTCTGTAAACGCTATTGTAAAAGCTTTTCAAGGAGAAGAAGATTTAGTCAAGAATTGGCATTACCAATCAACAATGCATATTTACCTGGATTCGATAGAAAAATATGCTTCATATTCTATGTGAAACGTAAAACATGATAAAAATCCTTATTTTAATTACATATTTGACGACAATTCATGATGAACAAAGTTTATCTTTTTTACTAAATTAATGTGTGTGGGTCAGTGATGATGACTGTGCTTTGTTTACGTGGTGATATGAGCCCACGCTATGTTCACTCAAGAACATTTCTGAGGAGCACACTTCGTGCTTTCTTTATTATTTTATTTGTCGGCCCGTTGTAACAGAACTCCTCCTCCTGAAAATTTTGTGTCATCAAAGGTGGAAAGTTTCGGAGGAAATTCACCCTTCAGTACGTTAATTTAGAGCCCTCTATCGTTAGATATACTAGGATATTCCAGTTACTTAAACAAGACCACCCTCCGTAGCCAAAGTCGCATTTTTATGAAATTGGTAAAGCTATTGAAGAATTGTCCTCAATGTTCTCTACTTTATTGCCGGCTGTAGTGGATCCAGCCCACTAATCCAACCTCAGTTAAAGTAAAGTATAGCTTTACAATTTGAAATGCTGTAACAATTTTATAGTAAAGTATAGCTGTACAATTTTAAAAAGGCCAGTGAGAAAGGCCAAAACGAATCGCAGATGCATAAAAAAAATGTGCTTGGGCTAAGGCAGTTTCAAATACCCTTAGTTAATAACCTTCGCAGTTGACGTTTCAAGTCCAAAGAAAACTGATGTAAAAAAGAAAAAAGGAATATGTGCATTCAAAAGAATACACAAGAGCATATTATCGCAATGCCTCCCTGAATGGGAAAATTAAGATATTCACAAAGACCTAGTTGAGGCAGTTAACGTATTTGAGCAAAAAGAAAAGAAAAAACCCGGTTTTCAAACATTAATTTGTACTTCGTCTTTGATAACAAAATTTCAACAGAATTGATCAGCCATTGCTTGTTTATTTTGTTAACCAATCACATTTTATCACGTGATTAAGCTAGCCAATAGCATTTCTTCAATCCTATAGATCACATGAGCGTGATATTTGCAAAATCAAGACTCGCCCCGGCGGCTCGTGGCCACTTTTAAATTTTTATCACAGATGACGTCATACCTGTGTATCTATAACTGAGTATATAACGGTTAAATGTTATCTGTTTGTTAAATGCACCATAAACTATAGAGAATAAAATTACTACAATCATTAGTAATTAACGTCGTTAGTATTCTCGATCAAGAGAATACTAATAAGGAAATGAATAACAATAAAACTGGCATAATAATATTCAGTTTTGTATTTTTATCGAAAGTGGTTTGTTTGACGAGAAAACAATATTGACGTTGACGAGACACAGAAGCACGGCTGTCCAGAAGTACAAATGTACCAGCAACATACTTTTGCAAAGCGTTATTAGACTCCTTGTAAAAGCTAATGAGCCAAAAAAGAGGCTGCAAGTACAAGCGACGAAATCGTCCCAAAAAAGGAAGCGTGTCGTAAAAGAAAACAATGAGATGTATTGTGACTATAACGCAGGAGATGTAACTTTTTAAGCACGATGAAAAAGTATTATATTTAACAGTATTATCTTAATTTTCATTTACGTCCACTTCATAGTAAGCAATACAGGGGTGAGGCTATCTAATTTTAGTTAGTGTGTACTTAATATTAGTTCTAGAACACAAACTTTTCAAAAACCTACCTGTAACATCACTAAAAGAATCGTACATGTGATAACATGTAATAATTTATTAAATAAGTCGACGATATTTTGCCTAAACACTAATGTATAGCTTTTTTGATGCATCCTGCCCCTGGTGTTCTAATGATTTGCAAAAAGCGTATGTTGTAATTTGTATAATTGTTATTTTGACTTTCTTTAGGTTTTCATTTTTGGTGAACATACAGCTATTCTATAAATATGCATGTCTTTTTAAGTTTTAAGACACATTCTTTATTATATCTCTGTCGTGACGACTTCATATCGGTTTGTTCTTGTTTGAATTCGAATCCAAGAGCACAACATTGTATTTATAATAAACTACATGATATTATTATAAGAAAACGATCTAAATTTGAAATTTCTTTGATCCACTTCATTAAATTAATCGATCATCAGAAACTGCATTTGCATTTCAGTTTGGAAAAAAAGGCATCATATTGGTTTTAATGTTTGAATGCTGTGAAAATATTGTTATACTGTCGTTTCCATGACGTTTCCACTCCAAAGGCTTGTAGGCATCACCAACTTTATTACATTTTTCCGTTTTCGAATTTTGAGCACTTTCTTTCATACCTCGTTTCCATTTCATCCTTCGATTTTGAAACCATATTTTGATCTGGTTTTCGGTCAGTTTAAGCTCTTTAGAGATCTCCAGTCTTCGAACTCTTGTCAAGTATCTGTTGAAATGAAATTCCTTTTCCAGTTCCACCAGTTGTTTTTGCGTAAAGGTGAACCTTCGTTTTTGATTGACAGCTTCTTCTTTTACTTCTAATATCGGTTTGCTTTTATTTGTGGCTAGTTTGGAATTTAAATTTCCTAAAACAAAATGGTAACCTATTAAAATTTAAGTGTTTGCTTCCTACAGATTTGAATTAACATTGTATGCAATCTTTCTTCTCAAATAAATCACTTTTCATAATTTAAGATTAGCATAATATGTTCAGTTTATGACCAATCTCCAATCGAGCTACATAGAAAACATGTAAATGCTGAAAAGGTATTTTAATTTCATACTACATTCATTTGTATGTTTTAGTTGAATTTGTTATAGATATTTTGTCGATGCGATTTGCCAGTATTTGAGCGCTTTTTGACACACTTTCACCTAGGAAATACATATTTATGAAAGCCATTATACATTCATTTTGACTCTAAAGATTATCAAGCATTATTTATACGTTGTTTATTTAATCGCTCATAAATATGTATTTCCTAGGTGAAGTGTGTCAAATACTGGCAAATCGCATCGACAAAATATCTATAACTAATTCAAAAAAAACATACAAATGAATGTAGTATGAATGTAGCATTTAAATCCATCAAATGGTTGCCCCAAAGTCCACACAAATACAAGGAAAAGTAAACGCAAATATCAATGTATTGAAGAAATTGTGTTGTTTCTCATTTGTTGACCAGAAAATAGTCGTATGTCACTCGTATGTACTCGTATGTTACTCGTATGTACTTGTATGTTACTCGTATGTACTCGTATGTCACTCGTATGTACTCGTATGTTACTCGTATGTACTCGTATGTACTCGTATGTACTCGTGTGGTGTTTTAGTCACGATCTATTTGTTCAAAAGCTTATGCCAGCTTTTATGTAGCAAATAAAATTTGTCAAATAAAAAATTGATCGTCTAAACTGCTCGTCAAATAAAATGTGGCGGGAAGTGATATCATGCTTATGCAAAAACAAAATATGCTTTACGTAACTCAGAAAATTATGCAAGCTCATAGACCAAGTTTGCGAGTAAAGCGAATATCCTGAATTAATGAAGCATTACAAACCTATCTTTAAATGTATTTGAAAAATTACTCGAATCGGTAAATAACCTTCTAGCATTAGCTAAGTCAAAATCATTTTGTATCGTGGTTTTGTCATGATACTTCACAAACCTCATCTGTTTAAGTGATTTTTTATACAACTTTTGTATTCAGGTCTATCCTAACCAAAATTAAATGCTCCAAGGACAATGGATAATCTATCCAGATTTTTACACATCCTTGATTTTGCACTGTTAATAATGAAATACCTCAAAGTGAATGTATGACCTTTTTTAGAAAACGACTTATGAACGAATAAAGGCAAAACACTTAAGTTGGATACCATGTACTCGAAAAATTATTTAGCTTGATGGAAACGTAGCTAAGAAGAAAAGTCGACAATATCGCATCTGTATTGAATCGCATCTTAGAAGCAGTGCAGCTGCACTGAGCGTCTAAAAAACAATTAATTAATGAAACACCTGAAATTACTTTTGCAATCGAAAAATTCCACGTAAAATCATTTGTGTTAAACAGTCCTTGTATTTTTACACTTGCAAGGTCAGAGATATCGTCCATAGGTGTATTATAGCTATGACACCCTTTTTTCAAATAATCAATTTTTTCATAATGGCCATCTTGCTGGATAAAGAGGCAAGCGCACATGCAATATTTATAGACATTCACATCATATAATTATGATTATTTTTATAGGTGTAAAATTAACGCAAAAAAACTAGGTAAACATTTTTCTTTGCGTAAAACTAGCAGCAGGCTAGGAAAACGCAATTTCAATATGTCAGATATAAAATTAAGCAGGCCAAAATGACTTGGTATATTATATCATGTTTTACATAAACCATAAGTTGATTGACAAATATAAAAAAATCATACTGTGAATTGTGTCAAAAATATGTAATAAAAAACTTAATATAGCTATAGATGCAGCGCCTGTCCATGCTCTCTCCTTAATACACCCATGAATTTTGCAAATATAAAAAGATTGCTGTCAGCAAGAACGAATTTTGCAGCGTCTTTCATACTTTATGGTAAATTAAAGTAAAATTGAGCCAAAATTGTACTTTTTCAAAAGTGATTCAATTATCTTCTTGTCTTTAATAGTTGATACTTAAATTCTCTTTTATAAAGCACACCTTTAATGAGCTGTATGAAGCCTAGGTCATAGATATTTCAGCAAAATTTCATGAAGAATCACAGCGTGATTTTAGACAAAAGCCGTTTTAACAATACTTTTCAAAATATGTTAGGGTTAATTTTCAAATATCATTAGGTAGCTATAATGTAAAGAATTTTAATTCCTTAATATATCTTCATCTTGCAATTGAAAAAAGTTTAAGACTAAGATTAGACTTGATGGATTGTCTATCACATTGACGTACGAGTTATGTAAAAGATTGTTACCTTACATAGATGTTGTGATTTTTTCAGCGTTAACGTTGGTCTATTCAACATTTTCGTTATCGCCCAAATCAACTGCTCGAACAGCAAACATCTATCATCCTTTATCACAAAACTATAGAGCACGCTAATAAGATTAACTTTTATTGAATTTTCTTCACACATTATTGAACTCTTGACAAGAATTTTCTTAATTGTAAAGAAGACATCAAAGAAATATGCCGATTTAACTGTGTGCGATCTCGAGGACTTAAAATATAAAATAGATTGAGATAGGATTCAAAAGAAAAGTAAACATGCACTATAGTAATAATCCCACGTGCAACCTTGTAATGACTCAAATTACAAACAATTGTAGTCGCAAACGACAGCGACCACATGATTTGATTCACTTTAAGGCTTCAAGCTCAATGTGAAGATAGACTTTGATATAAAAAAATCTTGGAAAATTTTAAAGCATTTTATCTGTAATGGATAAGCTTAATTTCTATTTAAAATAGTAATTCATATAGCACTCCTTAATTATTAAAATATCCCTGGGTGATACATCATATGGCGTCCATGATTTATTGGAAGTTTTTGGAACATGGGCTTGTAGCTATACACTTTTTTGAGAAGCTCAATAGAAACTACATATATATGTTGCTTTTGTGCAATAACATGTTTTTGGCTATAGTTTGCCATAATCTAGCTACAAGTATTTTGTTGTGTTGTCCACATATGAAGTTTTTGATAAAAATTTTCGTAATTCAACTTACCACTGATTGACCCATTTCGCTTTGTGAACATCCAGCGAAAATCGGAAGTATTCCATCGCTTCTTTTCATTGTTGACTCTTTCAATTCCTTTAGTTTTGTTGAGGGTCTTGTCGGCCGAAAGCAAATCCAAAAATGTTGGAGGAGTTGGAGTAGGACTTTCAATATCATATAGATTATTGCCATCAAGATTTGGGACCGCTGGCTTGTTAACTAAGGGATCATGGGCACGATAAAAGTTCTGAACAGGTCTATGAATCAATGTTGTGTTTACCACTGAATTATTATGGTTACTAGTTGGATAGTGTTGGTTTAAGATAGGTAGATGTCGCAGTGGAGGTGCAGATTGATAACTTTTGATATCTTCAAACTGTGATGTGGTAGAGGTGATTGAGTTTGATGTCGCGTAGACATACGCTCCATAAGTAAAGGGAATGCGATCCATGCATATAATGATCGCGAATTGAGCCGTTCTCACTTAGAAAATTTGTTATGGCAATTGATTGACAATCGGCCTCGAAGATGAATTGATCCAGTTTTCTTGCTTCAATGAACTCTCTGCTCCCATTAAGCACGCGTCGTTTCCATGTGCATGTGTAGTATGAAGACAGGTCGATGAATCAAAATTGTCTAAGCCTCATGTTAATACGTCTAGAAACTTCAACTGAATGTCGTTGTTATTGGACTGCTTCATTTGCTTACATTGTTCATTCTCAATAGATGGTGGACAATGCATCTGCAAGGGGCAGGACCACACTAAGAGAGTACAGATAAGATACTAACAAAAATCCACTTTACAACACTCCAGGAAGCAATATATAAAAATTTGTAATCATTATCACATACTGTTTGCTTTGTGAAACCTACGCAACGCAAGTGGAAATCGCTGAATACTTGTAATTGTAAATAATCGAGCATTTCCACCTAAAACTGCTTTGATGATTTATTTCATTTATGATTCTCGAGAGTGAAGCGCGCCAATCAAGAGGTAATGAAAATATTTAGCAGCAAATAACGTTTTACAAATGGTTTTTCACTCGTGCTGTGTAAAAGACTTGGTGTTCCTCCTAGAATATCTAACAGATATCAATGCATTTCTGAAAAGCAAATTTGTTTCTTGATCAATAAACACCCGCGGTTTATTGCCAGCGTTCACATACAAAGCCAATACAACAAAATGAATAATACAAGAAGCATGTTTTAGTCAAGCGTATAAGCGTATATTGGAATGACAGTATCTCTCATCTAAAATGCATTATTGTAAATAATAATACGTATGCTCATATTTGGCACTTCATCGAAGCTTCATTACAAAAAGCTTGACATTCAACGTCTGTTCCTGCAGTTGATTATTGACTGCCATAAAATGGGCCAACATGAAAGAACATTGAATTACTCAAAATGCAGTTAGATCATAGTTTGAGCTTGAGAAACAGCATCAAGCAATTTATGTTAGCATCTTGCTTTTTTATTCATTTTATTTTTATTAAAAGACTCGAAATATGTTTTTCTTTAAGTAAGTTCAGCATTTATCGTTTCATTACTTAAATTAAGTTGGCTTTAAGACACAGATCTTTATCTCGTGTAATTAATTATAATTTAGTTTATATCAGTTATCTTTAATCATTTTTTTGTTGTCCTCAACAAGTAGTTAAGTAATTATAACTATATATTGAATACCTTTGAAGACATATAGCTAGCAAATTTTCTGATAGATAATTCACAAATGTATCTTGATAATATAAATATTTTATATTAAATTTCTTTCAAACTAACTCAATTCAGGCAAACATGAATAACAATGTAGCTTATTGTATGTTCCCTGTAAAAGAAAGATAAAAAAATTAGAAAGGTTAGTGAACATTTCTGTGTTTCAATTCTTACATACCAATGTATAGTTTTGTATTAATGATATACTCGCACAATTTGTCTCTCGATTCAGAAAAGCCAAAATATGATGAACATATTCTCTTTGTCCTTTTCATTTACACAATTTGAAGCAAGAGTACATGTGCAGTGTATGTCTTCATTCTCTTAAACAACTAAATAAAATTTTGCGAGTGCAGCATTTCGTTTCTGTGCAATTGTTAAAATTGAGGTGAAAATCATTCTCACCATGTTCTAGGTGAATTTTTCTATTCAATGCTTTCTTTTAAGGCATACATTTGTTTTAGCATGGCAGTTGCTTGGCTGCATATGCATCTTGTCAAAAAATTTTATGTTCAACTGTGTATGAGATTTAAATCATTCTTAAAGTTTAGAAAGTCTCTTCATATGACAAATTTTCATAAAAATGATTACAAAATTTTTATCTTATAATCTTTTGCTTTTCGCGTATATTTTTCGTTCATTTCTTATGGTATGGTAACTTGACAACGCGCATCTTTGCAATCTCCTGTAGCTATTAGAACCAATCATATCTGGTTTCATGACCGCGACTTTGTTTTAACAAATCGGTGAAAAGATCTTTTGTGCTCAAGAAGGTAATACGAACTTGGTTGAATGAGGAAAAGGTGTTCCCACATATTGGCTTAGTTCAAACTACAAAAAGCATATTATAATTAACTCCGCCGATCATTTACTTAAAATGAAAGTTGTTACTGTACGATATTTGTTGATTTTAAAAAACAATATTAATCCACTATAAAAAAATGAGTCAAGTCACAATAACATGCATTTTACCACGAGACTCAGATTAACGTTACAAATTTAAGCATTCTTGTTCAAAAGTACTGTTAACAGGGCTCTTCATTTTGACCATAGCAGGAAGAGGAAAAACTGTATTTTTGAAGGATTTTAAGAAATAATTTTGTGGTTGCACATATATTGCATGTGCCTGACCATACATATTTTTTAACAGAGTGCAACATTTTTCATATTCTCGTATATCTTTAGCTCAATTTTATCCTAAATTTTGTGTTTATCACTGTGCAAATAAAGCAGCAGTAGGTTTATAATTGTTTCAGAGTCTTAATATATGTATGTGTTCATACTGATAGTCGGTGAATGCTGTCATCAAATGAAGAATGAACTCACGCTGGGTTTTGTTGGTTTTGCTGCTCTTTCTAACTTTAGCGGCTTTCAGTATCCAGCAGATAATATAATTAAAATGGTTTGAAACTTTAAACTTAATAAAGACGCCAAGATGATAATAGAGCATTCGTTTAAGAAAGGATGCTTCGAAAATGATTGTTTAGTCTGGAAGCCTCTTGTTGCTAGGCAGAGAAAAGACAAAGCTTCATCATAAAAGCAGTACAAATCGCTCTTGTGTGCAGTGATGTGTGGAAGTTAAAATTAAAATTTGTCTAAAATAGCTAGGATGTATGAAAAATACATTATTTGAAAAGCCCCTTCTGATAACGTTTTTAGACAGTTACATATTTGTGACGAAAAATATAATAAATCCATTAACATGTTCCTCAATTTAGCAGGTGTCATTAGACACTGACAGAGTCTATACAGTTTCCTGTTTCTTTATCTCAGCTGTGCTCTTAAGACAATAATTTTTGTACTGTATGCTTTATCGCTAATGTGGACTTCAAGCTCATTTTGTAAATATGTCTTTAGTCGGTTGTAGAAGCAATATCTAGCAAGTTCAAAGTCTAAAAATTTATCATGATATTTTATTTATAGAATCGAGATCATAATGGACATTGAGAAAGTATGGACCCAAGGAAAAGAAAGTTTTGAACTCTATGTGTGATAGTCAATTATATAGCACCAAGAGAAGTGTTGAAATTGAAGCAGGAAAGGCTACTAAATCTGCATTTTATAAATAATTTGCAAAGACCATGTAACAAAATAATCGTCAGAGAATACAATATACATACATATATATACAGACTGGCATGCTTAATCAGTGAAAGATACACTATGAAGACTGTTTTATGCAGAGCGGTGTTTGAAATTAAATGAAGATATGATCTTCGCACTTTGCTGGACAATTTAAGCAATTGTCTCATGAACCTGAAAAATTCAGGTGACTCAACGGGATTCGAACCCATGACCTCTGCGATGCCGATGCAGTGCTCTGACCAACTGAGCTATGAAGTCACACAGTGGTGAACAGGTCAATTGAGCGTGTCACCTGAATTTTTCAGGCTCATGAGACAATTGCTTAAATTGTCCAGCAAAGTGCGAAGATCATATCTTCATTTAATTTCAAACACCGCACTGCATAAAACATTCTTCATATGACATTCCTTTCGCGAGAAAACATGAGCCCAACAAAATTGACCTGCTCACTACTGTGTGACTTCATAGCTCAGGTGGTCAGAGCACTGCACCGGCATCGCAGGTGAGTCACCTGAATCCCGTTGAGTCACCTGAATTTTTCAGGTTCATGAGACAATTGCTTAAATTTTCCAGCAAAGTGCGAAGATCATATCTTCATTTAATGAAAGATACACTGTTATCAACTAGGGTTCTGACATTTAATCTAATAATAATTTAGATATTATGCCATCATTTTGCCAGGATAAATGGAGCACTATGCATTACTGAAAATACAAGATTCCCAAATACCTAGAAAATAATATCTTGGCTCCTGATCCCAGTCAGTCCACCCTCTCTTAGGGGTAAGGACAGAAAAGAGAAAAAGGTGGACAAACTAGTTCAAATATAAATTGATAAAATGGGCTAGATTTTACTGTAAACTTTTTTTTCTTCTGAATATAAATACAATCTTGTAATTGTTGCTTGATTCATTTGACGAAGATTCATTCAATGAAAATTCATATCATTTTTTTAAAAAAACTACTTCTAAATCTTATGAAAACATCTTCATGCTTAGTATTGCGTGCTTTATTGTCCTAGTTTTATATAATGACAATACAGGTAAACTGATTTTTACATGAATCATGCTGGATCTTTTTAAATTGTCTTTTAAAATACAAATCACTCAAAGTCATTACAGTTGCCATAATCGTTCTAAGTTATCTCCTCATCTGTAATTAAACCTGAGTAGCCTACACTCTGATTTCATGTGTTTCAAAAGCAACAAGTTACTTATTTTTCTTCAGTTGTACCACTTGTGGGAGTGTCTGACAAACAGGTATCATACCTACCGAAAAAAAAATTTTGGAAGATTTGGTAAGATTTATGAAGATTTGCAAAGATTTCATTTTTTCAAAGTATTGGCGAAGAAAAACATCACATTTCCTTATTTTCTTTTTGGACTCTACATTTTGAAGTATGAAAGCTTTTCAAATGAAGGATAAAAGGGTGGAGGATTGGAGGTATTGTCAATTGTTGACTATCCTACTTGGTAAACGTTTCAGGCTTAATTGAGATACAATTAAGAATTTATCGATCTTAGCATTTGACATGTTTAAAGATCACTGGTCACTGGATTTTTAAAGGTGATGCCGTATGTCATACTTCCAAGGCCATAATGAAATATGGTTCAAGGAAGAATCAAAGTCATGGAGAGGTCAAAATTTTCTCATGTCTTATTCCATACTTTCAAAATTCCATGTTTCTCATTTTACATTTCAAGAAAAATAGCCATCTAAAAACATTTCACCTATGGTGATGTTCTCGTACATCTCACGCTATGATTCTCACAGGTTTTTCCGGACATCTTCTGATTGAAATATTTCTCTAATCTAGTTCATGTCAAATTTTACATCAAATCATAGAAAAAACTGGTGTAAAGGTTAATGATGTAATCCATGTCATGGGAAGATTGTACAAAATATGTCATCAATCGACGCTTAGATTTTTAAGACATGTATTTCTCACTTTCGTTTCACGGTTCCAACACAGCAACGTATAGCTGACCATATTTTATTACTGCTGTTTTAAGCAGATCTAGAAAAATCGTTTCTCGGGAATTTTATCTTCAATTTTGGTGAAATTAAATATTTGGAAGACAGGAAACGAAGCAAGCAATACAACAGCCGTCACATGATAATCCTAACAAGGGAGAATCAGCTTCTCCGTTGGGGGTCCGTTTAACTGGCCGATAAAATAAAAAATAAAGTATGAATGGAATTTTTTCACAGCCTTAAACCAGTTGCCACAAGCAATTTTCTGCTGTCTTTGTGTCAAAATATTATCCCTGAAATTAGAACATGAGAAAATATGAAGCAACATCACATCGACATAAAGTGAGGTGTTAAATTTTCCGGTTCATCTTAACCAATCATAATCATCATACGGCTTATCACAGTGTACAAGATAGACGAGACGAAACCATCTATTGTATCAGGGCACAGATAGCCAGGAATAACATTGCACTGTCTAAAATGAAAAGGCAGTTGTGTAGTCAGACGGTCTATGATCGAAAGTTTGTTGAAACTAGCTACCCGTTTATTCCTGCGATACGAGATCAATACGAGAATGTTTCAAATGCTACAACAGTTTCGTCAAACTCTTTAACTTCACTAGTGAGCCTGATCACGGAGTTAGAGATGCAATATGGAGGGTGGAGCAAGGAGAAATCATACATCAAAAATTACGACAGCATGCCATCTAACGATGGAGAAGTACGACTTGAAAAAATTCTTGGATCAAATGATGACGATAGTCATCCCACTAGAAACTCTTGCCGATTTCAAAGAACGAGAAAAGGTAATTAATGCTAAGTATACTTTTAGTTTATCTTGAGCGGGTATTACTTAATTTCGGCAAACACAAATATACTATGTTGAAATATAAGAGAGTTTCAAAAGTCAAAAAATGAAGATAACTTGATGGCATTTAATCTGAAGAAAGATTTAGTTTTTTTACCACAGCGACACCATTTACACTTAACAAAATGACAATCTGGCAAATTTTCACATTAGCACCTAAAATTTACTTCAAATTCACAAATAATATCAAAGAACGGATTATTTTGTAACGTAAATGGACATAACACGATTCATGGCTCCTTAGGTCTACAATCGTATGTTGTTTAGGAGCCATTTTCTGACGGCATTTGAAAGTCTACAGTGAAATTCAAAATAAAGAGCACGGTCAATTATGTATATAAACACAAATACTTTAAAATATTAATAGATATTGTTATCACAATTAAATAGAAAACGGAAAGCTTTTAACCGGTGAAATCGTGTAAATGCTGATCATCACACAGAAATCGTTTGTTTTAAATTAGATCTCGTACATTTACGACGCAAATTAAAGCAACAAAAACAATTTTGCGGTTTAAGGGCTTCGATGAATTTGCGCAATGCGTTCACTTTCATATCATTTGAAAAATTGATTCTTAAAGCAATATGCCGACAATGGTTGTCAGTTATTGAAATGTATATTTAGTAGCTACTGCAGCATTTAATATATATGTGAAACGATCACGACAGTATTTTATGTCTACAGCAACGCTGTATCAATTCTGCATTTTAATTGAGTTTGATATTACATTCTTCTTGTTCATGGGAATAAGATCATGACTACTACTCGTATAAAAAATGTAGTTTCTTCATGATCCTAAGATCAAGTCAAGGATTTTTTTTGGAAAAATAGAAATTAAGATGTAGATTCTAAACAACCAATTCTCATATGTCTATTTGTCATATCGTATGACGTATTTTACACAGTAAAATAATACAATAACACAGTACAATAGAGATATTTTCTTCCTAAGTTTATTTTACTGGTGTCAATGAATATCATTCAAATCAAGTTACAATTTTTTTTATCAAAATTTAGTTCATTCTTAATCTCAATCCCTATTCCATCCTTTGTCGTTTTTGGTGAGTAAATTAACTCTTTCATCTAAAATCAAATTCAAAGAATTATTTTATTGTAATGCCAGTGGCTTAACAGTATCAACAAATTCCGTTGAAATAATGAGCGCGGTGTTTTCAAAAGACGCACAAAATGCTAATTAGTCACATCTCTAAAAACAAGTTTTCCAATGTTGAATGGGTGCATGGACAGGCTTGTTGAAAAATTGTATACCAATATGTTAAATGACAATGTGCGCTATATGTAGTAATGAAAAATCGCCAAATAATTGCTTTTATTTTTACTATTTGTCGTAGTCAATCGCCCATGTTCTTCAAGTATACATCGTTCTTGGCGCCCAATGATTTATGATTTCCGGAGAGCGTGCTAACGCAACATTTACGCATTCTGTTTAATGCTCGAAAATTATTATGTACATTCATGCTTTACACTGAAAGTATACTTAGCGTGTATATATATGTTTAAATGATTCAACTCGTTGGCGCAAATATAAGATGAAAAAGTGGAGCTCAAAATACAAATAACGGGATGAATGGTAAACTAGATCAAAATCTAGGTGAAATAATAAACGATTTTATTGACAATAAACATAGGCTAACGAGGTTAGCTTGAAGCAGTGAATTACTTGGAATCGCCTTAGAAAATTGAAAGTAGACAGAAAACAACATAAAAATACAACAAACTGTCGTATTTTTGAAAATTAACATAATAACATGGAAGCTAATTTATCTCTTGTGAATCAAATTTTAGAAAAAATTCTGACCTTTAAACAACCTGTATGACTTGTTAGTAGCATTCCACTTTGACAAGTGACTCATTATTGCGATAGCGGATTAAAATTATTAGAAAAACTGAAAAAGTATAATAGAAATTACGGTAAAAGCAAATCGTATTTAGATAGAATAACATCTGTAAAAACTGATTTCGCAAAATTTTACGGTAGAGCTGTTTATTATTTTGATAAATTTAATTAAATTATGGTATCTTCTGGTTTTCATCATATCAAATATTTTTCTGTTAGAGCACAATACACGTTTATGTAATTGAGCAAATAAGTGAAAAAGTTTATATATATCGGATACAACTGCTTACTCAATGCAATAATAGAATTCTATTATTTAATAATCCATAGCAATTGATCGTATTGAATTTAAAAATTTACCTACAACATTATCTATTTTGGTGGATATTATATCTGCCACTGATTGAAATCTTCATAAAAAGTTCATTCATACTCATTCTTAGAGATCGATGAAGCTCGTCAATAACCCAGTTATTTCTTTCGCAGCTATGTCGATTTACTCAAAAGAAACTTACTTCTCTGCATTCTTTTCTATATTTGACTCAAACAAACACTGGCAAAAATATCGTGGGACATGTTTTATAAAAATTACTCGGATTCAACAACCTGGAGCACTAAATATACGTTAGACTAAGACCTTGCAAACTTAACACAAAACAACACTGTCAATATTGGCATTATCTTTTCATATCCTTATTTTTGTATTGGCCTTTTGTTCCATTCATTATATTCACATATATACATGCATAGGCGTAGGAGAATGATTGAATGCATGTTGTAATTCACTGAAAACAGTAGATTTCATAATAAGAACTCAACACTATATATATTGCAAATATGAATTTTAGTTTCTCCTCCAGCACCCCCACAAATATCGATATTCCTATGCCTATGTATATATGGCATCCAAGCCTCAGATTACAGCACACACTTTGAAGTAGGTACCGTCCAGTTCACATATTTGGTAAAAAATCAGGTTAAGAGATAGAAATAACTGCAATATTTATTCTGTATAAACACGATGAGAAAATTAAAAATATACGTATGTAGCTTCCTGACATTGTGATGAAGACGTTTATGCAACAGCAAGATTCGTCCATCACCGCGTATGTAGATCAACTAAAAACACACAATTAAAACATAAATAAGTGCTTGAATGCATACGCAGGGGAAAATTTATCCATTTTTACCAACTTTTAAAGTTATAATGAACTATCAAATTTTCAAAATTCCATTCATGCAGGTTCAATACAAAACAAATTAAAATACATTTTGGGTGAGATGATCAGGCGGCAAAAGTTCTAGACAGAGGCGTAACTAGAACGTTGATTGAGGGGGGGGGTGGGGGGGGGGTGGTGTAAATTCATATATTCAGTTGTGCCCTGCTGATTTCTTTGGAAATTCAAATCACTTTCAAAAGAAATCAGTAGGGCACAACGGAATAGATGAATATGCACCTCCCCAATTAACGTTCCAGTTACGCCTCTGGTTCTAGATCGTCTTTGAAACTGTAATACCCAGAGAGCCCTAAAAGGTTATTGTTTCTTTCGATGAAAGACGGAATTTCTTATTTTTAAAACAGGGTAAAGTAAAAAAAGTCATTTATGTAACAAAAGGTATATATAATATATGAAATGATAAAACTGATGTAGTCAAATATGCTTAAAAAGCAAGTAAAATTTATACTGATTGCATCCCACCGATAGATGCATGATCACTGTGATGGCATTCCAGGCACACAAAAGGCAACAAATATTGAATGGGTTGTCAAAATGGTTAGAGATTCAATTCTGAAAAACGCCTTCAAAATGTGCTTTCTTTACATATATGTACCTTTATAATTATATACTCCATTTAGCCTAAACAGGGTGTATTCTTTTCGTATCTTATAAAAAAATAAAACTTAGGGACTATTAGAGAGGGTTGACTTTATTGAGGACTATAGTACACCGGATTCACTTTGTTTTACAAAATTCTCATCAAAATGTTTATGTTAATGAAATATAAGGCATTACATATAGATCTGTTAAGTTAGGAAAAAGCAACTATGAATGCTTCCCATCACGAACTCGACCAATATATAGAGCCAAAAATAGAAAAAATATTCATAAATATATTCCAAAAAAAATCATTCAAAGGTATATTTTGTATAAAGAAGGGAATGAAATAAAGAAAGATCTTAAAAAATTCTTGTTCTCGAAACAGAGGACTTAATTGAAAGGAAGTGTTGTAAATGGAGTAACAAAAATATGTTCATCCACACATATAATTAAATATTGTCAAGATAAATCATTTTGTCTCTGTTTCGTTCTTACTTTCGTTTATACAACTCATACCTACAAATCATAGCTGTATTCCATCTTCTATACATATTTTAAGAACTTTGTTCAAGCCAGGACTAAATTATAGAATTATGAAAAATGATTCTTAAACCGACAGCCTATATGGAGAAATAAATTCAAACTAAAATACAGTTCTGTTTTGATCTTATGTGTCATGTTTAAATAAATACAATATAGTTTGTTAAAAGCTGCGTTGTGTTTATTACAAAGAGAAGAGGACACGAATTAATTCAGGAAAGTAGAATGAAGTACCAAAAAATAATATAGAAAATTTCATAGATGTGTGACATATCTACCAAGGCTGGAAATTAAGGATTGTTACAGTTGTCCATCTTTTGTTCATTTGCAGATCTTATTCCTTTTAACGTAAAGCAACCATACAAGAGGCGAACGAGAAAGATATACGACAGTCAACAAACGCTTGAACTTGAAAAGGAATTTCACTACACTCGTTACCTCACAAAAGAACGCAGAGCGGAGCTTTCAGATTCGTTGCGACTGACAGAGAAGCAAATCAAAATATGGTTTCAAAACCGCCGCATGAAATGGAAGAAAGCAAAGCATCCGGTCATACAATATAAGAAAAAACTAAGCTCCAGCAGAAACAAACAAACTGAAACTAATTGTTAAAATTCAACAGTTGCCCATACGTCATGTAAGATTTATCAAAACAATAATATATATTTCTGCTTTTAGCTAGTTAAGAGTTTCATATAAACTTCACGTAATATATAGTCATTTTTGCGACAAAAATTGCTCTTTTGTATTTGATTCGTCCCTTAATTGTGAAGAAATACTTGCCACAATCAAACATTCTTAAAAATCGCAATAAATAATCGTATTTGTACGTTTAGCTATATAGAAGATAGACCTTTCGCCAGTGATGAAGTAAACAGGCAGTCGCATCTTTTTCCTTTAATGTTGACTTGAATAGTCAACGATCTTAGGCCAAATTAGACATTTCGCACCTGCTTAACGCGTAGCTAGTCAGACAGTCTTACGGAAGTATGGCACTTTCTCAAAATAGTGTTGTTTGAGAATGTGCGCCAGTCATCATGTCTATACATTAAACAGCAAATAAGTCATGAAAATTGGCTATGTACTAGAAGATATCAGTCTTGCGGGTAAAATAAAGATATGAAAGACACGAATGCCTTTATTGAATAATCTAAATGTACTTACATGTGTAATGTATATTAGCTAATATTAGAACAATCACCTAAGATAAATCAATAAATACATTTTATTAGTGAGTCGAATGTGGTCTTAGATAACTGCTGTGAAAACGCATTGTACATTTGTACTACAAGAATTGAGTGTCGTAATAAAATTACAAGTTTAAAACTCCTACCTATTTGATGTGGAATTTTTCTAAAACATGTCAAATAAAATTGACAAAAAGTTTTATTCTAGTTTTTTCTTAGCACTTTAAAAAAGTTACAATTACCATGTTTGAATACATACTATATAAAAAGCTCTATCGATAGTAAAATCAGTAAAATTAAGCATTGAGTAAAAATTTACAAAACCTGGTTAGCTAATTCAAAGTAACTACTTAGTGTAAGCCTAGAATTCATGTATCGTAGTTCGTTCGTCTTTACCTATATGTCACATCTCAGGCTTTCCTATTCAACAATTGTAATTTGTAAAACGACTTTAATTGTCGGAAGCCAAAAAATACGGTACTTTTTACGATAAACTGTGACGAGTAACGTTGCACAAAAATCAGCATTAATACCCACTTGAAGAAACAAAACATCTTTTGTTTTCACCGAATTATCTCGAGCGGAATCAAAGAAAAAACATAAATAATGACTTTGAAGATCAAGCAAAAATACAATATACAGGCTAACTTATTGGTATGGTTGTCTCAACTCAGTGCTGTCCGCCAGCATGCTGTGTCAGCAGTTAAAAGCCAATAACTCGGGCCTCGGTAAATATTTTGAATAAAATATCCAAAAGAGTTCATCAATTGTACTTTTCATATGATAATTTTTTTCATACATCCAGCCAGTATATTATATTAGCTGATACTCATGTAAAGAAACATCTGAAAAAAATTAAATTACTTACGTTTGGCAATGATTTGGGTGTTTCATTTGATGATGCTTTCATTTTAGAGTTTGGTGCATTATACTCAGGTTCAAAGTAATTGCGTTTATATTTCTACTATAGCTATACGATTAAAAGGGTATAAATCATTGGAAAATGCAACAGATGTTTGCATGAGGTATTAATGTCATCAAGGTACATTTTCCATTGTATATTTATGGAAACAACAAAATCTGGAACGCATTTTTCCAAAAGAATATCGTGAGGAAAAAAAGGATCATAAATCATGGGATGGCGATAATTGTTTGAGCGGCTGGCGTAGCTGTCAAAAATGAGATATAGCTGCCCACTTTACAACTATAACATGAGTTCTCGGTGCCATAGAACCTTACACAAGGTGCATACCAATGTCAAATTTGATTTATGCCCTCCGTTGCGATGAATTTAGAAGTCTATATTGCCTTCAGACTGGCGCCACGTAAATTCACAGTATTATATGCAAGCCTGTTTATGTAGAATCTTACATGATTTAGCGAAATACGTTCAAAATTAATCTATACTTATCTAAGTCTCGAGAGATACAATTTATCTAGTTCTACAACAATAAAGTTATTTATATTGGTTGAACCGTATACAAGCGAGATTATTGTTCAACATAACGATTAAATTGGTTTCCTCGCTGCGATTTTCACTTCATTCACTCTTTGAAGAGGAGACATGAAATCTCAGGTCACTTGATTGATTAAAGCGTAACTCCTTGGTGGCGCCAGAAGGCGCGTTAATCCCAACAGTTTTACACGTTTTCTACACTTTGGAAGGATTTTTTCTTGTCAGTTGCAATATAAACTTCAAAAAAGTGAGAAGCATTCTTTCTAATTTAATACAACACAAACAGACATGCTGCAATGATGGACTAAAACAACAAAATACAATTATCTTTGTTCCAGTTATTGTTGGTCAACTTCATTTCTATATAAAGTAACTGAATTAGGCTCATTTTTTGGCAAACATTGACAACTATAAACGTCTGAAATTAGACAATATCTTGAATTTGAAAATAAATCACGACAAAGATGTTAACAGTGTGAAATTATGTCATAAATCTTCCAAAATTGACGGGAGACTTGGTTGTATTTGTCTTTCATTGGTTGAAATCAATCACGTGCGATCGGATTGCAATTAACGTACAGTTTCTTCTGACGTTTTGCATTTCATGTGTCGTATTTGAAATAAATCATAAAACGCCAAACATGAACAACGTTAACCTTCCCACTAATTTGTATTTTCATTCCATTGATGTCGAGCAGAGCCACTCATCACAGCATGTCGACACAGGCCTAACAAGAAACGCATGTAGTTTGATACAGCCGATTATTCCCGTTCTTTCCACCAATGGTTATAACACCATTCCGCGACCAGCAAGTTTATGGTCATTTTCGAATACAAGCGCTGATTCTGAAGCGCTCTTAAACAGTGGAAACGGGAGTCAAGAAATACGAGGTAATGAGCAAGCAACAACAAATGGGATAAGTACAAACCAGGTATATTCATGGATGAAGAAAAAACGAGGGAAGAACGGACAAGAAGACGAAAATAGCGAAGGTAGGCGCTAACGAACAAAACTACACCCATAATATGATGTTTTTTTGTTTTAGCTAATGCCTTGCAAGCGTTAAGAATCGATATCGTTGCTTTTGCCGGCATATTTTACAATCTTGATAATAATTTCTTTATTTCAAACTTAGTTGAGATTTGTTACCCGATTCAAATATTTTTATAAACAGTTATACTTAGCATTCATCGAACCCGATTATTCTCTCAAACATATATTATATGCACAATAAATGTATGTTTTTGAACAGTCTATAAATCAGAATATAGAGAGCATCCGTATGTATTTTAAGGGTGGGCCATATACTAAACGCGTACTTTTATTCACAAAATTCAGTCTCTTTGTGAAAAGGCAGCCATGTATAAACAGATACAAACCAAAATAACCATTATACATTGAAAACACTTAACAAATTTGAGAATAGCTTTGACGTATTTTCACAGACTGGATTAAGAAAAGTGTACACTGCAATAGAGTACATGAAAACATTGCTGGAGAAACTATCTCCTTCGAAAATATTTGCTTCACTATAAATTAACTGTTAGATTGTGTTGACGCAAATAACAAAATGAAAGCCGTGAAAATTCACTTGTAGCCAAAGTATAGTCTGTTAAATATAATGAGTGGGTTCATTGTTCTCATTTCCTCAATAATAGTTTATGTCGCCATAATACAGAAAAATAAATCACAGAATCACGATATTAGTCTTTGAGCAAAATCCATTCAGATGAATAGTCTATTTACCCTACGCGTCCCTACTTTGATTGCTCTTTATTGTTGAAAAAACCATCCATTTTTATCCAGGCCATATGCCCATAGCTTTTCCTATCAAAAATGTTTCTCAATTAAGCAATTTCCTTGGATGGTGTAAAAATTCGCCCGTTTATGACACATTGCTGTTGTTGAGCAATATGACGCGCATTTAGCATATTCACTAATCTCAACACACGATGGAACACAAATAAATATATTGACGAGGATGAATTGTCTACACTATAGCTTGTTTACTGTTTATAAGCCTATATAAACTTAAACAAGGTGATTGTGCATTCTTCTATAGCTTACTAATCGTAAAGGAACATTCATAATAATGCTTTAAGTTGACATGAAATTGACAATAGTTTTCTATACATAGTGAAGTGTGTCTGAAATTGAAAATGAACGTTTTGGGTAGGAAATCACTTCACAAGGCATTCATCTCGTCGAAATAAAAATATCACGTACATTTTAAGGTAATTTTTACTTTCTCCATTGCACATTTAAGATCATCATTTATGGCTTCAATATAATCGTAAATTAAAGGATAATAAGTATATGTACCAATTTCCTGAAAATCTTCATGCGTGGTTTAAACATAATGCACAAATGTACTAGGAACATGTCAAAAGTGGACTGGTTGGATTCGAAGACTTCCAAATAACAATTACCGTACAATATGAACTTTACAGTCAATCCAATAAAACATGGGGCTTAAAAGAACTAAGCAAACGCGATAAAAACACCATTTCAGTTCAAAGCTATAAGCAGAAAATATTGTTGTACAAATTGTGAAAACTCAGCAATATATAGCTTCAAGAAAAGTACGTTTAAAGCTTTTTTGTGCTGTGTCTGCACAGTTCAAAGGTATTTCTAATGTGAAAAGTGATTCAAACTCATATGATGTTATTAATATGATGGGTTATGTAAACAAACTCACTGCTTTGAAAGTAATTTCCATTGTAATATATTGCTGCGTTATCAGGAACAATTATAAATTTGATTGCAATTGAATATTTTTGTCACCCGTTATGTACCCAAAAATTTCTTTGATTTATTAATAATCAGCAAAAGACTCGATTTGATGATTTTAATCCATAAAGAAAGGAGAACTTTTGTTGGTATGTCTATGAAGCTATTACCTAAATGTGATATGTGGCAATATAAATAGCAGACAGCAGATATCACACATATTATGTCGAGTATGTGAACTTGCTGTGTGGAAATTTTTCTCCTCTATTGAGGCAAATTGCCAAAGACATTCTGATAAAAATATCTTGAGAAACCCAGCAGGGAGAAGATTTTATGGACATGTGTAAAGTAACCCAGAATTTCTATTTTGAGATTACATTAACCAGTGGTTTATAACTTTCAATTCTTCTTTAGATGCTGAACTATTCGTCGATTCATCACGAAAACGTAAAGCTTATAGCAACTCACAAATATTAGAATTGGAAAAGGAGTTTCATTTTAACCGTTATTTATGTCGACCTAGAAGAATCGAGATAGCAAACTCGTTAAAACTGTCAGAGAAACAAGTGAAAGTTTGGTTCCAGAACCGAAGAATGAAACTGAAAAAAGACGAAAAAATTAAAGAAGAGAAGGAAGAACAGCAAAAGAATAATTTCTTCATTCATTCAAATAAACACTTTAATCAAGATAGAACAACACCTTCAATTATGAAACAATTGTCAACTTTTCAACCATTTCCACTGCCTGGTTTTACAGCTTACTCTACGTTACGATGACTCAAGAATTAATACAAGTCATTTTATAATTAGTGATTTGTTAAAAGTAAACAATGATAAGGAAATATCTAATGCAAAGCTCGATAAGCATTAACCTTATTAAACTATCTTATTATAAAAAGTTTGTAAGAGGTGAACTTTACAGATGCAAAGCTTTCCCAATTCAGATTCCAGTAATTCTAGAATGCAATTATTATTTTTAATCACCCCCTCAGGGCCTAACTTAAATAAATTGATATTCCAAATTTAGTTTATATTTGAATGATATTTCATCAATGCTATAGATAGTTAGAGAAAGACAACAAAGGACTGGAATTATGTGCAAGAATTTTTCCATGATACAACTGAAACGACACCACATGATGAAGTTTATCGAAATTTTATTCAATACTTTTTCCAATTTCAATTTCTAAAACCACCAGAATGTGGTACATATACGGATAAAAAATATTCTTAGCAATAGATTCTTAAAAATTACATGCAGCATCTATATTTGTAAGCTTTGAATAGAAAAAATTGCATAATTTTGGTGTGAAATAAATCAATGTGAATTAATTCATAAAAATTTATTGCATGGTACACATTCTTCCTGAGAATGTGTTAACAGAGGTTAAATGAATGTGATTTCCTGATCAAACAGTATTAAGGTGATGCTGTTTTTAATACTAAATGAATTGTTTGGCGTTGTATAAATTTGAACACTGTTGAAGAATGGGGAGAATGTATCGCAAGCCGAATATAAATAAAAAATTATAAACAATTTACATCATTTTATCACTCTATATCAACATAATATATGAAAGTAATCTATATATCACAATTGCAGAAAGTATTTCAAGCACTGTGGAAGAAAGCATTGTAAAAACCGAGAAATTTTTAATTTTACATGAAAATTTAACATCAGCAAGTTAATTCTTTTTTTTTGAAAGCTATTTTAAGATGAAATAGGTAACAGAAGCAGGTTTCCAAAAATATAAGTTGTGAAGATTGCATTAATAGTTAAAACACTTATTTATAGCATGATAGAGAACTTTTACGTCAAATCAATCAATTGATACCACTATCAGAGATGAATATTTTCTATTAGTGTTGTTGAACGATTATACGCCTTATAATCCTCTTGTCAAAAATAGTTGTGTATGCTGCTTTTAGCATACAGACAAAATACTGGATTATTGCCTAGATTAACCTTTAGGATATTTTGCTAAAGTGTGTAAATTGCAGTCTGCCCGCCAACACATTTTTTACGATATTACCATTAAAGATATTAATTGAATTAGGCATGGTTTTTTGGTTGCTACTTAATTGAACTAAAATAATATGTGTTTTTTCAATACTCTTAACGAATTAAAGAAACCATTTTATGTAAACAAACGGATTGAAGCAATTTTATTAAGTGTTGAATTAAGTCTATGTTGGAGAGTTTTTTCCTGATATTAATTTATCAAGGATTATGCGTGCACGTGTGAAGATAACTCTAGTGGAAATTTAGCCAGACACGTGTGACCGCAATTTATTCATAGGATCTGGGAACGAGTATGACGAAGGGCTTATTTTACAGAGACCAAAACGTATAGAAATACCGTCTGGAATTTATGCTTTCACAAGTGTCATATAAATGCAATTTGAAGCATCAGTGATCTTCAAGAATCATATAATAATAAACATGTCAATTTATTGAAGAGGGATATTGGTCAATTTGTAAATAAAACACATACAATACCAAAATAATGCATCTTTCTTCTAATAAAAAATGAATTTAACCGGAAACAAAACCATGCATTGACTCGACAAAGAACATTGAATCAAAAATCAAAATTATTCAAAAATCAAAATTATTCAATTCAACACCACGCAAAGGCAATTAAAATAATTATATCTGAATGTACAGAAACAAGACCTTGAATAGGACTAAAGATTGAGATTGGCCATTATTGAGATTGGCCATCATAGGCTTTTATACTGAAATGAAAATATGAAACTGCATCCAAATTCCATTTATGGCAGTATACAAAGGCCAGCACGCCTAGTGATTGATTTAACAAATGCTACTTTGTGATGCAAACTGTTTTTGCATAATATGTACGTATATCATAACCTATATCACTTTGAAGATTGCTAAATTAAAAGTTTAATGGTAAAATGCTATATTTTTTGATAAAAAAAAGTTAGGTTTAAGGAGCATTTGTTGATAACATAACCGTTTATAAGCACACGACCGGATTTCGCTTCCTTTGAAATATCAAAATGACAAAAATGATGGATGAGTTTTTCTGTATGAGCATATAATTTCGTGAGAAACCATTACGTTTAAGGCACGCAGAGTGTAATAATAGTTTTACAAAAACAACATAAATTAACAATAAGTGCGAAATAACACTGGAAAACAGAATATAATGTTAATGATTAGTTTCAACAGAAATAATTACAGTGTATTAGCTCATTTGTTTAGTTTCACAAACGAAGGAGGTTTGAAGCCATTTTATTGGCTTTGTTGCCATGATGTCTGACCTTTGTTAACAGTCCCAACACGTTTCATAGGTGCGCAAACCTCTACAAAATGGATGAATACAAAAGTAAATCCTAGCTAATAAACAGGTCAACAAATATAGATTTGCTATTCATATTGACGTCAGGTTATTTATTAGGCTCCTTCAAGCTGCTTCAAATAATAAGTCAGATAAATAAAGTGGAATGCTGTTTGACTATCTCATTTCATGATTTCATTCGTCATCGAGGGCGCCGGCTATCAGTCTGCAACGATCCGCGCGCATTCATTGGCTGACACTGTGCATGTGACTCACAACCCAATAAATCACAATCGATCAACGTTACTTTCGGAATGCAAACTCATTTTTCATTCTCGACGTGTTCCTGGCAGGTCCCATCATCGTATGTCAGAAAACCATTGATCGCTGTTGGATCGACCTTGAAACAAACATCATTTATCTTCTTCAGTCATTTATCAAATATCTGACGGTGTCATGCAAGTAACGAACACCCTCAATTTAACTTCATTTGTTAATCAAAACTCAAATGATACACAGCACAAAACGTGCCAGTCACAGAGCAGCATCGAACTAAGCGTTCTTCCTTCGCACTCACTAAAGCAACACGATGAGGTTAATGGCAACATCAGCAGCCATGATGAATGTGTGAAATCTCTCAATGCAGCCGATGCAAAGATTTTTCCATGGATGAAAGAGACGCGAAGTAAACAGAAACAAACAGGTTAGTCGTGGTTGTAGCTCTAGAACAATAATTTTTCTCTTTTCTTTCCATCGCCATGTTACTGCGCAAGGTCAACGAACTACTTTCAAAACAATACAATATTCAAAAACAATGAAGTTACAAATCCTTTGAATAATATATTTGAATAATATTCGAAAAGTAGCAAGAAATTGCTATTGCCGTTTCGTTTTCGCACAAAGCGAATGGTATTTGGATTAGCTAATTTCGCTGGAAAAGTAACCTTGTTTAATAAGCCTGACTTTTTATGATATTTTTATTATGATATGGCGTCTGTTTTGTCTTAATACATAAACAGTAAATTTAAAAGTTGGTATAAAAGTCACACTTCTAAGTGCTTTTTAGCGTCGTTGTCTGTCGCGAAAACGTTTTGATGGCGCCAATATTTTCCGATCATTTTGCGAACAACAGTCTAGGTGTTAAAATCCGCTTTTCTCCCAATACTTTAACGGATTAGTACAGTCTGATTGCCTTCACTTTTATTTTACTATTTAAATAATTTATTATCGCTGTTTCGATATTTCAATGACCGATTCATGCACAAAAATTCTGATGAAAAAGACACGGAAGCAAAAGACTCGATCTTGGCAATTCACACGGGTTGCGCGTATAGCTATACAAAAGATAATATGACAGGGAAGGGCAAAGACTAAACAATGTTAAATTTGGGTCCCTCGTTTCTTTCTTTCGTTTCCTGTCATTTTAAGACAATGCTATAAACTGTCTGGCTTTCTTCAGGGGTGTTAGTACAAATTATCATATTCAGCCACTTCATAGTCAGTTTGGTTCAAGAATTTCTGAATCTATAATGCAAGACAATTTATCTCGTGTGTGCGCGCCACTGTTCCAAACACAATACATTTTTTATGCTTTCTTGCTCCTTGTAAAAAGTGCATAAAAATGGGAGAAAGATGTACATGCAATAATTGAAGGCTGGTTCGAAGCTGACGTTATTTATAGTTTTTCACACTTTACGCAGCGTTCAGGCGCCATTGAGCTCCTACCAACTGATATAGCTGGCACAGACAATATAGTTCATTTGTGTAAGTGTTGTTTACTGCCAGTAATATATGTTAACTCAACTATAACTATAACATTTGAATTCTCATAAACAAAGTATCGCAAAAAGCAATTGATTATGGAGAGCAACACGCCGTTAACAATTCGAACCAAAGCACTTTTGTAGAGACTACAGCAGGCCAGTATTTTTTTAGACAATATTTTAAAATAGAGAAACACTGTACATCTATGTATACTATTTTAAAATCCATTAACCAAAACAATACTGGCATTGATCTGCATGCATGGCGATATTAGTTGCATTTAGTATGTCTAATGTTTGAAGTGAACACATAATGACACTTGTCCAATTTTATAACTAAGTTCTCACTGCTTATGCATGATCATTCGTTAAAGTTAAAATCACTGTGAATCGTATATTTTTTATAAATCTGTTGACAGTTTTCAGTAGTGTATGTATCAAATAACTGATTTAGCTTATGTTGCATCACTTGCATGAAAAAAACGAGAGCAGCAACTTCTTAAAAGACCGTATTTCTTCGTCAACTTTACAGCTTTCAATATATGCATGCATTTTTTCAAAATGATAGTCATTAGCTATGAACCGTAAAACTGACATAGTTACTTTTTGATGGACAAGCTTCATATTGAAATAATTTTATTTTGAATAACTACATGATATCTACAAGACTTATTCATTATATACGGCGTAATTGATTTCCCGACTATATAAATCAGAGATGCAAGAGCTTCCATGCTCTAACAAAGACAAAAAGTTTGAATATACATACGATATATACATATAGATATATAAGAATAACGATGAGACGCTACCGAATGTCGCATCACTCATTGTTTTAGGCTGGCTGTAATGCTATATATTTGGCTTTATATAACAGCATACAATCTTATAATTCTAACAACATGATCATCATCTTTTTGTTAGGAAACACCCCTGGTGGCCATGAGAGTCAAGAAACTTGTGATGCTATCACAGACACAGCACCACGTACCATTTACACAACCCGTCAACTAGTGGAGTTAGAAAAGGAGTTTCACTATAACCGATATCTATGTCGACCAAGAAGAATCGAGATTGCCCAGTCACTCAAATTGACGGAGAAGCAAGTAAAGGTTTGGTTCCAGAATCGTCGCATGAAGTGGAAAAAAGCAAATAAACCAGATAATAAGGACAATGTGAAGCATTTTAGTACTAGACCGTATGGAATGGTGCAAGTGAACCCGTCATCTTTTGAGGAAATGACAAAAATTAGTCACTTAGCCAACTGCTTCAACTATCCAATCTCAATAAACTATAGCGACAATGTACCAAATTATAACTACAATAACACCACAATGAACACACAGTTAGTGCTATGAATTAAGTCTACTTATTAAAGTCTTTTAAGCCAGTCGCGCGTGTTTCAAGACCAGATTTTAATGAAACAAACACAGCATTGTTAAACAATGAAAAGTATTTATGACTTATTGATACTATATACAAGTTTGTAATATATTACACACATCTTCAATATTGATTAAAATATACGTGTGTGTTTTGGCTAAAGTGCAGACTAGCTTAGTTAGCTACTCTATACCTTACAGCAATTCAGTTACAGTTATTGTTTATTATAAACAACTGAGATAGAATTTCCTGTCTTGTTTTTAATATGAATTCTTGCGTGTTTGTATGACGTTTGTTTTTCATATAGACAGACTAAAATTCTACTGAATTACTGATTTTGTGTGTTTCAATGTATAATGAAATTATTGCGAGCTTTTCAACGGTTTTATCTATTGTGCAATTATAGTACATTGATTTTCCTTTAAGTTGTGAAAATAGCCCTTAATATATATATAGTTTCTTTCGTTGTGTTACCAAATTCCAATCATATATTGTTTCAGCTGCCATAGGGCAACATGCATGCTGCCCCGTAAAGAAAAATGGACAAACTCACATCCCGTTAAACCAACAAGATTTTGTCACATAATTTAATCAGAGATTAACCATTATGTTATAGCAATTTTGTGTGTAAAAATGTTTGAAATGCTAGCTGATCTTCACTTCCCCCAATTCCCTCTATTTTTCATCACAACGCCTCGATTTGCATGTAAGCGAGTTTATAAAGTATGTGTACATGTGCTTCCAGCTTCGAGCAGAATTCGAAAATCGAATCTTTCAATTCTACGTATCCCTTCTCATGATGCTTGTTTTAAGAACAAATTAAATTAAACTTATTTGGCGTACAAGTTACAACTTAGTATTGAACGACTAAGAATTTCCATTGATTAAAAACATGGGTAGAAATTTCATTAAATAAGAGACAATGTCATTTACACAGTAGCGTAGCCAGTTCGTTTGTTACAGTCCTACAACGAGGAATTTTTCTATGTTCACTCATTGAGAAAGGGCAGAACAAAAACTTGAAATGGTCTGTCTACGCTGCTATCGCTGCTTCATATATAGTTACAACGTTTACTGACCGCTACACTGTCAACGTTTTAGCCAGTAATTGTTTACATATTTTATATAGTATTCAATTTCCAAAATTTCGAAAATGATGCCATCATCTTTAAACATTGTGGGCGACGTTAATTTATATCTTTGTGCAATGTTCAAATATTATGTGAACAACTAAGTTCTATCATACTGATTATGATCACACAAAATATAAATTAAGTGTATAATTGCTGACGGTTACATTATTTTACGTAATTTTGTCGGGTCCAGGCTCCCTTTTCTTTGTATACACAACGCTTTTTTTGTATAATCATGAAAATCAATCTAACCACTGAAAGAGCAACAGCACATATGAAATTTAAAAAGACGCACAATGATCCCTAACGGACTATTTGGCCACGGCGTTTATTTAATATTAAGAGTCATATTACTAAACATTTGCACCTTGGATTAACGAAAGATTTTGGTATCGACATAAGGCAATTTTTGTACATTTGCTTGTTTTTATCAAACTGTAACTTTATTGTTTTCATCAAGTAGCGCATTTAAACTTCGTGGCAAAATTAAAATTCTGTCTGAAACAATTATTTGTCAATGTAAATAAAAGTGACTATGAACACAACATATTTATGACAAAATTAACTGAAAGGAAAATGTTGATATATCCTTGAAGATGAGCTGTAACTCTGACTAAAAGGTCGTATTTACCGTGTATTATGGGTGTATGATTGGATTGATCAGTTGATCTTGTTGTATGAGTAAGCTTGCCTCTAGTGGATTTTATATTGGATTTAGAATGAGCTGAATAAATGCTAGCCTACTTCATAAGCCCATCCTTCTCGTAAGGATTTATGCAATATTGAAGCTCGGTCCACATACGTCACATTTTCTTGAGCTATCACAAAAATTATACTGCTTCATTCAGAATTGATTTACTTTGTAATTTTAATTTGCAAACATTTAACTCGAAAAACTTTTGCAAAATGAGTTATTTGGAGCTTGGTAAGGTATCTTTTGAATATTTTACTTGCATTTTGTATCGACAAAGATGATAGAAACTTTACACAAGACAATATAAAAACAGACTTGGAAGCACTTCCTGTGAGCATAAATAAAACAGTATTAACTTATGAAACATGCAGTTCAAACGGATGTGACGTATGTGGGGGCAAGCTTTTATACCATATTGCATGAACCCATGCGACAAGTACTGCACACACATATATATATATATATAAGTTTGAAAATTTGTAATCCAGGCATTTAATACATAAAAGATAGAATACATAAAGTTTAAATAATACATACATAAAATACATAAATAATAAATACATAAAATACATTTAATACATAAGTTGTTTTTTTATCTTTTATGTATGTATATATATATATATATATTTCTTTTAATAAAAATTATAACATTTGCAAACATAAAATACATACAAGTCATAAAATGTTATTTGTTTTAAGTTAAGTTTAACGTGGGCTTTTTATCATAAGGGTGGATTTTCATTTTTGGACATGTTCTTTAAACCACATAGATTTCATTAGCTTCGACGATCAAAGAAAAAGACATTCACCCCTCCATTAGGCAAGATCAAGGAGATCTAGCTATCGTTGCCGGCTTGAAATTCTCAACATTGGCCGGCTTCGATGAGATAATTTATTTAAATGCTCTTGGAAGAAAAGAAAAATGCTCACCGCTGGTCTTCGTGGTGTATCATTAACGTAACTAACCTTAAATTCGCGGTGCGTACACTTCTACCACTTTTCCACAGAATAACAAGCAGGACGTATGAATTTGTAAAATGTGTTTGTCATTCACATGTCATGAGATTTAGATGATTGTTATTCTGATTATATAATGGTAATTTCCTTGGCAAGCGATAAAATGTCTAGTCTTTGGTAAGATTTCATTTGCTAAAACTTGAATGTACTTTTAGTTAATACAGTGGACAAAAACGTCTCCCCAACCTTCATAAAAACTTAAAGAAAAACAAATAAAAACATGTGCACATGGTAGGATCTTGTTTAATATTGAAAAGATCTTGAACGACTCATCAATTTGGAAATCTATTGTTCTCGCATTGTAGAACTAATTAGCCAGGTGAATGTGCTGGCTACAATTCAATCACCCAGGAATATTTTGCGAGTTTCTCAACAATATTTTTTGAAGAAAAGAAAAGAGTAGGAGTATTTCGTGAAGATTTTTGATTTGCATTATGATTTGAAACAATGAAATACTGACAAGTGATAAATAGTAATTCGATCATGCTTCTTAACTTTTGCAATTGCAGTGAGGGTACTTTATGTATTTCAAATAAAACGGCACCCAGTTTGTGTAAAATAGGCCCGCTATGCGCTAAGCGTGCATTGTGTTGCCGCACCAAATAAATTACAAATAGTAGCAGTGGCATAGCCAGCCTGCAAGTTTTTTCGTGTTATGTAAATATTTTGGTGTTCCCTCCCTGTAAAAACACTAGATTTCTAAAGAAAAGAATAAAGCAACTGAACAGCAGCCAGACTTTCAAACAATCCACAATGTGGATTTTAAACTTTAGAAAAATATGGAAAATATATTTTGATACATGGCAAAATTATTGCTTGTGCATTTTCGTGCTTTTTAATGTAACATTAAATAAATATCATAAAGAATAAAATATGTTTAACAATCATGCCTTTGGCTGTTCTTCGTAAATGAACTAACTTCTTCGTTATTGTTGCAAATATATTTAAAAAGTTTATGACCTACTTCAAAAAGTTGATATCATATGTCCTACTTGAAAAATTTTATTCGTCTACGAGAACGGATTGAGGGCAACTTCCCTGTTATTTTTGCTATAGTTCTTTACCCTGTCAGACCACCTATAGAAAACCTTTCATATTCGCCAATTGCAGTGGAGCCCCAAGATTTTAATAAATTCTTTAAATTCCCCTTTTTAGTATGCTTTTGTTGACTCAAAAATGTTGTGAAGTAACGAGCATACGAGTGATTACAAATTTGAAATGATCATATTGCTTTATGTCCTCTGATATCCTAGCAAATAAGCTTTCAGACCACCCAGGCCCCAAATAAGGCTGAACCACGTTTATACCCATTTGTTCGTTTGACCAGGCAAAAAATTATCCCTTTAAATTTAGTCTTACTTTCATTTTCATATACTATATGTAAAAGTTGAAAAAAATAGGCGACAATTAACTTTACCACTGTTATCAAGTAAATTGAAGTAATAAACTGCTGCGTATCTTTTAAATCTCATCCTGAGTCGGTTCCATGGCCTTCGCATGATTAATAATTACGTGCTGTAAAGCATTCCTTTCGCGCCTTTTGATTGATTTAAAGAGGAAATGGAAACAAATGCAACAGTCGAAAACAAAATTCCACCTTTTTAAAAAAGTGCGTTTTAAACTTAAAAATATTTGTCGTCTGACCACATTGTCTCATCCCTTTCCAATATTCATATATGATATATATTATGCTATTGTTCAAAATTATAAAGTGTTTTTTTTCACAATAACTGTGACTTTTAAAGACTTCTTGTTATTTTTTATTGCATTTCATGAGATGAAACCAAAGCTGTGCTAGCTCCATACGATATACCTGTTTTTGTGCATCGGTTGTTTTATAATGAAGTACAGGTTTATAACGAAAATTGAACATCCTAGAAATAAAACTCTATGAATGATGAGCTTTGTTTCTCTAAAAACTCAGTGTTATATAAAGTATAAAATTAACCTGCCGAAGGAGGCCGCTAGCAATATGGTAATGACATTTGTCTGTCAGCACTATGACCTCCCGAACACTTTTGAATAACAAATTATTCTTTAGCTATGTAGGTTAATCGTCGGGTGGAAACTTGAGAATTCAAAAACCGCTTCATCAGATATCACGAATAGCATGAAAGGAAATGAAGTATTTCTGTGTTTGTTGCAAACTTTCAAATTTGTATTCTATAATCAAAACGTCTTCTTCTTCTGCTTTGGCAGATACCTTACAATGTACAGTGTACAAATGTACATTTAACATCTCTAGCCTAGTGACTGTGTCAAATAATTTAATAAAATGTGATACAAAGCTGGGCATTTGTTTTTGCTCATAAGTGCTGTGAATTAATTGACAGACATGGAAGTAACAAGGCCAAAAAAATCAAAAATATAGATTTGTATTTCAGTGAAAATTGGTAATATTGGAAAAAACTACCCTTTTCAGGTTCTTATTCAACGAAATAGTTATTTGATTATCACAAGTTCAAAGCAGTTTCAATATTGAATTATTTTCCCACTGGTGTTTTCGTCGCATACTGTGGCTATGACAATTTGTCAAGATTTATGATACTTAAGCTGGAAATTTTATACCTTAAATAGCATTATAAAGATCTCTGCATACGTAAAAAGCCTGTATTTCTAGAAGATATATCATTCAATTGTATCATTCAGTAGCTTGTAGAGCGCATCTTCCTCATTCTGGTGAAATGTGCACAACAAGTAGCTACAAGCAAAGCTCACTAGTTACATTCTATAAAATGTGCAAACTCGTGATAAACGTTTGGAACATAATTGACTTTTAGTGTGCAAAGAACTTATATATGTATGGCAAGAAAGACTCCTTGGTTAACTTAGAAATCTAAATCTCAGATGAAGATGGTGGGGACAACTTTTACATGGTAAGAAAGCACTATGTTGCTCTTTATTTCTACTCGAAAGATGACCAAAATAACGTTCTTGAAGCAAACAATTTTAATAGTCATCAGTGCGAAACTAGAGCAAACACATAGCTTTTCACTACATCAACTCCGCTACATACACGTTTACGCAATAGAAAATACTTAAGATAACTGCTTATAACGCGTCGCTTTTTGCAGGGAAAATTGTAAAGATCTCTCTCATTGAAATTTCCCATCATGAATTGGGGACAAACAAGGCGGCAAAGTTAACAATGCATCAAGCTGAAGTTTAACCTGAAATAATTCAATGTAGAACATAAATACTTTCCACTTTCGTTCATCCTATTTTTTAGTGAGTTCATTAAATTTATTTAGGAAGGGCTTAAATCTACAAGTCACATACTTCATAAGCACAATAGGGTTGTCTAAGATTAATTATAAGTCTTACTGTTAATAATACAGCACTGTACACAGTTACGTGCTCAGAGAGAATAAGATTAAGCAATACAAAATGCCATAGAAATAGGAAATGTAATTTTAAATTTCGATCACTATTCCATCGCAAAAAATACAGTGTTTACACTTTTTTTGCGATGCGGGATTGCAACATGGCCAATAGAATGAAAAAGCCTTTAACATAAACATATACAAGTGTCATAAAGTAGCTGTTAAGTGTGAATATTCTATAAAGTAACACCTAATAACGAGACGTTGCTCCTCCGTCGGCTGAGACTGTTTGGCGATAAACATTTCACAGCTTTAAGAATGCTGGTTGATTGCAAGAGCATTGAAAGTGAATCAAGCTATCCATAAAATATTTTGATTGTTCTTTCCTGCACATATTGTTAAGATTTTCGTCAAGGATGCTTAGTTACATGAGTAATCTTTATCATGACTGGATTCCACTGGTCAAACAAGGAAAATATAATTTCATTTTCACACTTCCTTGGCGCAATAGAAAATGCAGGAAAGAATTTTTTTAAAAAATCTTATTCATCAACAACAAACACTAAGACGATATTCCTGAATAAAAGACGTTTCCTATGTAACTACCGCTTGCATTTCAGTCGTCATAAAAAAATTGAATTGCTCTCCGCCATTATGGCGTGGTCAATGTAAAAGAAGGCGCCAGTAGGTGGGAAGATGTAGTGCGAAGCGCACCAAAGTTTGCCCAGTTGTTTTTGACTTAGTCCTTTAGTTACACAAACACAGCTTTAAGCTGCCTCATTTACCACGCTTCATGATTGTGCTAAATCCCTCAGTAGACAAAGTGACCATAATATTACACAATGAACCTTTTGATCTGATTCGCTAAATATACACTGTAGAGCACATAGAAACGCTTTTCTTGAAATGAACATGGTTTAAGGGAGTTTAAAGATGAAAACAAAAATGTTCAAATAAGAATCAGATCAATAGCTATCAAAATATATTTCAATATCCAAATCGAAGAAGGCTTTACATCGTACATAACACTTATGTTACTGCTGTATTCAGGGATATACAACTTATTCTTGGTTTGACAACAAAGTAATTTCAACTTCCTTAACATTTATTTGAATAAAATTCGTTAATTTATCTCAACTTAAGCTATGTTGAGAAGGCTTAAGACAATATCGTATTGTAATCGTCTTTTTTTCTGTGGGAAAATCGTGAATAATACGTTCCAACAATAAATATTGTTAAGTCTCGATAGCCTAACAGCATTTTTGAAAAACAAGCATTATTTATAACATTAATATAAATTATCCTAAAAACCTGCCTTAGCTTTTCGGCAGAAAGTTCTCATTTCATATATTGTACAGGAAGGGAAATTTTAAATTTAGATCAACAGTGTTGACTGCGCGCTTGATTAGACTAAGTTTATGGAATAAGCCTATTTAACGCTATCGTTTCGTTTGCGTTTGCTTCATCATACCTCGATTCGTCGGAATTACTGGATTGTTCACCTTTTTCCATTTCATTCGACGATTTTGAAACCATATTTTTATTTGTCTTTCTGTTAACTTCAAACTGTTTGCCAACTCCCTCTTTCTTTCCCGTGTTAGATAACGCGTGAAATGAAATTCTTTTTCCAGCTCAAGTAGCTGCTGTCGCGTGTAAGCCATTCTTTTTCGACTTCGATATGGCTGTCGGACTAACCAATGATCTATAGCAGTATGAATAGGTCATTTGAATTGAGATTTCAAAAAATCTGAAAGCTTTACCGTTTATGATTCTTATATATGGCTCATGACTGTTAACGCAAATCAAGTTTAAGTATGAGCATATCAAGTTGAAATTCGCAAACAATCGTCATTGTTTCAAACATTGTTTCTACTCCTGCGCCAAAATGCGACTTAGAAAATTTACATAATACTTGTTATCGCATATCATCTGAGTTTAAGCAAATCAAACAGAGGAAAGAGCTTTTGGACGTACGCGTTAATCAAAGAATCGAATAGTGTCTTCGATTTAGAAATTTTCTTGTCCAAGTTTTTAGACCTAGTTTAACATTTAAGCAACATTTCAAAGCATCTACGATGGCTAATAATTTGAAACATTTTGTTGAGAGAAATTGATAACAATTCTAAATGATGGACAAAATACAAATTAGTTGGTTTTTCTTCTTACCTGAGTTCGTAGGATCATTTTGATCGTCGTCTAGAATTGAATCGTCGTTTTGTGAGCCGTCAAGGCTGTTTGAAGAGTCCAGCGAATGAGAACTTGTGTTTTCCCCAATAGAACTGTACTCAGAAATTGTTTTTATGTGCTCAGATCCACCAGTTAAGCTGGGATAGTGCAAGTATGCAGGCCGTGATAACGTTCGCACAGAGGTAGGCGAAAAGTTAGTATAACGAAATTGTGCTAGTTGTTGTTGCATAAACAGAGGTTGATAACTTGCAGGAAAGCATGGTTGATGTGGGTACAAGTACGACATACTCGGATTAAATGGTTCCATGATGTTTTTCTGTTTACACTTCTCTATTCGTGAAACACTATATCGCTTGTATAATCTGTCCCTCACTGGCGAAGATGGTGAAACGATACCTTTCAATTAACGATTGACGAATTTCTTTTTATGAAAAGCGTGTAAATTGCCTCACTCTGATTGGCTGTAGAGTCTTAGATTGAATCTAGACATCATCTGTGTGCGCTAGCTTTTTGTGCTGCTTGACCGACACATGCTGGACATCCTTAAAGGTCATGTGATCAAATCTTTCTCTAAATACAATTAATTAAATTCTTGTGCTTGACTTTTGCGTGTGAAAAATTGTTTCTACTTCAACTAAAAATACGCGACAAGTTTTGTCCTGAAATTTTGTTTTGTCTCGTCACTGGGCGACCAGCTTGTTTTCGCTAAAGCCAGTCTTCTAGTTGATTTGTTGCTTCTTATATATGCATTTAGAAAGGAGCTTATGTTTTCACCTTTCTGCATTGTTAATTAACACATACACACTTACACTAAACAAATTGAGGCGAAGTATCGGAAGTTTCTTCTCAGACTTGATTAAATACTTAGTTTATAACCTTTGAAACTTTTGAAAGGCGTGTTATGTATAGCTAGTGGCTTTATGCAACTCAACTCTGCATTATTTCACATAATTAGGGAATTTATAAATGTATTCCTAATACTTCCTTCAAGTAATTGATGAGCCCTGTCGAAGGAAATGTCGAACATGAGCCCTAGAATTTAAATGCATGAACTCAAAGATGTGATTTTTTTGTTACTTGAAATTTTCTGGTCAATTTATCGAATTAAACCGTTTATAAAATAGAAAAGTGTTTTATATGATAGCCTGATTATCGCAAGCATCCGTTTATTCTTAGCAAACATACACAGTCATTGAGACGCTTCATTGGACTGTAATACCTCTTCTAATAGAGAGTTGTTGACATTACAGCTAAGATATCATTAAGCTTTGAATAGAATGCACGACAAAGGGTATATACTTTCATACAACGATAAAAGGGGATATATTGTTAAATGTTTTTAGTGGAGTTTTTAAATTAATCCTAGATTAAATTATAGTATTAATTATCGTGAAGTGTGACAATGTTCACACATCATTAGAAAGAAGAAGACTGTAGGTCTAAACGGAGATTTATGCGTGTCTGTTCAAACCAGGACAGGGCACCCAATTGTCTGCTTAAGACCTGATTTCGTTTATATAAAGCCCGTTATACCGAAAACACCTGCCTACCTGAATTTCCGAGTTAATAATTGTATTAAACAATAACTCGGACGAAAACGTTTTTGCTTTGGAGAATGTAGAAAATTTTCTCGAGGATTAAGAAATCATATTTGTCATGCAAAAATATATCTCAATGTTTTAGAAATGAAAAAGTACATAGTTTCGACTGCAATGTAAGTCACGCAAGGTTATATTCGTCGATCAAACCACGCAACGCTTAAATCATTATTTATAAACGTCCGCCAAGATGACTTCTTCCTGACAGATTCTTTTGCTGCGTGGAATTTCGGTAGAAAGCCATGGCAACTGAACACGCCTGTCTACTAATCAACATAGTGGCTTTTGTGGCTTTTTCGCAAACTGTATATGACACAGTGTCTAAAGAATGCGTTTTGACATTTACTTTTGTGCACTTTTTACAAATCAAAATGTGTAAATTTATTTCAAAGATATAGCAGTCTTGATGTTATGTATGAAACATGAATACAAAAGAAAATTCTTATTTTTATTCAAAAGCTTTGCGACAAGGTGTTCGTGAAACTTTCCAGAAGATTTTAATGGTTTTGTTTGTCGCCTTCAATCTGATGTCAACTGACAAAGTCTTTTCTCTGATTATCAACATGAATATTTTTAGTTGTATGCTAATATGATTCACCTGCCTTATGAACAGATCCATTGAACAAATATTTTCCTGTATTTACTCTGTCGACGCAGCTATATATTTCATGTCGCTTGTCTCAAAAATTGAGCCTTCTACTATAAATGATCAATCTTCATTGGAAGTGCAGTTTTCTAATGCTACTAAGCTCCGAGTACCACATTTGCGTCATGTTTTTGACAATTTTTATTTCATCGAATGTCACTCTAACCTAGCTAAGTTCTCGACATGTGCAAACACTTTAGCGTGAAAAATCAACTCGTACAAAAAGTATAGTGAAAACACCTTGAGATAAATGATGTAGGATAAATTTGTTTTTACTTTTTGCTTTAAAAACTTGTGTTTTGTTAAGATGTTCATCTGTTGAAATAATTAACGTCACAATTATTGGCGTTTTCTCTTTCTCGTTTGGAGTGATTTACTTATACACCAGCTGCATGTTAAGCCGAACTTTAATTGACGATTACTTTTACAAAGTGTGTCTTCATAGAAAGCAGAAAAATCATTGATAGATATTTTATAGTCTAGCCATGTTAAAAACGCGTTCAAACATTGAAAAATTATATATAAGGGGGGTAATTTAGGATTCTTGTGCTTTATTTTATTTATTCCATTTAATAAAGGAAGTATTTTATATTACAGACCAGATGCTTACCAGTAAAAACGCAGCCGTTGTTTTACATTAAATGTAAATGCCGAACATAAACTTTAAATAAGACCATAGATTTTATTGATCTTACCGTCTCGTTAACTTAAAGTTAAATTTTTGTATTAGGTAATTATATTAGTACTAAGAATTAGTTTTCCGTCAGGCTAATCGATAAAGTTATAACATTGCAGAAGGCAAAATTTAATTTTGAAAGTTTTTCACACAGTCTTTGGAATTGATCGGATGGCAAGTTCGCCTTACAGCTACATTATGCTGAGAATCAAAAGGAATGAAAAAAAAACGAATCAATGACTGCACTTCTACTGTAGCTATATCGTCATTTGCCGAGAAAAATCCTCGTAACGGATAATTGGTTCGACATCTAAACACAGTATTCACATCAAGTCTTTAGTAATTGCCGTGAGATATTAATTTAATAGCCATATAGACTATTCACCAGCTGAAAATTACATTCCATAATGGGACCGCCATATTGGCGTATATTGTGATTTGTCAAAATCCTGGATAATTTATTACGGCAGTCGCAATTAGAGAAGGATGCCGAAAATAATATGTGATCATGTGAATCACGCTATAGTTGTATTTACACAGCCTGAAATGTCGTTTTGTAATGTTTTTTCTATGTTCAGCATTCATAACAGTTTAGCTTAGCGTTATGATTTAGGCAACGAAAACGGGTTTATTTTGGATTTTATGCTTTAAGCAAATTTTCATCAAACTTTGATATTCTATTTTGGCGTCAAGTGACTGCCCTGGCAAAAGTCTAAAATACTGCAATACTGTTTATGACATTATACGTTTCTCACTTCGCGCATTCTGTTCTAACAAAGAAGCATTTCAAATATTTCAATTTATTATAAGTAAAATTTTTACCATTTGCGCACAAATTGTCTGTTCATCGACAATCATCCCGATATTTCACAAAAAAGTTTAGCTTTCGTACTTAATATATTAAGCAATAGAATGATAAAAACATTTAAGAAATATGAAAGCGTCTTTAAATGAAGCATGCATTGCATTTTTCTCACAATAAAAATGAATGTTCTCATTGCACGAATGAAAACGTTTATTGGCTGTTAAATATGTTTAAAACAGCTGTGTTGCATTTGGAAATGCTAAGATAAATTAATTAAAAATCGTTTGCTAAGAATTAATTTTAACATACGTCACAAAAGATTCTACATTCGTCAACCAATTTAGTTGTTTAGTTTTCATCAAGTTCCATTTTAAAATTATATATAATGAATTTACTATGACCACACTCAAGCAATTATGTGTCTATTACATATTTTGAGCATTCTGAACTCGATTTAATTATGTGTAAAGTTATACATATAGTCCACACCTTGAAGCAGCATATCTTGTTGCCTTTATTGCATCGGGTTTCTTAAATCCCTCACGATGTCTGGGCAGTTAAAAGAGCTGAGCTCCTAATTAATGCCGACTATCTCAAATCTAGGGAAATTGTTTGCAAATTTCTTTGAAAATACGATCAAAGTTCAAAAGCCTTTAAAGATATAACCTTTCTAGCAGGATAGAATCTCGAAGGAAATTCCACAATATGAAGGGGTTATTTTTGTCAACGTACTGGAGCAACAACGACTGGATTATAATGAACATTTTCTTCAACTAATTAACTACAGACAAAGTTTCTTATCAATCACTTACATCACATCGCTCTAACTATGATAGTACAAAAACTTGCATAGAATGCTCAAGCAAAAGATCGTATTCGTATTTATCATCTAGCTTCTGATTTCTAAATTCAATACCAACCATACGCACTATTTGCAAAATTCAACCATTTAAGGTTCGACAATTTTTCAGATTGAGTTTCATATGACTTCTTTCCACATTTTCAGGGACTGCTAAAGAACAATAATGGAGGGGTACTCTCGTATTCTTATATGCTTGTTATAGTCTGTTAAAATAGCACATTTCTGAAAAAAAGTAAATTAATACAGTATATCATGCACTTATGAATATGAGCCCAGTCGATCTTCAGCAGTCCTTGATTGTGACAGCGGACTAGAGGATTAAATTTATTTATTTTCAAGTAAACATTTCGTTGACATGAATCGCATAATTGAAAAAATGTGAAGACACGAAATAATGTATCGGTTATTAAGCAACATTATTATTTGTGTCACAATTTAGTGTGCAGATTGCAACACCCAATGGTTCTCCAAAGGACGAATGAAGTACATGAATGAAGTAACACTCAGTGTTGCAGAACTGAATATAAGTTAAAGCCTTGAAGAAATCACACTACAATGTTGCTGTGGACTACACGTCTTTAAAGGTAAATCCTCCATTTTGCATTGTAACTTTATTCATTTTGAAAAATATTAAAATTTGAAGAAAAATATCACTTAATGAGAAACACAAATTTAAAAAAAATGCAGGAAATTGCTCGGAATTAAACATTTCTATCCAGAAAGATTGAAATGTAAATCCAACTTCTAAAATGACTATACTTGCTAAAGCAAAGTAGTACAGATATCTTTTCGCTCTGTCATGTCCACTTATACAAATTTTGGAGCCTCTCAAAGTACCACCCAAAAATGAGTTAATAGGATATTGTTCCGTATTTCAAATCAAGTGATTATAACAACCTATTGCACAATAAAGTGTTTTTGGTAATATAGAAAACAACATATAGTGAAATGCAAATTTTATGCTCTGCCGATTATCGACTTTATGAACTAATCTACCAAGTTACCAACATGACTGCTTTGACGTTTCATGAAAACTCATTATACATGTAGCTATTAGCAACTTTGTATGGTTTTGCTCTTGTTATTATAGAAGGTGTCATTTAAAGTGGTTGCAAAGAGCCACGTTCTTATATTGTACAGGACAAAGCAACAGTTGTAACTATTGTTATTATGTCACCGATGGAACATTGAAAAAAACACAAATGTTTATTGTAATTGACCAATCATAGTGTATTAATATTTATGTAAATAACTATCGTTTTATGTGTAAGTCAAACTGCTTCAGTTTGTAAAATAACTAAAAGAAGAAAACCTAATTTATCTGAAGCGATATAAATTTAGTCTCCAAACCAGAAAACTTGAACCGCGGTCCCTCAGCTTAAGCATCCCAATGCAGAAAAGAAGAGTCAGAATAAATTGAGCCATTTCTCCGCGAGATCTTGCCATATACATTACATATTCAAAAATCTTGCCATATACATTACATATTCAACAAATAGAACCAGAATTAACTTGTCACAAGGCCTGGGAAGCCCATCTTATCGTGGGTGGCAAGTGGCCTTTCATACTTAAGCTTATGTTGTCTAAAAACTAATATTGGGAGGGATACTTGATTTAGTACAAAATGAAACATTTTGTTGGCGCATCTAACAACTAATGCATTAAACGATATCGGAAAGAAGAGATGGCAGGCAAAAATCAAAACCAGTCCTTAAACACAAATTTACCAATGTGGTTTTGTTGATAGAAAAAGGTCAATGGTGCGTTTTCGTTAGGCTGTCCCTGGGTTTCTGTACTTTTCTATGTTGTTATGCTGGGAACTTTAACAACACTACTTTTACCACCTAAATAAACATCCTCTGCACCTTTAAAAAGGCAAATGTCATACATTTCCCTAGGGATAGTAACTGGACACGAATGTCAGTAACGTCTGGAACTACCATTAGTCCATTATTAATAACGAGATTTAGCAAAGACGACGTGTTGTCTTTTTCGCTGAATTCCTCTAACATTGGAATTAGTTCTATAGTCGTTACTTGTATAATCAGTTAAGCAATTTGACTGGGTGCACCTTTAAGCTACTTTTGGTGGGTGGCCTGGGCCCTAACCCACCAATGTACCTAACCCTAACCCTAACCTTCATCTTGCCCTGAATTGAACACTTAAAATAATAGTATAAAATAACTACCCAAATTATCTCAATGAGCAATGCAGTAACTAAAAGAGTTTTTCATGAACCTGTGAGCTGCTTATTTTAAAATATTTACATTATTTATAACTGATGTATTTGAATGAAAACAACTTAGTGTTGTCCTAAATAGGAATAGAGGATCGAAATGTATAAAGTCTTTCAGAAGCAGTCTACACTTTTTTTCAATCTCATGAAATCTCGTATGTTAGTTAATAGGCATTGGGACTATCCCGTTTCTTAAAAATACTTGTCTTCCTTTCCATGGCTTATTTATTGCTTCACTTACATACTCAAAGGCAGTTGCTAAAAAAGTGTTGAACACTACTTAAAAAAACGAAGAGTGCTAATTTGTTTTAGAGAAGAGATGAGACAGTCTTTAGGAGTCAAGATGTATTTTCAAATGTCTGGACCACTGCAGCGAACGTGATTAGGAAAACATGTAAATAAGTACTGGGTGTGTAGTCTGGAAACAAATTATACAAAGGGATTTGGTGGTAGAATGAAGAAGTACAGAAGTACATGAAGTGCACTGAGAAAACGATTGGTGAAGAAGTGAGACAACAAAAGGACTAAATAGAGTAAGTTTAAATACAGAAAGATACATCATAAAGTTAAAGTAGAAAGGGCAAAGCTAAACAAAAAGCATTTTGTATGATCAGTGGATAGTTTTGAAGGAGAAAATTTTTCGTAAAATTTAGCAACGTAGAAATGCAAAGGAAGTGCAGCATGTTTAAGTTTTTCTAGGACAGGTCTGCAAATGTATTGACAGGTAACAGAAGTGTGACAGAAAGATGGAAGGAATGGTTCAAAGAGTTAATGCATAAGGAAAATGAGAGACAGCTAAGACTAGAGACAATCACTGCCGTAGACCGCGAGATCGCAGAGATTTGTACAGGTAAAGTTAAGAATTCCTTGAAGAGATTGATGAGTGGCAGGGCAATCGAAGCTGATGTTTACATGTGAAAGCGTCAAGAAGTGTTTGAGTTTTTATCTCATTTGTTTAATACGATCCTAGAGACTAAAATAATGCTTGAGGAATGGTGGAAAGTGTACCAGACTCGAAAAAACAAGGGAACTGTTCTGAGTTGTACTAACTACAGATAAATAAAGTTGATAAGCCATACAATTAAGTTGTAGGACAGAGCAGTAGATGCTGGACGGAAGGCGGAAGTGCATGAGCATTTGTAAACAGCAGTATGGTTTTTGGACAACGAAAGTATGCAATGTTTACTAGAATCATGGTAGTGTATGAGGAAGTGTGAATTGTCTGAGAAGTGTGTAAGAGGAATTCAGGATGTTTATGAAAGCTAGATGTAACTGTAAGACATTGTGAGGTGGGCTGTAGGAATAACAGTCAAAGTAGATGTGCATGGGTTGTACTAAGTATCTGCTCCTAGCGGCCCATTCTTGTGTGTTACATGGACTATGTTTGTAGATGATATTTGTATTTGTAGTTTAGATAGGAACTTGTAGAGGCTAGTCTAGAGAGATACGTAAGGGCATGCTTTAGAAAGTAGAATTCACGTGCATGAACGAGAGATTTAAATGGAATTATGAGATTACAAGAAAGAGATAAAGAAGGTAGATGATCTTATTCACGATCAACAGACTAGCACAGAAAAGAATGTGAAAAAGAGGTGAAGAAACGTACGCAAGCGGATTAGATTGGACGGAGAAAAGTACCAGGTGTGCCGTGTGATGCGGGGCACGCAAAAAATGAAAGTTTCATTGCATGAATGAAAGCGTTTAAAGGTTGTTAAATATTTATCGTTTAAAACAGCCGTGTGACATTTGGAAATGTTAACATAAATAATTAAGAATCATTCGCGATGAATTACTTCTCTCACATCGTGGTCACTCCACCCACCCTCCCTCCCAAAACGAAGACGCCTATGCCTAAAATCACAGCAGAAAATCTTTTCTATTTTCAGGATATTGTTTTTGTAATAATGTCCAATTTACACTACCGTCGACCGTTAAAATTGCACGAGTCCGCAAAAAATTTCATATTTTCTTCAGTTTCCTGACCTCTTTTGGATGGAACGTTCACGCAGAATTTTGTAAACATGACCATTTCACAACAAAGATAACTCTGGCTAGTTAAAACAAACATAGCAGTTGTGTCTAATAATTCAAGTTCTCGCGATGAAATGAGATTCCACTAGAAAAACGTCTTTTTCTTGAGAATGTAAAGGAATACGCAGAACTGCTTAAGTAGCATGTTTGTAGATCGTCGTTAGAAGAGTGATTGTTGTTGATTGACGTTTCGAAACCTTAGCGGTAGTCATCTTCAGAGTCAAAAGTCTCTGAAGAGTGATTTGACTCTGAAGATGACTACCGCTAAGGTTGTCGAAACGTCAGTCAACAACAAAAACAGTCCTTCTCAGGACTATACCAACATGGACGATCTACATTTATAAACATGTAACGATACTCTCGGGTTCAAACCATTTACTTTACTGCTTAAGTAATTTCACTGTCATATTAAACGCTCTTTTCTAAGAAAATATAATTTGTTAGCAAAAATTTTCGAGTAATAATCTAATACCCACTTTTACCCACGAAGTCGCTACTAACTTCATCCCCCTCCATTTATGAATATCACTGTTAGCTTTAACCCTACAAATCCATGAAATCAAGTGTTTGCTTTGGACCATGTGTATATAAGTAATAGCACCGAAACAAAAAGTCATCGATTAAAAAGACATGCTTGTAGTTTTCAAAAAATTTAGAAAAATACGGTAGGGACAGCAATGAGCAAATATCAAAGAAATTGCATTCGTCCATTTTCAATCGTCAAAAAGGGCTGTAGTCAAATAACCCGGGTCGAAACTTGAAACATGTCGTCTTTATGTCTTTGCAAAACGACAAACATGTAATGTACCTCCAATGTCTAACACAAGTAACGAGGCAAAAGGAATTGTTCATTAAACAAAAGACATTCTTCTCCACTTCGACCTTCACTTTACGACCTTCATAAAAGTGCAATTTACTTATATTTAATGAAACTCGTTGTTTTCAAACGCTTATTTCGACAAACCCCTTCTCAATTACTAAACCCAATTACAAAGATAGTCAGAAGAGTTATCGTGGTCTCAAAGATCCTCATGTGATAATAAACCTCTAAAAACCAAGTGTAATTTAAACAAATATTTTTATTGGTCAAAACACTTAGGAAACTGTATTAAACTGAGATTCACCTTCTTGTCAACACGATCATTTTAAAACAAGGCTAGTGTTCACAAAGTCTATATTGTCATTCAGTCTACAAGGCAAATAGAATAAGGAAAGCTATCATAAGACAGAACAGCCCCATAGCTTCTGACAAAGCAAAGCCCATCATAGCATAGGAAAACAACTGTGTCTTCAGGGAAGGATTTCTGGCGTAACCAATTACAAGACTGCCAAAAACCGTTCCAATCCCAGCACCGCTTCCTGAAAAAAACATCAAGAAATGTATCAGTCTGCTTTCAACACGAGCCATTTGAGTATAAAATAGCAACGATAAAAGATCACGAGTTCAAAAGAACGCAATCCACCCTTAACGTGTAATAAACTATAGAAAATTATAGACTGTGAATAACTGATTTTATTAAATTCTTTAACTTGACGTCACAGTTCTCTGGATTGTTGTGTTGAATTAAAGACAGAAAGCAATTTAACCAGTTTTTCTTTTGTTGAAAGTAGCATAAAGAACAAATAATATCTAAACGGATTTACTTAACAAATAGACAACATTTAACCGTTGTCTATACGGTTATAGATACACGGGTCTGACGTCAATTGTGATAAAAACGTGACCGCGAGCCGCCGGGGCGAGTATTTATATAATAAAATCAAAAAAGTTCTCAAATTAAACGGTCAAACAGTTTGTTTTCTTTGTCTCTCAACACTTCGAACATCGAAAAGTCTTGATTTTGCAAACATCACGCTTACGTGATCTATAGAATTGAAGAAATGCTATTGGCTAGCTTAGTCACGTGATAAAATGTGATTGGCCAACAAAATAAACAAGCATTGCTGATTAATTTTGTTTAAATTTTGTTATCGAAGACGAAGTAGAAATTAATGTTTGAAAACCGGGTTTTTTCTTTTCTTTTTGCCCAAATACGTGAACTGCCTCAACTAGGTCTTTGTGAATATCTTTACTTTCCCATTCAGGGAGGTATTGCGAAAATTTTCAAATATATCTGCCATTTGTTTGTTTTTATAATTCCGTGCGTATGTCCTCTTATAGATCATAGCTCTCGACCAATGAAATTGCTCAAATTCTTCTGGTTATTATATAAAATGAAATATTTGCATTAGCCACTTGCAATGTAAAGCACATTTTTGCAATCTCGAGCATTTTTCAAGTTTTATTTGCCACATATTTTGAGACTACCCACAAGTTCGCTCTGCGTACCTATTTTATTGTATTGAAAACAACACAGCCAATTACAGTTTTCAGAGAGGTACAATTTATTACAATACAGCGACTTGGCAAAGAAACAGTCTTTTAGAAAACAAAAGCAAAAATTGCAGAATTTTATGTCACAGTATCTGTTAAAGGACTTCAGACCGGACTTTGAAACTGCTCACCCAATAAAATAGCATAATTGCAGTATTTGATCAGGTGTAATTTGCTGTCCATAACTTGTTTGATGATGGCTTAGAATTTCACTTGTCAAACTCATGATTATTCATCTCTATGACACGTACGCAACCCAAAATACTCCGCCATCAACCATGTTGGGTGACAAGAGTACTCAAATCATTATTCTTGTGAAATATGGAAAGCTTAAGTATAATGCTCTCAAAAATACACAATAGTTTTGTTTGTAATAGAGGCTGTTAATGACCTACTAAACTAACTACGTAGAAAGACGTGCGTATCCAATTAATGAAAGTACAGAAATAGATTGATTAGATAATTGAAACCAAAAATGATAGATGATTTCAGTCCCACAGATCTTCATTAAAATGTTTCCATAACCAAAAATTCTTCATGTTAAGGTGAAAAAGTTTCATTTCATTTCATAAATCAAATTTTGTTTAATGAAATGAAGAACATGTAGAATATGAAATTTTGTAATAGTGACAAAGTTGACCATTCATTCTGATGACAGTACCTATGTAAGTTCGTGCACTTTCATCAACCATTATCTCATATATTCACTGTACTTACTAAAATCTTACAATTGAACAATTAATCCCATGAGTTTTTGTTTGGATTTGAGTTCTGACTTTGATTACAACATTAAAAGTTTTGCAATCTATAGGAGTGTCACTAATGACTCACAATGAATCAATCATTTAAGCATAACAATAGATTACTATTTTATCAAATTGTCCACTTATGAAGAATGGTCACAGCAGTAAAACCAAAATATTTTAAAATGTTGGTCATACTAAGTTTACTAACCTGCACATCCCACTGTAGCAGCACCAGCTCCAATAAATTTGGCAGCAGTCTCCACATCACGAACATTTGCACTGGTTTGAATTGACCTGGCTACAAGCATATTGTTGTTCTCTAGAAATATATAATACATTCATGAGATTCCATAGTCTATCAAATTTAAAACTAACACTTGCTACCTAAATTGGGATTTAGTTAATTGCACTTCAAATTGTGATATGAGGAACTCAACTCAACAAATGTTGAAAAACAAACACAAATGAATTGATAAATAAAATGAGATGCAGACAGAAAATATAGATAATGTCAGCAAATCACTCTAAACAGAGATGTATAGTCACATTTCATGAAAAGTCAGTGGAAGCAACATCCATTTCTAAAATATTTTAAATGATGAATGAAATGTTTTTAACGCACAACAGACATGCACAAAAATTGAAACATGAACATTGTGACAAAACAACAGTTAAACTGAGTATTGTGTTTGCTAAAGATGAAACTATAGCAGTGTAGCAAACAACAATGACCAGTAACAAAATTAAGAAAACTTGCAATTCTCACCAATTGTAGGATTCACCATGGCAACACAATTCTGAAAAAAATAAATGTACTTTCACATTTAATTATATCCTATCGTGAACCACGCATATCATGCACATGACAGACAAAAAAAATAAATAAAATGTGAAATTTTCAGATAAAGCTAATCACTCTATGAAATGTACCATCGAGATTAACCATTCAACCAAATCTTTGCTAAGGATTAATATTGAATTGCTAAAATGCTAAAAGTCAAAAAGTGTATCTTTGTGGAATTCCTGACAATCCATAACAATTAACAAAACAATGTCAAACACCAATATCATTTGCACAGAATTTAATAGATGAAATTTGAAATTTTGTTTGTGTGAGATAACCAATCAGCACAAATCATAAATATTAGTAATTAAAAATTTTTGAAGCAACCAAATACTCCATATGCTTTGGATTCAGATAAGTATTTTTTATTCAAATAAATTTCACTTAAAGGGCAGGTACTTATGTCTAATATAAAAAAAGTTTGCATGATTTTTGTTTATAAATTTTTTCTTTTATGTATCCAAAATCAATATTAACTTTTTCATATATATCACAGTAAATTTTTGTACCTCGCAGTTTATCTGAGATTTTTCTGTAGTAGTTAAAGACCATCAAAAAACTTTTAGATTCACAAAATAAAAATTCAACTGCCAATCAAAATCAAATTAAACAAAAAGATTTATCACTTAACCCTCCCTAACTCAAATTGCTATTTTTTGCAATTAAGTCTTTACAACATTCAAATACAATTTGCAATCTTGTTGATTTTACACTACGATCGTTACGTGTCAACAATAACAATAAAGTCAAAATAGTACAGCTAATGGTTTCCAGTATGCTGCACAGTCACATAAATATATGTCATTTGATGAAAAGCTAGCAAATAGTTTGTACAACATCAATGACCTCCACAATAGGCTTTTTTATGTCACATAAAGTGCTAAATGAAAGCTTCATAGCAAAAACTTTTTCAATAAAATATATTTAGTGTAGTCCATAATTTCTGATTTAATATATTATGCAATATATTGATAAGCAAGGTCAGAAATCTAACATCCATTCATATATAAAACATGCACAGGATTTCGTTCGGGGTGTTTATTACAAGTGGAAAAGTTTTTTCCGCAATATTTTTAATAATAAAATTTCTTTTCAAGGTAAAGATCAGAGTTCAACATCAAATTCCAGCATTTTACACGTCGAGCAAACTAAGTATAAATCACATGGTGGTATTAAAAACATGCCGGAAAAGCAATACACAAAACTAAACGGCTTTCTTCCTATTCAATGAGCAAACATATATACAGCCAAGTCATAAAGGTTTCAGGATAAAAAGATTTGAGTGATTACAAACCTTTGCAAGTGTGGGGCTGGCGTTGCGCATGGTTGTAAGTCGGCCATGTCCAGCCTAGGGTGAAATATAAATATCGATTAAATGCGCGGTTATATCATCACAAAAGCAACTAAATATCTTTTATTAAGAAAATTCTAAAGTACTTACAATTGCTCTCAAAACCGGCGAACCCAACTTAATATAACTGTACATATTTTCTACAGATTTATTTAGTAATGAAGCTACAATTCCAACAAAAACTTAGCCAGAAGAATGCTCCCGGTGCTGTCTGGGTATTTCACAACCTTGCTCATTCGTTCCAGTTTCCCAACGAGCACAAAGTGACGTGTGGTTGCTTGTGTTATGCAGCGCATAAATTATAAAAATTCTAATTCGAAAATTTTTCTTAAAACTTACTTAGCTCAGAAAAGCAATTTTATCATCCAAGGAATCAATTAATAAGGATGACAATGATAGTCTGTACAAATCGCAAAAATCATTATTTTCCTGTATTCATATTGGAATGGTAAAATGTAATGCAGATATTTCATAAGGTATGATCCAGTTGATGAGTCCAGAGACATCAAGATGAAACAGTAGTCAATTAAACATTTCAAAAAGCTTGACTTCAAAATTGGAAAGCTTTCAGGAACAGTTGACCAGTTGATGACTTTATGCTGCTGGTTTTAAAGAAAAAATTTTTAATATGCTTTTTCCTGTTACCAGAGCTTTGAAATGCATGAAACAATTGCTAAGCAACCAAACATTGCTAATTTTTGAGGTAAAGATGTCATCATGTCAGATGACTTTAGCTGTTTTTCCCATTGTGATTGAACTCATCAGACAATTGGAGCAAGAGTTAACAATAACTATTGGTGGGCAAACAATAAAAGAAGTTGGCTATTTATTACAATCTGGTAGAAACAAATTGGAGGGTTTGTGTCTATTGGAAAATCAAGTTTACTGTCTTGGCTAAAACGCTAAATGCAAAAGTCCAGCTCATTAAAAAGATAGAGGTAGGTGAGATTTAGAAAAGAGTGAAAGATGAGACAATTTGGGTTTTGAGAATTCAGTTTGAAAGTGATAATAATGATGCTGAATTCTGTTTTAACCAATAAAGAACTGATAAGCTTAGGATTACTAATTAACTAGTTAAGAAATCAAGAGTCACTTCTGTTTCCTAGAGACAATTTCAAAGTAGCAAGTGAAAAGGAATGTTATGATGGTTCCAGGATCAAAAGCATAAGAAAGATAAATACAGATGAATAATAAATGGTATCTGAGGTGATATTGTGTTGAATATAGAAAATTATATTTTTGCTGATATGTTGGTGTTGATGGACAAAAGGAAAATGAAAGTGTTGAAGATGACTACGTATGAAGAATTGAGCAAAAACTTGAGTGGAATAAAAATTGGACAATTGTATCAAAGAGATAAAGAAGTGGATCACCAGAAAGTATCAGATTTAGAGATAATTTGCTGTGATATTTTCAAGAACTGAAATTTTGAGGTAATACCTGTAATACTTATGTGAAAAGTTTTACCAAGGTTAGACAATCCCTTAAAAACCTACCAAAGTTTGCTGTGTGGACATGGGGAGTTTGGGCAGAGTGAAGTCAGGGTTGAGTTAGCGGAAGCACCAAATTCAGGATACAACAAGATCTTTGAGTGAATTTTGTCTTTGCAAATAATAAGGACACCAGCAGTTTAGGTGAGATGAACGATCAAAGGTGTTGTGTAAAGAAACAAGACTTAACAATATGAATGCTGACACGGTATTTATACGAACATGAAAAAACATGTGACTTGGACACGATTTGAACTCGCACCTTTGGGAAATTTGAATTGAACTTGCACCTTCGGGAGATTTGAACTTGCACCCTCAGGATACTATTTAAAATCTCGTCTAAGTCACATGTTTTTCATATTATTATGATAATTTCTCTGATGATGGCTTTGGAATAAAATAAGACATTGTACAGATAAATGTTGTAAATGTTAACATCAAGTTAAAGGAAGATGGAGAATTAAAATAAGAACAACTCTTGGAGAAGGTGTGAGAGTATTTTAGTACACAAGAGTTTGCAAGTTTGTTTGGATAGTGGGTGGGTACTTAAGTTGATGGTAAAAGGAAAAATTCCAAAGGACAGTAGTTGTACTGAAGGATAGTGCAGAGGTGAATAGCTATTACATGAACTAATTGTATGCTGTGGTGAAGCCTGGTCAAATAATTTTTAAATTTAAATGCTAGTTTATGAGTGTATATGAATGTAAGGGGTATGAGGGTCAGAAAGAGTAAGAGTGAAGTGCTATTCATGAAACGTTGCAAACGAGGAGAGAAACAATGAGAAAAACAATAGTCAGTACCCGGCCATGAACACTTCCAACAATAATCAGGCTAGGTTATGATTTTGAATAAGGTTGGGTTTGAGTCAGGCATGCAGGTAAATACGTATTTGGCGGGCTATGTTGAAACTATTCCAGAGAAAGTAATGTAGAGGTTATTTAGCGAAGAGGTTGACAGTCTTTCTTTCATGTTTGCCAAATAAGATATGCGTCTGAGTTTGACGTCTTGACTGTGTCGTGACAACATTGATTGTCATTGGTACAATAAAGTGCCGTCAATGATCTTGTTCCCATAACTACATCCGGTATTAAGTGCTACAAATAACGCTAACTCAACTTAATTTTTGACAGTTCGACGTGGGATGTTTGGAGCTGACACTCAAGTTTTTCTTTCAATTTCCCTTTCAACATACTGCAATATTCTCGTGAACCTACGAATGTAATCATAAAAATTTCTAACGAGAAAAATACTTGTAAAAGTCCGTTAAATCGTATCACATACATATAACACAATAAATATAAAAATTTAGTACGTACGTTGGCAGAATAAACTTTTTTATTATTTGTAATAAATTTTGTTTTGCAACACTTCAGTTCAATTTAAGAAATTTTTGCACACTATTAAATGTCGCACGTTTTCGACCTCGAACACTTACAATTTAAATTTGAAAACAGTTTTATAAATTTGAATAATTCGCGTTGCATCACATCAGCTAATATCATAGAAATATTTTTTTGAACTAGAAAACCAATGGCTTTGTTCGCTGAACAGAAATTTTCCCTTTTATAAACATTTAGGTTACCAAATTTCTGTATAACACTCTATAACTTACTGTATACTACATAATTCACTGTATGGAATATATTGAAACGCTTTCTTTATTTCGTTACAGTTCCTCAACCACTCTGCTTACATTCTCTGCAGAAATATTTTCTTTTTTCTCACTGTCAATTCTTGGTGCTTTCTCGGGTAGCCAGATATCAAGATCGACCCCTTCTAACACTTTCTCGCCGAAAATTTGCTTCAATTTTTGCAAGAAAGCCTCAAAATACTCATCTGCAACGATAGTGTCGAGCATGTCCAACAAGATGTGCTCTTTTTCTTTAACATACTTCTCCTTTACCATTGCATTGTGGTAAAATTCACATGTCGTGTGAGCTGCTTGCTTCCAAGGCATTGGGTTCCACTCCAGCAACTCCTCTGCAAGAGATATATCGAGCGGGCCCTTCGTCCCGGCCGGGTAAACGTACCATGTGGAGGTATTATCCGTATTATATTTTACATCGCCCAAGCCGTAGAAAGACGCAATGTAGTTAACAACTATTGGAAGTGTTATATGCTCTCGCATCGCGAAGTTTACAGCTTTGTTCTTAACTCTTTTTTGACTATCTGTCGAAACAATTTTCGAAAAGACGTCAGCTATATCATCAACGTGCACCATGCTGAAGTAATAACTGCGAACGTTGTCTGGGATATGAACAGGATAATGAATGACGTCATGTGTTAGCACCCATAGTTGATAGAACCACCATCTAAAATGTGGGAGGTCTTTAAAATTTGGGTTGCATTCAAGTTTGATTTAGGATGGATGTATGGGTGTTAAATTGCTTTGGAACGACATTTAAAAAATCAAATTCACACTCGCTACATAAATTCGCACTTATTCTAGTAAAACAAACATGTGTAAAGCATTAACACGAAAAGTTTGGGCACATTGTACATTCAACTTACAAAACATATTCAAAATATGTCATTTTAAGGCTCAATCAAGGAAAGCGATAAAAATTAAATTGTGCTTGCTATAGATGTTTACTGACCATGTTAGTGCAGCAGTCCTAAGGACTAGGGCGTAATTGACGTTTTAAAGTCTTTAGAGGTAGACAACAAAGTCAAAAGACTAACGCTAAGGACATCGCAACGTCAGTCTACCCTACAACCAACAGACTTTCTCAAGAATGTTCTAATCTAAACGATCAACATCAACAAACATGTTAGAATACTTTTTGGTTCAATGCAAAAGATATGGTAAAATTTATAAATTTAGTTCATGCACATTGGAAAATGTGATTGCTAACTTCAGCAGAATCGGATATATAAATAATAAATACAAATAGTATACATACGTTAACATTATTCATAGTTTCTCACCTGAAAGATGTATCTCGCGGTCCTATGATCAATGGAAGACGGACATTTAAGTATGGAACTTTGAATTTTTTTTCCCGTTTTAGGAATTCTTCGCATTCCAACTTATCATAGCCGTATGAGAATTTATTTTTCATTTCTAGTCTCACGTTTGGAGTTATTGGTCGTTTCGCTTCGCTTTCTTTACTAGGCCGAGTATGGTTCTTAGCACTTGCGTCATATACCGTTTCGCTACTTGTAAAAATATAATAACCTATTCTTTTGTGAAGTGCTGAAAGTTTTTCCTTAACATGACTTGGCTTAAATGAAGAGCAATCAACAACTACATCGTAGAAGGTTTCGTTCACAAACAGTTCTTTGCATTCTAGCAAAAGTGATTTGTGACAGTCGCATATGACTTGCTTTGACACAAATTGCGATATTCTAGAGTCTGAATCAAAATATGCGTTCCCCCTGCTCAACCACGTTATTTGGTGACCTGCTTTGAGCAATGAAACTGTGACTGCGCTGCCAACAAAACCATTACCACCGAAGATGAGAATTTCCTTTATTTTATTTGACTTTGTTACAGCTTTTAGAAGAGTTAGCAAAAGAAAGACTGCTCTGAAAGCTGAAACCGTTTTCGCCATCTGGTATACCAAGTTCATCGAAAATAAGGTTTACCACAGCATTGCAGTAGCACTTGTCTGTTAATGTACTTTTGTACCAGACTGTTTATATATGAGCTTGGGTGGTCGGGGCTTAACTGCAGCGGTTACAGCGTCATGAATTACAACAGCCATCGATTAACGATATTAACTTTCGGAAAAATCAGTAACCGTTTCATTGTTTTCAAGATATTTTGAATTTAAAATTAGTGCCCATAAGCAAATTGTTTGATTGATTTTTTCAGAAGCGATCAGCGGCTAGAATTTTAATTGATAGAGCTGGGTGGGTGTTGATGTGTATTTATATATTCACTTTGAAAAGATATCACTCGGGAACTACTGAATATATGAACAAACATCGCGTCAAATGTTTAGAACCGGTCCTGAAAACGATGCTATATTTATCATTTAAAAAATCATTGTAACATTTCTGCAGAGGCGCCAGCAAGAGGTTGCGACGCCCCTCCCCCCAATCATTCTAAGGTCTTTATATATGTAGCTTGTGAAATAAAACAGTGCGAAATGTATTTAAGTGACATTTTGTGAGTGATTTGCTACCCCCCCTAAAAAAATCCTGCCGGCACCTCTGCATTAAGTAAACGAGGTCTTCTGTAACTTATGTATGGATAAAATAGTGATTCATGGGTGAACTACCACTTCTAAGGATATCTTTAACACCCTGTATACTGTAAAATTGTAAAAATTTATGAAGATAGAGATCAAAAGAAAATCCTATGCGCAAAGGATTTTCTTGTTTGGCATTGTTCTCTTTCTTGGTCCGTTTGCAACCCAGGCAAAACAACGAAGTTTAGATATGCAAGCAAAGGGCAGCAAGCTCGGTAATCAAAAGAAAGCTTAAATTTATAAGGGCATGTTCTGTCATAAGCATAAGGACAAACAAAGACAAAAGAAAATACAAAAGATAGCAATGAAGTGAATGACACAAGCATCAGCATCAGCATAAGCACTGCAACTTGACATAAGAATAAGGTAGAACAAAATCAAAATGAAAAGAAAATCCCTTTTCTTTAATTTTCTTAAAACTAAGGACAATATACTTTGCTTTGTCGCTAGTGAAAACTAGGCTATATGCATTCATTTTGTATTCATATTGAAATCTATTGCTTCCTACGGATCATTAAGGCTTATTTCCATTTAGTGCAAATTGTTGCGAAATGGACTTTTTCAGATCACTTTTTTTTCAATTATAGGCTCTCGACGGGAACAGTTTTACACTACTGCACACAATTCAAAAGAAAGTGATCGATTCAATTCAAAAGAAAGTGACGCATTGTTGCAACACAAAACCCAATACCTTCTGATCCCATAGGCATTTAAGAAATTTAGGAAGCGGCAAAACGATCTTAGACGTGAAAATCCTGCCAAATAGGCAAGGATACATTCCGGAGAGGGGCGAAATTAGAACGCTAGTTGGGGAGTGAATTTTCATACATTCAGCTCTGTCCAGAAAATAGCGTTCTACTTTCGCCCTGATTCCTAACGTTTCATCTTTTACAAACTGGAGAATTCAAGAATGAATGTAATGACAACAAACAACAAAAACGTTTGATCCTCTGACCTTGGCAGATCGAGGAAAGGCTCCAGTGTTTGTACATGTCCAGTGATATTGGTTTTCAATCCAGCAAAGCGTTAAGTTACGTTTTATACTTTGATAATTACGACGTGTTTGGGTTTTTTGGGCAATATTTGAAGTGGATGAAATTAGATAACATGAAAACGTAATGCAAAGTGTAGAAGGTCATGCAGAAGGTGTAGAAGGTCATGCAGCAAGGACCAAAATGTAGCTTTGTTAATGTAGTGATAGTAAATTATTTTAATTAATATATGTAAATGGTACGCAACTTTGAGATATAATGCATGACTCAATAAATAAAGTTTTGGTTGGAGAATGTGCCTCTTACAGATATTTTCTTCTTTTAATGCTTCCTTCTGAAATTCATCGCCTTCCTCCACCAGTATCACAACCCATTTATTTTATGTAGCAATTCCCCAATCATTTTCATGAATATTAGGGTGATAAATTATGTTGTAGGATGTTTAAATAAAAAATAAAATAAAAAATAAGAATAATTCTGACATCGTAATGAACGTATGAGTTATACAGCATGCATGTTTGAAAACGTTGACACGTCAACAGCTATATTCAAATAAAAAAGAATCGAGGAATGATCATCGACATTGTTAAAAACATAATCTACTTTTTCAAGCTATTCCTTACCATAGCTTTTCGTTTCAAGCTTCTTTCTTTTGTTAAGTTTTTCAACTACAACACACTACATCTTAAAATCTTTCGTTATGCCGTTTTAAAAAATATTTCCACTACGCACCTGTCACAATCTATGGCCTTTTTCTTTGCTCATCTCAAGAAGAAATGTTTTGAGAAAGCAAGTTCATATAAACTACAATGACAGGAGGTACAAATTTCCCCAAATGCATCACATCACAAAACACGTTAGTAGATACTCATTAAGATGCACAGGAATTAGTTGAGCCCGGTAGTTGACAAGCGAATTGGCGACCATTCCGAAATAACAACAGAAATGTCATTTAAAGATTTCTACCGAAAGGAAATTTACTTGGTTCTAGACTCACTTATTATCTAGTATACCGATACCATTAAAGTTTGCATCGACCAGATAAAACCTCTTGGAGAGAGCTTACAGCTGCCACTAGAAAGGCCGAAGGCTGAAACAGTTAATAAAATGTGTAGTCTTTTTCCACCGCTGGCGGTAAAAGATGTTGATGCAGAAATACTGCTGTCTGAGTTGGAAATTTTCAATATTGTGTAATCACAACTTAAATCAGAACCCAAATCCCTTCAAGACGTTGCGTTATTTGCTTTCAAACAAAAAAGTCTTTCCAACGGTGTGCAAGACGTGTCAACTATTGCTGACCGCTCCAGTGTCCGTGGCAAGATGAAAGGTGTTTCAGCATGCTTGAGATTGTCAAAAACTGCCTGAGATCCACAATGAAAGATACGCGATTAAATGACTTAATCGTTTTTGCATGCGAAAAAGATCTTACGGACAATGTTGACTTAAATGTTATTTTAAAAAATTGGGCAACTGCAAAGATGCGAAAAAGCCATTAAAGATTTAAGAATACGCTAAAGTGCGTTCTGCCAGAAGAATACAACATGTATTAAAAAATATATAGTGAAAATCTGTTCAATCAACCCAATATTTTATTATTGAATAAGTACTGTTCCATATGATCTGCAGGGCATCTTGCGTCCTTGCAGGGCAATTTCATCCCAGCCCCCCCATTTAAAAGTTGCTAGTTTCGCCCCTGTATGCAGGATTCGACTTAATTCATGCGCAAAGGTGAAGTGTCTGGAACGGATACATTCACAATAAAAACGGTGGGATTTAAAAAAAAATTAACAAGCTAGTAAAAAGCCAAACTATTGTTGTGGTGGTAGATGATGGACTGAATTTCTAACCACAACATTTGAATGACAAACAAAATTTTTCAGACATGAAAACTGAATACATCGTTCTCCAAAGGTGTTCGATAGCTGTCGTAATTTACCTTAAATAAAGTTCATTTTCTGTTGCTTCTATGTTGTCAAAAGGATGAAGTTTTGTCATTTATGTAATTTATTTTTAAGGGCCAGTGAAACCAAAATTTTGCTCGTTAAAATTATGTATTGCCGAGAACTCTTAACAGTTTTATCATGTCTTTTTGTTCTCAAAATATTGAAGTTTTGTAAAGTCTATTTACACAACCAGGACGTCACTAAGCGTTGCGAGGAAAGTATTCTGATCTAATATGCCGGACTGAGTTCCTGCATTTTGAGTGGTAATGGAATAAAATCATGCGTATGGCACTATGGCATCCAAAAGTTGCTCGGAAAATGTTGGATATTTGTAAATTTACAGCATCAACATGCAATATCACGTCTGCACTCGATAATAAAGAGATATGTGTATGTTAGTTCTCTTCATGGAACTGATAATTCAAATAGCAAAATTTTCGTTTTACAGGCCCTTTTCGATAGAAGAGTTCTCTTCAATGAAAACGTTCTTTAACTAACAAAATTTTTGTTTTACCGGCCCTTAAAGAAGGAGCGAAAAGTGCGACAATTGTCACGAAACACGGCACTCAGATATTTATAACAACACCTCACAGAAAATTTGAGCTCCTACTCCAATATATAGTTAACTAGAACCTATCAAGCTATTGCAAACGAAAAACAGAAATCTCATCAGGAAAAATCACTCAAACACATAAAAGCGGTATTAATACAGTCATTGATAGATCCAAGGTAATGTTATTGCCAGAGAAAAAGGATGGCATTTAAACAAGAACACAGTTTTTTTAAATATGGCTAGTGAAATCATCCAAATGAACATTGCTTATTCAAGAATCAACTATGTAATACAAGTAATAAATGAAATATAAACAACGTACATGAATGATTTTGTTTTACTCGGACAAAGTTCTTCAGTTGTTTTAAACGGATTTGATTAACTAAAGCCCTGCCAATAAGTGGACGAGTGAGCGTTAATCATCACGGCACTTTAATATTGACGAATCGAAATGTCCAACGCCATAGCAAGTTCGGTGTTTGAAAATATGTTTAATGGCTTACGAAAAACCTTAACTTTATTTTTATTCTTCTTTGTACATGCTAACAAAACCATTATACATATAACAAATGTCCATCGCACCGATCTATGTATACCTAAAGCATTTAGCGGAGGCAATGACTGCTGGAAAAAATTTCAAAAAGTTACACCTGACGTGATGCTATGATTTTGTACTTTCTGCTTGCACGATACGAAGCGCGACTGTATTGCCTTTCATCTTTTGGCAAGTTTCAGCACAATCCCTTTGCGAGGTGGTTTAGAATCCAATTCTGTATTATCAGGCGTTTCTGCCTCGGTCGAGAGTAACTTTACAGTCCAATTTGAGTTCACTGTAGTACTGTCAGGACTACCAACTGGAGAGTGAATAGGACTGGTAGCTCTTGACGACACAGGTGATGGGGGAACAGAAAACACATTTGGAGTCGGTGGGTTATTTATACGATCGAAATCTGTATCCGAAAGCGGAAATGTTCTTAAAGGCCACGGTTCAATTACTGGCCAAGCCTCACAACTATCTTCATTGTCAATTGACGAATGTTTACGATTGCTGTTCTGTTTGGAACTTTTCGCTGATCGTTCAACTTTGTTGTTCAAAGGATCTGAAGGTAGCATGTTTACTAATGCAACGGAAAGCCCAGTCGGCGAAGTTACATTTAGAGAATTACTAAGAGATGGGTTAGTAGATGTAGGCGACGGCGCACCTGATGAATTATGATTTGCAGTTAAATGTCCATCAAAGAGAAGTGATCCCGGAGATACTGGCTCCGGGGTAGTTGCTTCACTTCGTGCCGGACGTTTTTTCTTCTTGATGGCCAAACCCACAAACCGCTTTCGCTCATTCTCTTCGCATTTTAAATGTCTTAGTGCGAACGAAAGATTTGATAGATCTTCTAGATTTTCGTCATCCTCTTCCTAAAAACATTCGTGATAAAAAGCAAGATTAGTCCACAGATTCGACCGACTACTTAAGAATTGTGCACGCAAAATTAAAACGTAATAACGGAATCAGCAAGGTCAAATTTAGGATATATTTGAAGTTCATCCCCCCTTATCCCATCTCTCATAAGTGTGCAACAAAATTTACACTCTCGCACCAGCAATATTAGATTTTCATCTCCTTAAGTAACAAAAATAACTTGTTGCCCGTTAAAATGGGATTTTTTCAGTTTTATTATACGAAACAAATAGATAAAATTTAACTATTGTCTGTTAAGTTTTAGGTATATGGGTAAGACGGCATTGGTAATAAGAACAAAAAGTGATTACACGGTAGTTCGAGGCTATTTTTGAAGTTCTCGTCACAAATGACGTCATGCCCATCCAACTATAACTGAACAGACAACGCCATTTTTGAAGTTCTCATCGCAAATGACGTCATGCCTATACAACTAACTGAACAGACAACGGTCAAACGTAATTTATTTGTTAAATACACGTAGCTTGGACTTATTCATCAATGCTTTAAATAATCCCACTAGCATAGAAAATTCTCTTGATTTTTTTTTGCATTAAAACTGTATAAACGAGAAACAGCTCACCAATCCATGCTCCTTGGGTGTTATTGTAATTTCACGCCAAGCCGGGGTAAGTATCTCCTTATACTGCAATTTCTCCACCCTCGTCGTTGAGGCCATGGAGTACGGAATGACAATATTGTTGATGTCAAATGCATTGCTATTGGGTTTCTTTTTCTTAGCATTAAATGCCCCAGAACCAAACGCGTTATTAAAAGTGGTTGGACTAGGTGTGTTTGACATTGGACTGGACGGTCTACTGCTACCAGATGGCAGGGACAAGCTACGAGCGCGTTTCTGCAACTGGTTAGCTGAAAATAACACAAAGAAGACATGATGCGACCATAAACAAGTGCTACAGGGTTTCTCAAAAAAATGCTTATCTTTGGTAATTATGCTTGTCTCGGTAAATTGGCCAACATTTAGAATTTGCGTGATTCAGCAAAAATTGATAAAACATGTTGTGTGTTTATGCGATTAGGCTGAATTGGTTATCTCGTTGCCTTAAGCACACTATCTAAAAAAGCGCCCTCATTAACATGGACGGATTCACTGGGGAGGGGGGTGGGTGCCGGGTGTACCACCCCAAAAACTTTACATTTCATGTTGTGTTTTTGGGTGTGGTGGCGATGGTACATAAATTGTTCTCCCCTCTAAGAAACATTTCACCCCTTGGTCTTACGTCACCTCTTTACCAGCTCACTTCATTAAAATTTTTTGCACCACCCATGTAAAGAATATGAAAACCCGTCCATGTTATCTACCCAATTTCAACACATTGCCATGCAAACAATGAACTCTAAATACGGATTACAGTGAAGTGTAAAAAAGTAAGAAAAATATCAAAGACTTAATAAAATAGAAAGCTTCGTTACAATTAACAAAATTCACCATGTCAGGAGACTGGGACTCAGAAACCGGTCGTGTGTAAAATTTGGTAAAACATCAGAAAAACCGTAATTTTAACTAACAGGAAGTGATAATAAATTGTTAATTTACATCATATAATAACCACAAGAATTTGAACAATTTCATTGGTCAAGAGCTATGATCTATAAGAGGACCGGACACACGGCATTGACGTCACAGAAAATTTGGAGAATGAATATATATCTGTGCAAGCAAGTGGCTCTGCAAAGCCTATTTGTAAGTTTTCGTTTCTTTAAAACAAATTGTTTTACCCAAACTTGATTCTTAACACAATGTCAAAATATTTCATGTAATGATCAATTATAATCATAAAAGTTATTAAGCATTGTGAGTGACATAGTACTACAATAAAAACTCTTATACAAGCCACAAAAAATGGTATGTCAGAAGAACCAATGCAATTTAATCCTAGAGTTGTAATTTCAATAAAAATGAATGTAGTTCTGTTTAGCAGTAGGTTCACAGTTGTGCTGAATAGTTTACAGTGCTGTTGTATTATGATATCTGGTTCAAATTATTCAAAAGCAACCACAGCAATGCACGTATTTTAATAATATCATAGTATTTTGAATTTTACATTGTTTTTTCTTGTATGTCAACAAGTTCAAGATATTTTTTAACATGCACTCTATAAAACTTCCTGAATGTCAATATGTTATATTGATAAGACACCAACCAACATCAGTCTGTACCATTGGTCTGTACTCAGTGTCCAAGCAAAGTTAACTCAAAATTTAATAAAAAATACAAACTTCGAACTCAGTCAAGACTTAGCTAGGTAACATTTTTAGCTTCAATACGTACTTCTTTAATTCATTTTTGTCGAGTTAATCGATAGAGATGTTTGCAAGAAGCTGTTTACGAACAAATATCGCTATGTGAAGACTGAAGTGTCCAAATGTTCGCACTTGAACATCTAGAAGACATTTATGATCACACGAAAAAATGTCGCCTATTCCTTAACAAAGTTTCACACCGCATACTTTATTGACATCATTGTACCGATTTGTGCGTGTATTTCATAAAATGCAAAAGCATATCTTTCAATCTAAAACTGCCTGGTTGAGTCTGTTTGTTTTCACTGGTTGAATGTCGTAATGAAACAATATTATTATAAATTACTCAAATCATTAGGGAGTGAATAATAAAAATAATTTTTCAAGTGGAAGTTTTTCAACCAAAATTTCCTATTGGCATCCATGTTTTTGACAACACTTCCCAGGCCCCTTTGTACACCCAGTTAATTTAATAGAAATCAATGGTTCAAATGTGTCTTGTACGTACGTATTTTTTACGTACAACTATCAGCTCGTTGTAGCAAAATGAGTAATTTCAGTCAAATCCGTCCGCAAAAAGGAAAACTTTGGAGTCAAAAATTGATGATGCACACAAACTTACATAATCTGAGACCAGCACTGACTGCAGCAGATCGTTTGTTCACTTTTGACGATTTTTGCCTCAAAATTCGATCGTTCTTTGCTGAACTTGAGGTCTTTTTCTTGTTCTTTCTGTCTCTAAGATTTCGTATGTCTTTACGAAATGAAAAGAGAAAGAAATGCATTAATATATCTTAAAAGATAATTGTGGAAATCATGCAATTACCATTTCGACAAAACCGAAGTCACCAGCAACACCTCAAAATGGTAATAAATGCAAAGCTCATGTCTCTTGACATATTTTTTAAAAAACGCTCGCCATACGCTCGTATCCAATAACGAGGAAAAAATGGTAGAAAACCATGCATCGCTTCTTTAGGTGAAAACATCAACGATTGGAAAATTATTTAAGTAAAGCAGCAAAACTATCAAATTGCTTAATAAGACAAATCTTTTTTCAAAAAGGCTTGTCTTAAGCAATTTTAACTGGTAAAACTTGATAGAATCAAAGCAAAAACATTTATCAGATACATGAACGCGATTGAACATACCATGTTTTTTGTAGGACGTTGCCAGCGTTTCCTTTCCTTCTTTCTTCTTAGTTACACCTGGAGTACTTGCAGAGCGAACATATTTCCTGAAATATTTGATGAAATAGCTATATTTACAGCCATAAAGCATATGTACAGTGTTCGCGGTGGAAAATAAAAACCAAATCCTAGCTTGAATATTACAAAAATATTGATTGCCAAATGCAATTACCGAATGCCCACATTGGAGAAGTCACGCGTTGCCTTAACAAAATAAATTTTAGCAGTAATTTTTCCTTGGCTGGCCCAAACCATTGAAGAGTTTATGTAACAGTTTTTGCACACAGATTCAACTTATTCTTTTGGTATTAACACTTGAGTTTAGCTTACAAGGAATGAAATAGAGCATTGCCTCCTTGGGAAGAGCTCCAACATTAATATGCGCTAAACATTAACGAACTTCTTCCGAGGACAATTACAATGATTAATACTATCAAAATTACAAGGTTAAATAGTTGGAATGTTATTAAACAAAAAGAATGATAGCACAGCGCTATAACCAACAACTACAAACAATAAGCTATAAACTATAAACTATAAGAATGATAGCGCTGTGCTATCATTCTTTTTGTTTACTATCAAAATTCCAGCAAAGCCCCTCTTCACTTAATTCGTAAGCTATTCTCTATTAGTCTAAATCCGAACTTCTTTTCGAAACTGTCATAATTTAGGTTCGAGCCTTTCGACAAACCAGTTCATAAAAAAAGTATAAGCGTATCCCAGTGGGAAAGAACTGTCTAAAGGGGTGTTTATATGATCCCAGCTAACCGTACGTAATTCAGTGAGGCGTGAAATAAATTCGGGCATTGAAAGAAGGCAAAATTTCAAGCGTAAAAATCATTACCATTGTTAAGCGCCATATGTCATTCTTGTTGTAATTCTCAAATTAGGCCAAATTGGTTGTTTTAATTTTAAATGTTTTGCTTAGTTATGAAATCAGAAAATCTCAAATTGCTCAAGAAGATTTATGTGATGATGAGTATTGAATCGTTTCCATTTGCCATAAATCATTTAACGCTTGACTGAATCCAGGCTACCCGGGCTCATGTAAATAGCCCCTAATACTCGACATCGTTTAGGTTACCGCTATTTTCAAAACGGGCAGTAACAATGAATTAAACTCAGGGACGTAGAAGAACGGAAAGTTTTGTCTGGCAATGTAAATATTTCGATGTTCAATAAGCATAAAAACAAGAGATTGCAAAAGAAATAAGCAATTCCTTTCATCCGATATTTACATAGCACGACCAAAAATACAGGCAGCAATGCCACTGCTCAAACTTCACTGAAGGCAATGCAATAATTACTGACCGTTTTGTTCCAAAGGTTTTGTGATCATTGGGAGCGTTAAGTTTGAATATTCTGCTCTGGAAATTGCCTTTTTTTAACAAAGAACCAAAGTGTAGTGACAGTGGTATCTCTGAAATAAAAAATTATTTTCAACGATCAACTGAATCGCATGAGAAATTTCAAGACTTATTATCTCTTTTGGAAACTAATTTCCCAACATAATGCGAATTTACTTTTTTCTCGTTCTCCCGTAAATACATGCACGAAATTTACAGAGCATTATAAAGGAAAGGCATTCTTGACGGTGGCTACAGTCGCGTCGCAAGCTTGATAAGTGAGAAAGGCAATATACGTACATATATACATAGAAACAATTGATTTCTAAAGAACTCAATACGGAAAATTATGTATATCACGATAAAATCCCCCCTCACTTATTGAGCTTGCATTACGCCACTGGTTAACTGCTTACCAAACGGTCAAAAAATTTAATGCCGGAGGGTGACGATTGTGACATAGAAGGACGTAACAACAAATTAAAAACAATGACGGATTCTGTTTCGCCTACATGCGAAAGATTATAATTCTCGTTTCTTTGGTAGAAGTAATCAACGAATAGCAAAGTTTTGACGGTCCACACAACAGTATTGACTTACAATATATCCAGCTTGGTTTTCAAGTTCAACATAAAGCTAGAATCATGCAAAGACATAATAATTGTATAATATGCATTATGTTGATAAAATTTGCAAAACGGCAAAAAATAAAAGATATCAGTGTACAAAAATGACTAAAGCGATATGACCGTATATAATTATGGTTAATGTAGCTACAAATGCGTTATTTGAGGACAACTTCGGTTAACATGTTTGAATAACATCTATTAGTACGGTTGCATGAAAGGCAAAGTTGACTAGGCGCAAACGCCATGAAAAAGGCCTTGAAGCCATTGCACGACAAATTCCAATTGCGAAAATCGTAAAAATCCAGGCTCAGAGATCACTTTACATTCATCTTTAGAATGTTTATAAATTTCTGGTTCAACATCACTCAGATTTGACAAAAAGAAAAATGTAAACAAATTGCTTATTTGTCCAAAACATTTTTTTCTAGTGCATCATATTAATGCAACCTGCCTTGAGTTGTGGATTGTTGTAAAAATAAAACTTTGTTGCCGTATTTTTTAATACTGTTGCTTTTGTAAAGTATTGATTCTATAAAAGTTGATAACCTTTGCCATACAATGGTTTATTTTGGGACGTGTTGTAGAAATTTACGTATCGTCCTAAACCTAAATTCAAAAGCTCTGATCTTTGTTTGAAATCATGAGTTACATCGAAAATGTATTGTCAAATTACAATGTTTAGAAAAAAATAAAAGCACAGTTCACTAATTCCATGAGACAGAAAAACCAAAAATGCTACCTACACATGTATGTACTATAGAGGAATGGGTGCAATATTCACCAATCAGCATCTTTTAGACATTTCAAAAATAAATATATGTATCCATAAATTTGGTATGGTATACCTTTTATAACTAATATCTATCTCATCCTCAATTCACACCTAACTTTCTACTCACCATTATCAAATGACAACACAGGATGAAAAGCTAAGTCAACAAGAGCAACTCGATCCTTCATGCTTTGCTTTGGCATCATCTTTGGCAAACTGGGTGGACTTTGCCGACACAATACACAAGGCATACATAAATCCTCACAAGAGCACAGCAAGCTTGAGTTGGATCTTTCAAGCTTTGACAAATGGAAAAGTTTCCTCTTCCTCCATTCTTTAACTGACCTTGTTCTAGCAGCTGTACAAGTATCAATATCGTTCATTTGTGACTTGATGGTAGATTTCTTCATGTTCAACAGCAAATCCTTTTCAAACAAATTGGTAGAAGTTTTGGAAACAAAGTTATTGACTGAAGACAAAGCGTTAGTGCTTTCCTCGTCGTTACAATGATTCAATTTAGAAGCAACGATGTCTGTCTCTCGGATTTATCAAACCTTGGCTCGCTAATGACACCAAAACATTTTGATCATTACCATGCCTTTGTTCGTTAAGACGATGGCCATCTTTTGCCACGCACGGTTTTGTACGCTTCTTCACATCTCCAATTGCTGCTCAATGTCGATGACCTGCGAACGTAACCATGTCCATTTTGACGCGATGCTGCCCCGATCGGCATAAAACTGAGTCAACGGGTTACTGAATCTACAATAAATCATACTAATACTAGTTGTATATGAACATACACGACACTCAAATTAGGCAATGGTGGAGTGGGGGGAGGCATGGGTACAAGTCCTTTGACAAAGTAAAAATTTATTTAACTTGCAAAGCCATACAAAGATAATAAAGGTTAAGAGCAGAGAACAACAAACCTCAGAAGTAAGTTATCTAGTTATAAAATGTTTACCATTTAGGTGATTGGAGCAAAAAAAATACATTGAAGAGTTACAAAGCTAACAAGAAGCATTATTTATGTAAATGAATATTATTGAGAATAAGATTACTGTAGAAAGTTAGCAGACAGATGCTTTGCTATTACGAACAAGGGATTTCTCCTAAAATTGCCATATATTTTTATTGCTTAATTTTCATACTACTTCTACACCTTTTAACAGTGTGCACGATATCAAAACAACATAAAAACATACATATTTGTTCAGCTACATGTGCTATGTTAAATACAACAGGAGACAATTAATAATTTTATGATCAGTAATTTTATGAGCAATTTAATTTCCAAGGAAATAAAATCAATTGTATTAAAAATTTTAGCCAGTGACATATTTACTTGAAATGATACTAAACAATCTCAAAGAGTTGACTTACTGTAATACAATACATTGCACTGTTGATATGTACAATATGTATAAGTGATGTACTTTTTGAGGAAAAAATCTTATCCTAAATAGAGAAGTAATAAGTGACACACATAGGATGTTTAGTCATATTTTTGTTTCCTAGCAAGTTGGCCCAGCATTTTGAAAGAAATTAAAGAATACATTCAGTATTCTTAATGGTTTATAAATTGAAACTATTGCTTTTCTTCAGTTGCTTATTTACATAATGGAGGCACATAAAATGACTCCCATTCAATTTAGAAACAGGTGTGTACTAAGAAGCAATTATAGCAGTTAAAATGGTCAGAATTTGAATACTACAGGTACAAGGATGCTTCTCAGAGCACATAACAACACATCTTAAGTTGTATGCAAGTCAATAAATAAAGTTGATAGGTAGCTTGACAATAAAATATGGCAGTTTATTGAAGTTGCATGCATGTGCAAATTCTTATACATACATCCCCTGGAAAAACTTAACAAGTGAAAAGGCAGACACTGGATAAAGTTAGAACATAGAATAAAACACTTTACTAAAAACTTATTTTGTTGAATGCATGGTGCATTTAAGTAAGTAAAAAGGTACAATAAGACAACGCACGAATTAAACAAAGGCTAAGACAATTGCTTACACTAAAAAAGAATTGAAAATGCCTAATGACTGCCAATCATCATGTACTTTCATCACATAGCATTTGCCAATTCTAACAGGACAACATCAAATACGACGCTATTTTAATTTGTAGACGTATTTGTACACTAATTTATGTATTTTAAGTAAAGAGCTATCTGTGTAATTTCATAAAATTTCTTGAACATTAGATCGGACCATGCTGCTCAATGGCTTTATTTCCGGTTAGAATAACATAAGCAAATATCGGTAGATTAAACAATTCGCTTGAAAGAAACATATACTTTCTTTCAGTTACGTACCCTTTAGGTTTAGGATCATTATTACCGATGTTCAAATCCATTTCATCACAGTCTCACCTCCCGAACTACATTCGGTTGCATCAGAATCGCCTACATGTTCCGTAAGTTCAAGTTGACAGACCAAAGTTCTGGCCGCATTTCCATCGTTTTCGACGTCTAAATTAACCACACTCTTTTCTGGGATGTTATTAACAGTATTTTCCCAGAAGTACATTCTTCCTTTTGCTGTTATCACAAGCTTGCCCCTTGTCTATTACATGTCACTGAGTTTATTGTTGTTTCGATAGTCTTCTTCTTGGTCGAAGGCAACACTTCATTGTGCTTTGTTTCCTCTTTGCTATGAGAATAAATTTGCTGACTCTTTCTACGATTTAAAGCAAACGTTTGCAGTTGTTCAGTAACATGGTTTTCCAGTTGCCGCGATTGCAATACGCGAAGTCTTTTTTCGAGTTTACGACAGCGGAGAGAAAGCCGTGTTTGACTTTGGGCAACACTGGTCACTTTCTTCTCTAACAAATTTCTTGACAACGGCTCAGCACAATATACTGATTCGCGCTGATTTTCATGCAATTCACCCTCCGAAGACTGACAACTGCTTCGATTCTCCAGCGAGTCCGAACCACATGTTTTGTTGTTGTTATTGGGATCCGGTGGGCGTCGAAAGAAGAGTTTCTTCTTTAGCCGAAATCGGTCGAGTGTTTTGTTCATCGCCAGAATCAACATTTCCAGAGGTTAGATTTGCCCTATCGTTATTTGTACTATCCGACTTAATCAGGCCGGACGATCCTTTAACGCGCAAGACAAGGTCTTCAATCTTGCTGCTTCGGAGGCAAGCGCGGGAGCCATTTGCGCCATTCATGCCTTACGATAGGAAAACGCAAAACAAACCTAAAATACAAAACAAACCTGATTGAAAACAAGACTGATTAAGGTATTACTGGACGTTCAAATTGTTGTTTCGCGGCGTTGGCAATCAAATTCAACCCAACAATTTGAAAATCAGAGCACGTGATCGCCACGTCCTTTTGGCGTAGTTTCTAATTCTCGCAATTGTACACGCCGAGTATTGCAAAACCAGTTTTTTCCGATCGAAAAATACACCACTTAAACGAACAAGCCAAACCAAAAAAATAACAGAAATTCATAGATAAACACCTCTGTACGCATTTTCGACTACTTTATGTCTTCAACACTCACGTTCTCAGTCTTGCTGAATGAAATTCTCCACAATATGGCGATTAAATTCTCACAATATGGCCGCTGAATTCGTCGTAGCTTCGTCTAATATTTTTTAATCACATGGCTTGTTGTTTGAACACAAGCAACCACCCTGCAATACTGCATTGCCATTGGTGCAAAATGACGTCAGGGAAGTTGCTTAGCGAGTATATTGAGAGAATATATCTTTTCATCGCGACCTCTTCCTGTATTGTAGGACCTGAAATGGACAAATACGATTAAAATAATAAACAGCGTACTGCATACATAGTGAACATTTAACACGAACAAAAATATCCCAAGTACACACAATTAACGAGAGATCATAACCATTTTCAGTGTTGGGATAAAATGTTGGCGTTCGAAAATGGAAGCAATATGGCTGCCGTTTGTTGTTCAAATATGCCCTGTCCTTCTTTATTCATTGAAATCATCGCCCATTGATTTTCAAGCTATATCACTTTCAAATATTGAAAAGCAACGCATTTAGTATAATTTGGTACTTCCTAAAGCTAGTATTCTAAATCATGACAAGTTTCAACAAAATATATACTACAGCAAGGGGGGGCGTCAATAATATTAAAATAGTCCATATTAAATATTGGTATTAGGGTGTAACAGCTGATTTGTTCTAACATAAAAAAAGGCGATAAACTTTCTAAAAGTGCAAACGTATGATATTTTCAACATAAAACTTAACTTTGATGAATTAAAACGCAGCTTAATGATTTTTCTTTGAAGCTAATTATCATCATCGTTCCAAGAAAAAATAATGAATAAAATTAAAAAGAAAATCTGCTGACAGTTATTTTCATAGAGGTTTCGTAGTTGATAAAACAACATTAATGTTCAGCATTTTGATCACATCTTTCTATTATATTATGTATCGTCTGCTTGAATTTGCTACTCTGAATTCTTTGACTGGTCACTTTCTAGTTTCTACTTGTAGTAACTGGTTAGACTTAAACGTAAGCCTCAAAATTTCAATCATTGCCCACCTTTGCTGAAACGAATTCTGTTAAAATTTGAAGAAAAACTCGCGTCTTGACGTCTTATGAACTTTACTCTGCTGGCAATCATGATAAGGAATTAATGAAGAAAAGTTTATTGAACTTACTTATAATTTGTAGTATACAAATTTGCGACTCTGTTTGATTGTCACTTCCTTTAGTCGACCGCTGATATTTAAGCGCTGGCGCAATCTCTAAATAACACTGCGTCTGTCAGGTGTGGTCATGGGTGTGGTTATTATGTTTGAATAATAATTTAATATTTCTCTTCAAACCAAGAAAGTCATAGTTATTTTAGAATTTTTTCTAATCTATGTATGGGCTATTGTGTTATAAATGTACACAAAAATAAATTTATATTCCGTCAAATCTGTTAAAGTTATCCTCTTGCTTAGCTAACATTTCAGAAATTCCACTACAAAACAAAATAATATCATAATCCCCCCCCGAAAAACAGTGAAATAATAAGCGAATTGCGGGATTTCACAGTTGAATGGAGAGAATCCGAAAGTGTTTCATTATAGTTTTCTTTCAATTTTCTGTTGTTTTCTGTCACGAATATGACTACATCAATGCGTACGACGCAGGAAACGATCAATTTCTCAACGTTGGTCAAATAGTAAATTCGAAAAAGTATCTTATATACGATGTCAATCCTGGCGAGGGCTTTAATCTCCGACGAGATGTCTATTTAAGGGTTGCTAATCTTGTAAAATTGCTGAACGAGAACGGAAACTGGACGCTTGTAGTGCCTCCATGGCGACATTTGTACCACTGGAAAACACACGACATCAAGCAAAATGCCATGCCTTGGAAAACGTTTTTTGACATGAAAAGTCTTAACCGTTATATACCTGTCATTGAATTTGAAGACTTTGTCAACGAGACAGGTAGCTCTGTCATTGACCTAACCATGTATTTGCAACGATACAAAGAAGGATGGGTTAATGGTGAATGGGAAGAAAAAATGGATGAGCGAGAATGCCTTGATGAACCCCCCTTCAGGTATAAAATAGGATGATAGTAGTATGTTGTCAGCATATTTTTTCTTTGAATAGTTGCTGTTACTTTAAAATTTAATGAGTCGAGTTTTGTTGTATTACCTATTGAAATATTTCAATTCAATGAAAATATTTGGAGAGATTGTTGGATAGTCAGTGCTATCGGATGTGCTTTGTATAAGTTGATTAGTAATTCATCATTTCTGTGGCATAACCTGTATGCATGTTTGGCCCAGCTATGTAAATTTCAGACCTTAAGGATTATATAGTTCTTTCGAGATATATTGTTTTACAAGGAGTGAACAATGAAATTTTTACAAAGCATGACCAAACTGGCAATTGTATTATAAATTTTAAGAGGAAAAAACATTGGTTTGACTGTCTTTGTCATAGAGTATAACATGTTTTTTCACAACTCTTGCTCACACTCATTGTAGGGTTCTATATAAGTCTTGATTTGTTTAATGCATTTTTTGTAGTCAAAAAAAGGTCAAACTTCAAGTGTCTGTTTCTGTTTGATTTGTTTTTGTTATTTTTCATTGACTGTTTTTTACACAATTGGTTTGAGAAGTCTTGAATATGTTTCTCAAAATGCAGTATGGCCATTATTGTTGTTGTTATTTTGCAACAAAAGAGATGTAATCCTGTGTGTTTCATGTTTTAGTGTTTGTATTTTTGAGGTATGAAAAAAGACTGTGCTTTTTGTGTTGTTATATATGTGATGGTGTACATACTTTATAGTGATTCAGTCTATTTTGTTTATAACAAATTTATTATAAAATTGTCTGAATATAGGCTTCAATCAAATAGTAGATAAACTCTTGTACAAAGCTAGGTTCTAAATAAGATGGTAAAGACAATTTGCTGAAATAAATTTCAATGTGTGGATTAACAGCACTTGTGCAAGTTGCACGTTATTTTTTACTGAAATATAAAAATTTCATGCAATATTTCGAACAATATGCAAAAGAAGAAATGCTTGATATAAATTGGGATTATTTTTAATATGATATCAATATGATTAAAACATCAATAAAAAGATAAAAACAAAAGAAAGTTGTCATATTTGAGTAGTAGTGCACTACATGGTTTACTAAACACACATTTTCAAATTATTCATTTTTAATCATGACTTTGGGTGACTATTTTTCTGAATAAACTTGCTTAATGTTTTTGAGTAATATGCTATGCATTTCTACAATGCAAAAGTAACCAATATTACTAGTATTTTGTTATTACTACCAAGGTTTGTTGAGAGAAATTTGCTTTTCAGTAATCTTATCATTCTACAGATATACTTAGCTAAATAGTCAAATTCAAAATTTCAATCAAATGTTTTTATTGAAAAGACATGATTGATACATTAGGAAATACTTTACAAAGTATTGACACTTTAAAAATTTCACACTCAATTTTAAAAATTAACTTCAAAGCAAAAGTCTTTCCACATTGGATTTCATCTTCTCTCATTATAACAATATGTGGTTTCTGTTGTTTAAATTATTATCATTGTTTGTATTATTAATATTGTAGGACTTGTAAAATGTGGAATGGTACATTAGGTAATGCAAGGATTGTTTTGGCTAAAAAATTACCCAGACCTAATGTGTGTGACATAGGCTGACCTCAGTGTGTCTCACACGAGGACTGAATACCTCTTTCATATAAGTGTAATCATCTTGAAAGGTTTTTGAGAATACCTTATTGACAACTTTTTTTTTGTAGGAAAGTTGAAGGTGGAAATTATGAAGGATATTTCTGGGGCTTGAATGATGTATACCAAAGAATTCAAGTGCATGTCGGTTCAAGGTCTTGCTAGTATCTTGAAGCCTACATTACTGAACCTCAATGTAAGGTAATCAAGTACGCTATCTTTTACGAGAGTATTGTACAAAAGTTAAGCTACCTAAAGTCAGTGGTGTTGTCAGACCACCTTTGCTAACTGCCAAGTAAATTTCATATTTTAGCATATTTTCTTCCTTAGAAATCTACTCTTTACAGTGAGTAAAGCAAACGAAACACGAGCGCTGCTCTTGTCACTTTCTGCATTGTAGTATATACAATCAATGAATGATAGCGCATTTAATAAACGCTACATTTGATGAACACAGTTTTTTATACATATACATTCTACGGTCCAACTTATACTTACGGACACCTCTCGGAGGTGGACGACACCTCTTGGAGGTGGACGACACATCTCGGAGGCGGACGACACCTCTCGTAAGCGGACAACGCCTGTAAGAGGACAATGCTTTTTGATCCATGCCAACATGATTCTTTTCACTTTTCATAAGTGAACATCTCCCATAAGCGAACATTTCCCATAAGCGAATATCTCTGAGTTTCGTAAACGGACACCAGGAGGTGGTTTCTAGTGTGTCCGCCTGCCGAAGGTTCGACTGTTTTAGTTAAGCAGTAATCTCAAGTTAGCTCGTAAATTCCAAGATTCTTGAAAAGTCCCCGATTTTCTTACTTTATTTCCCAGGCTCCCGAAAGGAAGACGAGGCACAATCCTGTAGCTATACATTCATCGTGCTTTCATACATCAAAATTTTTTTAAATAGTAAAACAAAGACTTTGTCGTGGTGAAAAATTTAAAAATTGTCTTAAAAAGAGCAAATACCATGGTGAATGGTCAATTACTATTTCTGAAATTCTAAAATGTTCCCATTTCTAAAATCACTCAGCCAGTTGAGCTATTGAGCGAGCCGTGGTCGTTAGTTGTACGTGCGAGATTCATAAATCAATTAATTTTCATAAAAACGTTGTTCGTGAAACCTTACGTAATCCTCCTAATCGACTCCCCTCCCCAAATTCCGAGAATTACTTTTAAAATAGAAATCTCCCAAACCATCTTAACTGGTTTAACAAATTCCGAGATCTTGGGATGAAAACAATTAGCTACGGGCTTTGTCTCTACGAAAACATTTCCGTCAGTTTATTTCTCAGCGAAGAACAAGTAGTGAGGTTGATAAAAAGCTTAGAAAATGGAAATATTTCACCTAAAACGAAGCTTTCTTTCTTTTCTTGTTGTTTTTCAATGGTTGGCTTTCACTCTAGTGTTCTTTAGTTAAAAGGTAAGGCTAAGTCGTTTAAAATTGTGTCGTCTGAAAGTAAAACTTACTTTCCGAGTGCTCTTCCTTCGACTAACAAGCGTACATGATTTGCGTTCTCAAAACTTGTGTTTAAATTTATTTCTTTAATTTTATTTGTTAAATTACTTGTGATGGACAGGAAAAATTTTTTCGGAGGCAATTAACATAGCAGACTATTTAAGACTATCGTAAGCGACGCTTGCCATATGATAATACGCCTTATTATTATATAGCAAGCGTCACTTCCGGCAAAAAGCGCGCTTTGATTGGCTAAGAAACATTTTTGCTGGTCCATTATTTTCCCGTAATCGACCTTGGTCCAAAACTCGTAATTTTACAGTCAACTGTAAACAACTTCGTAAAGCAAACAGCAAAACGCAAAAAAATAGAAACAAAAAACCATTTACGAATGTGATTCGAGTAAAAACACTTGGAGAACAGTTGAACTATCCAGACGATACAATTTGAAACGATTTATTCTTTAATAGACGAAAACTAGAAAAGTGAAAGCCAACCGGTAAAAAACAGCAAGGACTAGAAAGAAAGCAAGCTTTGCTTGAGGTCAAATAATGCCATATAATAAACCTTTTAATAACTTCGCTCTCTCGGTCTTTACGGAGAAATATCGGACCTCTGTCTTTTTGTACAAACCTTGCCCTACGGGATCGGTCTGTACAAAAAACGTCGATGCGATATTTCTCCGTAGAGACCTCGCGCTCGGTTGTTAAGGGGTTAAGAAAACTCATCTCTAAGTTATGATAGAGTTTTTTTTATTTTGACCATTGTAATATTCAGAATAATATTCTTGTTCGTATTTCATATCCAGTCTTTGACCTGTGGGCTCAGGTCGTCCACAGTGTCTTGGGCATGTCAGCGTTAAGGAAACATCAACGAAAGCTAGATCTAATCCCATTCACTTTTATAAATAGCAACTTCTATAACAGGCATTAATTGCAAAAAGCGATTACATTTTTGTTTGGCTTACGTAATTTTTATATGACGTTTGCTTTGTTTTATCATAATATTAGTTATTAAGTCATTACCTCATTAAAAATGCCGTAGCGTCATAGCTCTTCTCTATTTTTTGTGCACGTCACATTTCTTCAGCTAAAAGCTTCTTTCTGTATTAAAATCTTAGTATAAATTACCCAAAAAAACAAATTTTTCGTTCCGTTCATTAAAGACAACACGCTTTCATGGTGAGAACTGTAGAGGCTGACATTCAAATTGTGTTGAATAATAACCACAAATATAGAACCACAATAGATATGACTAGTATCGCGAGGCTTACGAAGTTCCGACCATTCAAAATATATTCTTTTGAACTTTTTTAGATCTGTATTTGTGGACAGATTTGAGGAAGTACTTCACATTGAATATGGGCAAACTGAATATTGGAAGGTAATGCGTTCTTTTTGTAATGAGGTAATTTAAGCTCACAAAAAATATCGTCAACGTATCTGCGGTAAAATAGTGGTTTAGTGTCGTTGTAATTGTTTAGCCAGTTTCGTTCATATGAGCCCATGAAAATGTTAGCAAGTATGGGTGCTAAGGGAGAACCCATCGCAACATCGTCCGTCTGGTCATAAAATTTTCCATTAAATAAAAAATGCGTCTTTGCTGTCGCTACCAAAAACAGTTGCGTGAGGTCCGTCCTGTTTATAGTGATACTGGGGTTGTGAGTAAATATTCTGTCAATTGCTAGGTTGATGGTTTCAGTAAGTGGTATGTTAGTGAATAGGCTTTCAACGTCGTAGGAGATGAAGAATTTGTGACAAGAGGTGGATGAGTTAAAAGATGAGAAGTCATCGAACAAAGTGAAAGAATCTTTAGTGGAGTGGTCATCTGGTATGAGTGGTGTTAGTAGAGAACTAAGATACTACAAGATACTATAATCTATAGCTAGATTATAATTGTATGCGTTGGTTGATGAAACTATCGGTCGTAGTGGAGGCGCTTGTTCTGGTTCTCGTTTCTTGTGGATTTTCGGTAAGCCATAGAAGTGTGATGGTTGAGAACCTCTGAGGAAGATATCATTGTAAACTTTGTTGTTAATCGAGTCTTTCTTTAGAAGCTTTCTTAACAGTTTTTGCAGTTTTGCTTCACGTGATAGTTACGATAGATTTGACGATCCAGGATGACAACTTTGTCCGGTTTGAGAATAATAATGTTTAGATTGTTTCGAATGTTTTTAAGAATGGAATGTTTTTTGAAGTCGGCTGGTGTCGGGTGGTAAGATGAGACGTATGAGTGAGCGATGTGTGCCAGTTCTGTATTGAGATGCGTGTAGTCTTTTTGATTGCGAATATTGCATTTTATAGCTTGGTGGATTCTTTCGAATGTTGTCAGAATGGGCTCACATGAACGAAACTGGCTAAACAATTACAACGACACTAAACCACTATTTTACCGCAGATACGTTGACGATATTTTTTGTGTTTTTACTAACGAAACTGAGGCCATGAAATTTTATAATTACATTAACACACAGCACGCAAACATTAGATTTTCATTTGAAACTGCACAACAAGATCAACTGCCATTTCTTGACATTTTACTAACAAAATCCCATGATACCTGTACAACGTATACATATCACAAACCAACATACACAGGACTTCTGATGAACTATTTTAGTTTTACATCACCTTCATATAAAACCGGACTTATACGACCAATGGCTTTCAAAGAGACATAAAAAACATCACATCCATTCTTTTACGAAACTCCTTCCCACTACACTTTATTAACAGAACCGTAAAACGATATCCTGACAGCAAAAATAACAATAACCTCAAACTGGACACTGAAACTCCTGATACGACGACCACGACCAACGGAAACAAAATTCCAAAATAACAACTCTATACTTCAAACTACCATACATCGGACATTACTTACGACACACACAACGCAGAGTTACAATTATTATGAAACGCTTCTGTACAGATATTGACATTCGACTAATTTTCACAACATTCAAAATCAAAAACCTTTTCAAAGACCCTATGCCAGATTCAGTTAAATCCATGGTGGTATATAAATTCAGTTGCGTGGGATGTAACTCCCTATACATTGGCGAAACCTAGCGCCATTTATCCACCAGAATCAGGGAACATACCACAACAGACAAAAACTGTCATATCTACCGACACCTTCTTAAATCTCACTCAGGTAAAACCAACTTTTCACCCTCATGCTTCAAAATCATCGACACTGCAGACACCTCATTCTCCCTTAAAATCAAAGAAGCACTCCACATTAACAAAACTAACCTTGACCTATATGATCAAGTTTTTAAATTCAACACAATTTTTAGTTTAGATTTCTAAAGAAATGAACTATGCCCAAATCTGAATTACATATACAAAGCATAACCAAACTCTCGAGCTAACCTCATATTTTTGTCAAATTTTTATGCTCAAAAATTCATTTTCATTAAATAGATGTTCACGTTTACGAAGCATAAAAACCGCTTTTTGTTATCATAGGCACGGCGTAGTTTGGTTTTTGCAAAACACTTGAGGAAAATTGGAAATAATTTTCGTCAAGAGCATTTGAATTCTAATGACAAGAAAGACTTAACTGAGTTAAAGTACGATTGGCGTAAAAATGAAAGAAAAGATGGTAGCGCTTTGGGTGGCCCCTATCTTGCTATTCATCTTCGTCGAGCTGATTTTCTTTATGCTAGAAAAGAGCATGTACCAAGTTTGGACGGCGCCATTCAACAGGTTAAGACTATTTTGAAAAAAGAAAATTTAGACAAGGTGTTTCTTGCTACAGATGCTTTAGAAAATGGTACGTATGACAATGCTATATGTGATAATTACTCCTATTATGAGACTGCTTCCGCTTGCGATTCAATGATTAAAAGCAATTGCCGATTTACATAATAAACATAGTTTGCGCTAATTTTTTAAGTTCGACGCAAAGTTTTCAAATCTCATTTAATGAAATAACGTCTAAGATAAATGTTCATTTTGTCTTTATGGTAGCAATTTTTGTGGGTAGCTTGCGAAGCCGAACAAATTTTTTTTGTGTCGAGTATTTATAATTACCAATAGTATGTGATCTTTTTTAAGAATATCGCTGTTTCTAGCTTCAAGTTTAGTCTGTAAGAGTGTTATAGACGCTTTAATTCTGTGGCCGGTTGCACGAAACCTGGATAGCGTTATCCATTGGATAGCAAAAATTTTCAAACTTGTAGAAGTTGTGTTTATATTTTTCTTGCGACAAAGAAGTTTTGTAATCTTCGAAACAATATTTTATTTTAGTGACTGCATACTTAAAATAGTAAAAATAGTTTTACAGTTGTGAAGTAATGTTTTGTTAACTTTGCCTGTTCATATGGAATATCGAATTTCGGTTGAGTGAAGGACTTGTATCATATTCTCTACAGAAAATTTGAAAGACAGCTTGTTGAAGAAATAGTATTTATTTCAAAAATATTTTTCATCAGAAATAGCGATGAGTTTTTCGTTAAAATTTTTGAGATTTCTTGAGGACGTCGCTACGATTTTGTTTTTGTGGCAAGCCAACTTTTGCGCGATGTAAGCACGTGAACACAAATACATAATTTGGAATTTTAGCAAGAGCGTTAGTTTGGGACAATTATTGAGCCTTTGGAATAAACAGTGAGGAAATAGAAAATATTCATCTGATGATAAGTGTCAAAAGAAGGGATAATAATTTCATAAAGTTTTTAGAAAACGTCTCGTAGATATGTTGATGTACATTAATTGGGCATCACTGGAACTCCATCCTTAGAATGATTAAACATATGTACGCATTGCGTACTTATTTTTAACGAGACTGTGTTTCAAATTTTATGAGATTGAACTTTGACTTCATTTAAGAACGGAAGTTACTTTACAAAGGCTAATTACTATTTCAACTCTTTCGAAAACATTGAAAAAACTACGAGCATGGTACAACGAAAGAAGCAATGTTGTAATTTCAGTACATAAAATGTTTTCAACTTGCTCATGCTCCTGCTGTACGACAGTTGTAAGAAATAAACACTGCCTAAAAAAAAGTCGATCACACTTTAATTTAAGAAAAGAAGTTTTTTATGTTATAGCACCGGCTAACTTAATAATTTTCCATTACACTTGTGTGTCATGTATTTAACGAGTAAAAAGTACAACGTAAACTAACAACTGTGATGGTGTTTTTCGCATACATCAAATTTACTTTTCTATTGCATGCCATGAAAGTTACATGAAATAACACTTAGAAAAGGAGAGACTTCATGGATATTGTTTTGTAGCGAATATCCAATTACGTCATTTATATGAACTCGAACTTTGAACAAATTGTTTTCTTTTATGCTGATGACAATTGAATATTTTTGTAGAAATTGAATACTTGAAAGAAAGATTACCGGTCGTCAAATATGAGCCAACAAAATCTGTCCTCAAGAAATATGGTGACGGTGGCGTTGCGATTATTGATCAGTGGATTTGTGCACATGCGCAATACTTCGTCGGCACCAAGGAGTCCACGTTTTCTTTCCGGATACAGGAAGAGAGGGATATTCTTGGTTTTAATGCTGACACTACATTTAATTGCTTATGTTCGGACAAAGAAATTAGTAAATGTGAACAACCTACTCGTTGGAGAATTGTGTATTGAATTAAGGCCTAAAATTTTTCAAAAGATTCTTCTATCGTATTTCTCTCTCTACTTGTAGCGGCTTAGCCAGCCCTCAATTATGGTTCTGCTACACATCAAAATTAGAACACAATTGTTGATTTTCTGTCAAAAGTAACTGTTTTACAGTCTGTGCACAACGACAAGTTTGCATAGCAGTACTAAATTTGCTGGTTGGCTACGGCATTGCATATCAAATTTGCTGGCTGGCTACGGCATTGCATATTAAATTTGAATACAAGTTTTGGAATTCTGTGTCTTGTGTTTTCGCATGTGTCGTGTTCCTAGTACCATATATACCACATGCTTGGTACCACAAGAACTCCATCACATAAATTCGTGTTTTATAGATAAAGTTCTCTACAATTGTGCTTAAAAAGTCTTTGGAAAGTTCTTGAACGTTGCACAAAAATGACTGCTAACCTTGAAATTATTACCATTTCACTTGTTTGATAGTTATTTTGCATTTTCTGTTGTTGAATGAGAACATTCTTGTCAGTTTTGTACCGTTGGTTTGTACCATTCAAATACGAATTGTAATCAGGGCCAGATTAATCCCGTGGCAGATTGGGCATATGCGCGGGCTTTGCGCTTAACTTTGCCAACCTCATTTTTTACGAAAACTCGCCCATTTTTCACTAGAACACCCCCATAAAAGGATTCGGAAATTCAGACGCAGTGAGGACTTCGACGACGACTGTGATCCAAATACATGCAGCTACAACCGAGTCACCCTGGTGACAACTTTTGCAGCTATAATATATGTCAAACTTTACTAATTAATGTAACATTACAACACAATATAACAAGTATTTTACTTATATTAAAGCGCCAATGTACTTGTAACAGCATGTAGCAAATTATTAAGGGGGGTGCGCCCCAATGCCCCCTACTTTTATTACTTTCCAAAGCTATTATTTTTAGACCTTAACGAGCGAGATGATTGCTAATTTTATGCGCAATTATTGAATTGATTGCGCAATGGAGGAAAAATTGTGTATAAACTAGTGTAAGTTTTCTGAACCATTTCCTGAACGGCGACTCAATTTTATTGCTGTAATGAGAAATAGCAGTCATCTTTCACTTTCATTTTCTTAAACGAGTAGATGAACAATGAGTCCGACATGCAAATTTCCTGGAATTTGTCAATTTTCCTGGAACAACTCAATCATGTGCTGCTGTTAGAATGTAATTTGTTAGTTTCAACTTTCTAGGATGTATTTTATTTGTTGATATTATGAATGAACTAGCAAGAAATATTTCTTTTCTGATCCAAAAGTTGACATGAAATATTAGCACGAAAAATGGCTGGAAATAATTCCGTGCATAATCTTAAAAGTGTTATACATGCGATCATCCAAAGAGATAGCGACCGTGCGAGAATAAAGAATAAAATTGACGAAGCTTTGCAAGAATTTAATGGAAAAAATCAAAAACTAAATTATCCTAATCGTGCGTTTATAATACGTTATAATTACGCTTTTAAATTCTGGAAAACTGTTAAGAGCGATGAGTTTAATAAAGCTGGACAAATTGATTTTAAGCGAGCAGAAGATTTGGTTAGCAAGTTAAAAAAAGAGTTAAACCATTGCGTCCTTACTGATCTCACAAATGATACTGAAGTCGATGACCCAAGCTTTTTCAAGAAGACCAGTAAAAAACGACGACAATCTCAGAGTAACGATTCTCCAGTCTGGTTAATAACTTGCAAATGTGAAAATGCAGTTTATTTGAAACAATTTCATGGCTCCAACGAAAACGAGGAAAAAAAAGTAAACCGACATGATATTTTTTGTGGTTATTGCCTGATCTCTCTTGGTGATGAAGTTGAAGTGGATAATGACACAGGTGTTATGTCTATTGTAAGGTATAATCTAATTTTCTTAATCACGAAATTACTTATGATAGATGTGATTGACTTGATAGAGGCTTGATTAGTTTATTAATTTGACTAGTCAAAGTTGCCAGTTATGGTTGCATGAAGTTGTAGTACATTGTCTCATAATTTGTTACCTAATCTTATTTCTGAAAAGTCAAAGAATTTTCAAACAGTTTTTGGAATTTTCTTCTTTGTCTTTCCTTATGAATTATAAAATAGATCCTGCGTGTAAAACTAGTATGAATTGCAAGTCTCTTTTGAGCATGTGGTTGTGAAATGCTGTCTGCTAAATGCTCCAATAAACATTGCTCTATTTTGCTGTACTATTGTCAATTATGCACTTTGTCAATAGTCTTGCAAACATGAGAGTTTGTAATTAGACGGGCAGGCATGTAACTAGAATGATAATTGGGGCCAGGGGCATTTCAAAAGAAATTAAAATGGCATGTCTGGCATATATGAATATGCCCCCCCCCCCCAATTATTGTTCTGGCTACGTGCCTGTAGACAGGTCTGATAATAAGATTTTATTAAAGTACAAAGCAACTTTAAAGTGGCAGAATTCCATGTTCTGATGTGAGTCTTTAGTCTGTAGAGTATGTGTTGAGTTCGTGTTACTCGCCATATCACTTTCTTAGTATACTCTATACCTTGAGTAACAACCACGAGTGAACTTAATGATCGAACTGATTTTTATTATTTTACAAAGCAGTATTTATACTCTTTATTACAAACAACAAATAATATTATTGGCCGGAGTAGTTCCTCTGTTTAAGCTATATATGGTATATAAGGAAATTTAACTAAGGTCAATAACTGTTCCTTGGCTCTTAGCCGTGTGGGAACGGATACATTAATAAACTAAACTACGCACATTCTATTTCCTTATATACCATATATAGCTTAAACAGAGGAACTACTCCGGCCAATAACAATGTTTGTTGTTTGTAATAAATAGTATAAATACTGCTCTGTAAAATAATAAAAATCAGTTCGATCATTAAGTTCACTCGTGGTTGTTACTCAAGTTATAGAGTATACTAAGAAAGTGATATGGCGAGTAATACGAACTCAACAGGTTGTTTTTGTGGTTTATGAGCATGACTCAACAGTATGCATGGATCATGATTGAGCTAATAAACATATGTAAAACTTGCAACTCATCATACTATTACAACATATATCTTTTTCCTCTATCTTAAAGAAAGTTAGATTAAATTGCAACCACATTTGATTTAAATTTATCTCCACAATAAGTGGATCCCTCTGATAATGGAATCAAAGAATACAGAAACACTTTTCCACATATTTTTCATTTTAGCTGCGTTTCACAATGGAATATAGTGAAAAGTTTGTTTTTTATATTTGCAGGTCTAAAGGACTTCAATTTGTGGAAATCTCGGCGAAAGCTAAATTTGTTGAAAATGTGCTTGATAAACTTAATGATGAATCTGGCTTTGATGTTTATACCCAGTTTTATGACAGGTAACTGCAATATAGCTAATTCTGTAAAATAAATGTAAAATACTTATCTTTATTACACCCCTGGGCTTAATTATTGCACGTCTTGACAAATAACTTTGAATTACTTGTGTAGTTTAATTGTTGCCACATATAAGTATTAGAGATGGCAGAATTGCTTATTAAAGTTGAATACTTCGATTGAATACCCTGTGACACGACCATTCAGGGTAGCCATCCAGCTATTGGCTATAGGCAAAATGAATTAATTTTGTGTATAACAGTTTGTCAAATGGTTAAAACTTTTGAAATTTGTAACCAACAGAAGCAGATCCAGCGTTCGTCAAAATAAATTATAGCTGCTCCATTTTAAATTCAAAGTACTTCAGAAAATGGCGTCGAAAAATGGTGGGAGGGTGGTGGAAATATGCCCCTCATTTTTCTTGAAAGACGGGCAGTGCGCTCTCACTTTGCTTTAACGAAATTGCAAGATTACTATTAAAGAGACTCTTTACTGTATGTCTACAAAACATACGTTTAAAAAATTGCAGCTGAGTGGGTTTTTAAAGAATGGCGCAAGAATCTTTTGCAATTTTTCTTCTTTAGCATAATTTGTTATTGACATTACCTAGCTGTTAAGACAGAAAACGAGAATCGTTTTTTATTTTTTTTCTACAAGACAGTGATGGCAGAAAAACCTATAAATAATTCTTTCGCAAAACTGCGGAAATATAGACAATGTCCAGTTAGCTGTGGAAAAAGAGCTGTATGCGGAAATGCCAATAATAATACATTATTCGCAATTTTGTCATCGATCTCAATATTTGTGTTCTTTTGCAGGTATAAAGGAATATGGGATTATATAAAGAATGACAGAGAATTATTTGAAAGCAACTCTGACCATGTGAATGTCTTCATGAAGCTATGTTTGTCGCTTTGCCAAAAGTTGGAGGAGTTAAAGATTCAAGCTTGCGAGCAGTTTTTGCTAGACATCTCATCGTCAATTTTTTTCATCAAATTTTTACCGTCTATTATAAGCAATGGGGGAACAAGGTATTATTTCAGCTATACGCTAATTTTTCATTTTAATGTGTAAGAAGCAAGTATACTCTGCGTTGCAAAGAAACCATGTGTATCTCCAGTCGAGTGAGAACGCTGCTGTCCGTTCTATCAGTACATTATACATAAGAATCACAACCGATTTAAAGATTTAATAACTTTTTAAGACAAGCATTGTCGAGAATATATCATTGATTTTATTGGACGAGTTCCCCCTCAAAAAAGCAGGGGTGGATTTTCTTGGGGTACAGGGGGTGCGCACCTACCCCCCAAAAAATATATTTAGCACGTCACTCCAAGAAAAATTCTAAAATTTTATTTGTACTATAGAAGATTGATATAACAGTATTACTGTATTAGAGGCTATGAAATTGTACAATAAGACTGAGTAAAAAGTAGAACATATTATTTCAAAAAGCAATTGCGTATTTTATTTTACGACCATTTGCAATTGAGTATAAACCATGGGAGTTTTCATTGAAACATTAAAATTGAAATAAATTGCTAAGTGCGCATTCATTTACAAAAACATGTAAATTTTTTTAAAAAGTAATCACACTTTCATGACGCAAGGCTCATTTGTCTGTAAGCCTAAAAATCCACAATATCCCGGGTTTACAAGTTTAGCTAGAATAACGATACATCCCTCTTGAACAATCTGCATCCCCCTTGAACAATCTGCATCCCTCCGTGTTTAATATAATTTGTTGTTATTTTCTTACCTTGAAAATATTCTTCGGTATTATTTGCGTTCTCTGATGTTAAGTGTTTTTTCTTTACTACTTTTATATATTTTCATGTTTCTTTTTGCAAAAACAATGTTATTTGTTGTACAATGTAATGTACAACATTTGAAAAGAAATCAATAGAACTTTTAAACAACTTTCCGTGACTGTCAAACTGTTCTAATTAAGGTCCTTATTAAAGAGCATTCTAGTTACGTGTCAACATTAAAATTCAACAAAGTTTACTACTGTCTTGTTAATTTATGTATTTATGATTTAATAATGAATGATACGTTTTAAAATAATTTATTGAATAAAAAATTAATCCATATCTAGTGGATTCTCTCATACTATAGTTTGAAGTTTGGTATCTTCCGAATTAGATACATACATTTGTATTGAAGAGATGTTTGATGAAAATATTTAATTCTTTTCTAGGCAATATGATGGCATAAAGTTTTTCTTGAAGTCAATGTTGAAGCATAACCCTCAAACTGCGCGAAAGGTTTTCAAAGTTGCAAAGCCTTTGGCTTATGCCATGCATTTTGCAAGAGACGACGAAATGAATGGCGAAGTGCTCGTCCAAAGTCCTGGTATTGAATATTTAGCTGAGCTTGGCGAGATAGTGTCAAGTTCTGTACCAGGATGCCAAGAAGTTGACACATTCAATTGTAGCTGGGAAGAACTACCTGTCATACCCACAGAAAGAGAAGTATTCTCTGGTAAGTTTTGAAAAAAGTATACGAGAGTGTCTGGTAAAAGCAAGGATGTTTTTTGATGGTTGATGTTGGTTTGAATCTTTGTTGAGTTCTATTCTAAATTACTTGTGTTTAAATCACTTAACCAAGGTGACAAAACCATGTATAGTGTTCTTACTTATATTTTCTAAGTGAGTTTGACTTAGATAATGAATTTTTGTATTTTTAAATCCATTATACATCCACCAAGTTTTGATTGGTGTTTTACTCGTCTTTATGCTTAAATCGAGAAAAATACTTATATGGCATGTGTTTCTGGCACTTTTTAGAGTTCGATTTAAATACTCTTGACGCCATTAAAAAGGATAAACCTTATGATTCATCAAACCAATATTTGGAAATAAACTACAGATTACTTCGTGAAGAATGTTTTAGGAATCTTTCTACTGGAATACAAAAACTTTCCCGCAACAAAAGCTATGATCCCCGAATGATGAAATTGTTCAGGTGCGTTCAGTTTATTTTGTTTCTTTCCACATATATCGTCCAAGTTTAAAAAGTATGCGAATTACAGCACACCACGTTTGAACTAGAAATACTATGCTTTCTGGGTGTGGGTTTCTCAAAAGACGTTGTAATCGTTATCTAAATCACACGAAATTTTTTCTCTTTCTTTTTACTCTGCTGCAATTCCTTAAATTTAATTGGATATTCCGGTCGGTTTTAGAGTACACAGCTTTGATACTGCTTTATTGAATATTTCAAGAAATTTATATTTCTGTATTTTTGATTAATTTATATGGTTTTAATCTAATTACGTATTGGCTTTCTCTACCAATGGTGTTTCTGTTCGATTAGCGTAGATCACAGGGGCGGATCTAGGATTTTTCAAACATCAGTCATAAAACGTCGGAGGCACTCCGCGCCGGGGGGGGTCTGAGGCATTCTCCCCTGAGAAATTTTGAATTTCAGAACCTCTAAAATGCCATTTTCAGCGTTTTAGAGCAATACAAGATGTATTTTGTGGGCATCGTTTTTCGGTAAAAACAACACATTTTGCTTACGTTTTTTCAAAAAAAAATGAAGTGAACAATACTTGAATGTTTTGCCAAATAATTAGGCTCATTATCATGCCAAATATATGGCTCATTAGCATGTCTAGGAACGTAAAATTTATTTTACAATAATGCTATTCAAAACAGATATAGTCTTTAAAATTTCTACCAAGTTGTCAGGCATAGACCCCCCTAGAGACCCCCATTCAAACCTCTATGTAATAAGTTAAGTTAGAAATTTGGTACTACAAGTGACAGTTCATAAATATAGAAAAGCTCAGACTTCAAACCATGCAAGTTTATTGTAACCCTTTACCCATCTCCACATCAGAGCCAGCAAATTTTTTGAGAAAAACTCAAAATTTTTTTCTGTCAAAGATTAAGAAAATTATCAAAGTGAAAAATTGCAGTTAAGGACAGCTTAATGCCATGAATGTTTCTTAGGCATTTCACTATCTTCTGTAAGTATATGCAAGGTGTGCTATATAGCAATCACTAGTAGCATTGTATTTGCAAATACAAATAGAATGTAACCAACATGTCTTTAATTATATAATTACATGAATGTTAAAATTGGTTCATGTGTCATGCTTACTGTTTATGATAAATATCTTTTCATATGATCAAAGCTCGTTTAAATGTAAATCTGAAATAATTTAGTTTAGAAATTATACTGATCATCAGAAAAATTACCTAGTGATCATGAAAAATACTTTGCTGTTTTGCCAAATTTCAAGGTTTATCTGCATACATTGGAAGACATTTTTACTTTATAGAAAATGCTATTCATACATCAATAGCCCTTTGGAATTTATGGCAAACAATCTGGTATGAGCCATAGATTAACACACCTTTACATCTCTACATGAGGTGTTCAGTTAGAAAAGGGGACAATATGTGACATGGGACAACATTTCATGTATGTGAAATACTCAGGTTTAATACCATTCCAGTCAAATTGTCAAAATAAAAAGCTTCATGGATCATAAGACTCAAAATCACAGGTTATAGTAAACAGCTTCTCATGTAATCAATGTTAGTTTTCTCAAATCTTAAACAATATGTAGTATAACTGTCCAATGATTGAATGATCAATGATCATAAACTGAAAAGCCCCAAACATTTGTTTATGATAAAGTAAATAATCGTATGGCACCTTATGGCTACAGATTTTTGTCCATTGAAATATATTTGCAGAAATGTAGGATTTCGCTGCCATATAACGGCCACGATTCCCCAAGCATTACAGAAATCATAGCTAAAATTCCTTCGGCAACAACAATTTTAGAAGCATCAATCTGCTTACCATACGCCATATTAACATAAATCGCATCACACACTCGCATAAATTGACTTTGATATATTACATTCATGCATACACTTCACTTGTCCTTTACTTACGATTTTCGATGTAAATTTCTGCTGATAAAACTCAAAACAATGTTGGCTTGCTTTTGAACATCAATGACTGAAATGTCGCTCGCGAGATCGTCTTTGCCAAGCATTTACAATTTATCCATAAATTTTTCACCCTCTTGAAAAATTCCCAGTTTGGAAAGCAGCATTCATGTCAACATATGAATTTGTAAAGATTTCCATAAATTCCATCTGATTGTAGTTTAGTTTCTATCATGCTTAAGAAAATTACTATGAACGATCAAACATTCAATTCAGACAGTGAGCTTGACTATGTTAGTTCAGTTGGCTATCAGTCGAAATCGGTCAAACCAATCACAGTAAGACAAAATTCAAATGAACCAATTGTAAGATAGCAATTGGACTCCCTTATAGGTCCGGCCACCCTATTATCGGTCGAGATTATTCCAGACTGTCCACTGATCTGGCCATTGACCAATAAAATAGCGTTTCTGGCGTTCATAGACTCCTTTTAAGTCGAACCAGTCAAGCCACCCCGCTTATCAGTCGGTTATTCCAGGTCAATTAAAATTCAACTGATCTGGTTACCAAGGAGATATTCGTTGCATTAGTCATTAGTTTTCAATAATAAATAAAGCTGGATTTTTATCACGAAGTAAATGCGATAATAAAGAATAATTAGTGATTTTTTAATTAATATGAATAGGTAATTTTTGAATTTCAAACATCAGTCGCGCGACGGATTTGACATACTCTAGATCCGCCCCTGGTAGATCATATGAATAAATCTCGGTCATTCCCTTGAAGTGTAGTTTGACCAAACAATTCAAGTACCTCAAGTTAATTATCCATTTTCAATTATTCATAATTACATCGCTCAACATTATTTATGTCTATCACGGTTGGATATACTTTGATATTCGTCGATAAAAGCAGCCTAATCGTAACTGGCCATTAAATGTTAGAATAAATCACGTAAGGCAAATATAACAAGACCGAGTCGTAAGATCATCTCATGAGAAATTTTATTCTTTAATACATATAGGTATAGCGCGCCTGCAAACATATAAAAAGTCAAAAATTTTCCACAGCCATAAAATACCACTGTTTTTCGTTAGAACATTGAAAAATTAAAACAATTTGTGTTGAAATTTTCAAGCACGTCTAGCAAGATATTCAAAAGTGTCTTCCTCATCCCACGCAAAAAAAATTAGCAAAAGGCATTCATCTTCGGGGACACAAGCCTTCGCGAAACCACTTTCATTTACCATAAAGATTCCCTGTTAAAGTTTTTGCTCTGTTGTTTTATTTCGAAAATTACTAAAATAATTACAGCTAGTTGAATATTTTCACTAGACGTTAACCTTGAAATCAGGGGAAAATTATTTTACTTATTTATTGGTGTAGAATAACATTAAACACTGTGGAAGGTGGTGGTCATCTTGTGCTAGAATGCGAAGATTATAATGCCAGTGACAGGTAAGACCATTGTTCAGATCGATTTTTATACAGTATATAGCAATTATTTACTCATGACATAGCTTCATTCTAATACCCTGTGTAAAGAAAACACACATAACGCGCCCTTCTCCATTGATATACTTACTGCATTAAATTATTTTTATTTATTTTGCAAATGCAAAGTGTTTCTTGATCAGATATATTTCATTTTCTGTCATTCTGTCGAACTCTAATTGACGACGCTGGAGATTGTGTTTTTTGAAACCCAAATATTTCAGCCTTTCAACTAAACCTTCTTTTGTAAAAGCGTGTTAAAGTCATGTCAATAAATCAACGCTGGACAAATGAAACCAGTTAGATTATGGTGGAAAAGAGCAATGTATTTTTATTTGAGGAATACATATCATTAGAGATTAAAGAGCTCCCTTTTCCTAGGACGACGAAAGATCGATAATTGGGATGGTGGTCATATTCATATGTGCATGATGTATTATAGGCTCCTTTGAAATCTATTGTTTTCTACTGTTTTAAACATCGCGATCCTTGCTTTTTTGCTGTTTATAAATATTAAATAAAACACAATGTGAAATGCATGACTGCCTATAAGGAATTCAATTTTTTTATTGCTTGTTATGGACGAGCTTAATAGTGCAATTTATATCAAGCATATTAAAATAGAATTTTTTATTTTGCCAAAAAACTTTATTTTTTAGCGTTTCCTGAACATCACACTAATTAAGGGAGTCGTTTTTCATGGCTGCTAAGAATCTTTGTATAATTTCCGCGGCCTAAAAGAATTTTTGTGTGGGTTTGTTTTTATTTGTAGCTCGGAAGAAGAGGAGTCTGTGTGTTCTGATGAAATGCTCCATGGAAGCTTAATGTGCATTTCTCTTAGTGAGAAATTCGATTCTTTGATATGGGCAACTGTGGTAAAATGTGAGATGAAAGGAAAAGCAAATACCAAGTAGGTATACATGCACAGATCAAATTAAAGTGTAAACATTGATCACTTTTCTATCAGTTTACACTGAAAACGATACATTCTAAAAATTTTGCAGTAGTGAAATTACCCACCTATGAAGTATATGACTTTTATAAATACCATTTCAGGAATATTTTCCGTCGGGTTTTTTTCTTTATTTTTATCAAAGCAAAGTATTTTGAGTGGCCTTTACCAAAGTTGCCCACTGTCATATGTGTAGAGAGACAAGATTGCATTAGTTGGAAAACAAGGGATTAACAAGGGCATTGACGGTGTTTAAATTGATCTTTTCTGCAACAATCTGATCATTTCTGTACTAAAAAAGAACGCAGTTGATATAATTGATGATGATTTCTTTTACATTTCAACTATATAGACTTATATCGGTGGAATTATGCTCAGAGCGAAATGGAAAGACGAACATAGACGTGATTTTACAATTGATAGAGTTGGCTACCAAAGGTAAGTTTTGTCAATTAGAAATTTTTATCGCTCTCTTTAATTTATCAAACCAAGCAATGTCATGTTGTTAGCTACAATATCAACATGACAAAATGTAATATTTTATTGAAAATATTTTGACTATATCTATTTTTTGGTATTATGACAACGTTAGACTGAAATATTAATGTCTTACTAAGATGTGAGTGTTTCGTATGGATGTGAGTGTGAAGAAACACAGTCTTTGGAATATACAAGAAAATGTCTCCGCAGAACTTTATTGCTTTAATTGAAGTGAATATAATTTAATTTTCACAGAGTATGACTTTCACTTGTTTTAATTTTACATGTTCAAACCTTTTATAAATCTGTTAAGCATCTCTGGATAACTAGATACTTATGTTTCAAGGATTTTAGCGTTGTAAATTTTCTCCAGTTGTCCATGTAGCTCCTTTTCTTGGTTGATTGGTTTTTGACTGTCCATAGAGTCTTTTTATTAAGAACCAGTCTTTCATCTTTTTTTCCGCAATCCTTTTCAAGTTCATGACACCAGCTGTCATCTTTGATTCCATTGCGAGAAAATTGCAACAACGGTAGTACCCCCCCCTCACACACACAGGAAAAAAGAGAAACAAGGACACACATAAAAAAACAAATGGAAGTGTATACATTAGTGGCAATACACCCGGTAAGAAACGAGAACAAAAAAAAATCTAAAAACGAGACATCTCACAAGACCACGTGCCAACTAATTACAACAACATGCTCCAGATCTATATAGCTTAGGAGGGCCATTAGCAAAAACATCTGAGGAGAAAAACTAAAGAATAAAAAAAAATTCAGGATCATGCATCTTATTCAGAATGCTTCGTCAGTCCTTTACTAGAAGAAAACATCAATACAAACATTGAAAGTTTCATACTCATACTCACTGGCTGCCCAGACCACTTTTCCTGTCAACTAGAGAAACTTGCTTAGATATCCACCATTGAAGAAATTGAAGTTTTTTAGTATAACGGAAAGGCTCAAACCCAGAAATGTTTTTAGCACGCGTGCTCAAGTCAACCTTAGGTCAGTGTACAAAGCAGTTATTTTCTGTCTCAAATTGACCTTTAACGGTAAGAGTGCGAGAATGATGTAAGTATGGTCGCAAAACCAACCTTAAGAAATGAAAATGGCCTGTTATTTTTGCAAGTCATTAGTAAGAATCCTCTCATGAAAACTATACCTGCAACGAAACCAAAATATCATCAAGATATAAGTTATATAGCACAAGCATCTTGGTTTCTTAACAAAACAAATGTAAAACATACTATTGCTGGTCTCACTAAAATGAGAGAAACATGTTAAACATTGCATTGAGAAAAGAAGAAAGCCACAAATACCAAAGAAATCGCACAGAAAGCTCTCAAACGTGTCTCGTCTGACATTCTTGACAATTCGAACTATATGGTCTGCGATGGTTCAAGTGTGCAGTCACATTTATGTTTTTAACATGGTATATTTGTAGCGTAAATATGTTGGAAATGACAATAATATGTTGCTGAAACAGACATACTCCATGTTTACAAACAGTTAATCGTTATGGTGCAGATACACCTCCAATTATTTCAAGGAGTTCTGCTGAAAGTTTACAGTGTCAGAAACAGCACAGCTGAATGGAGTTAAAGAGCGCTTTAATTGCACCTTAAAAGCAATGGAATTTTGTTTACTAATTTAAGCAACTGACTCGAACAGATACTGTATATGAGCCCTGGATACCGCTGTACATCGTGGTAACCTCACAGTAAGTGCAAGAAGCATTCAAAAACCCATTCAAATTTTTCGAACCTTTCAAAGGTTAAACAGCAACAAGAAATCTAAGAATAAGAAAGGTGCATAACTTACTTCAAAACAAAATAAGATTTAAGTTGACTTAACAAAGCTTGAGTTGCAGACAAAGTTGATGAAACACCAGAAGAAGCTGTACACGTTATGGGCCAGCTATATAACAGCACGAAGATTTGGAATAAATAGAATATGTAGAATAATTCCCAAAAGGAAATAGAAATTTAATGACAAGTTTTGAAGAAAACGTGGAAATTCTTATTCCTCAGCCCAACTGAAAAAGAATGGTGGAACTATACAGAAAAATAAATACCAAACTGTAAAGTCAACAAAAATTAAGTACTGGAAAGAAGCAGTGCAAAAAAAAGCACTTAAAAATTTGTTGATTAACAGAATAACAAAAATGCGTTCCACGGTAAATGTGCGTATATAGAGTTAAAAACCGTGTAAATGGCCAAGAAGACAAATATAAAATCATTATGGCAAAAGGTGACGTGCATATCCAAGACTCGGAGGTCATGGAAAGTTAGCGCATGTACGTGGAAAGAAGTTGTTGCAGCTCATTTTCAGACATATTTACATTTCGAAATACTTCAAAGACAACTTCACTGATATGGGATTTTATTCTTTAGAAATTCATAACCAATAGCTAAATTTGTTCTTGAAAAGCATTCGTTTACAACGCATTTAGTAGTTGCAGGGAAGAAAGATTTACCTCTCAGTCAAATGATGTATATTCTGTCAATGGCGGATCTAGGGTAACTGCGTAAGTCAAAAGAAATTATACAAGCCCATTTTTAGAGTATTATAGAGACAAATCTATTGATAAAATTATATTCTTTGGAAATTCAAAAGCAATAGTGTTTTTATGAAGTACTTCGAATTCAAAATTAAGTTGAGCAGCTATAATTTATTTTGACAATCACCGGATTCGCTATCAGCATATCTTCACTTACCAATTAATAAATAGTATAATTTACTAATCCGAAGGTTACACGGATGTTTTTACGTCAGCCATTTTTGAGGTCTGATACGAAAGAATTATTTATCAATGCTAATGTCGCTCCAGTGGGCGTGGACGGATTTTATTGTTGAGTAAATCCCAAAGGATTTGCTCAAATCAAGAATATCAGGCCTGATATTCAGAAAACGTGCTGACTTTTATCAGCGAAGCCAGCCTAACAATGCGATTGTTTTTTGTGTTAGATCCGTGGAAAAACAATGAATGTCTAACATTGAAACAATACAAAATCCTACAAATACAAAATTTGATTGGTAGAAGCACATTGAGAACTTACTTGATGATTTCAATATGAACAATTGCAAACTTGAAGCTACTACTGCTGAAGTGAACCTCAAGTTAGTGAAGAATAACGATAAGCTACAGTTGCTGAGAATGAATCGTAAAGAAGTTTGCTGGGATTCCTTTTTTATATAATGTCGTTCGCAAACAGGGGCGAAACTAGAACGCTAATTGGGGGGTAAATATTCAGCTCTGCCCTAATGATTTCTTTTGAAATTAACATCGTAAACAATAGAAATCAGCAGGGCAGAGCTGAATATTTAAATATACCCCCCCCATCCAATTAACGTTCTAGTTTCGTCCCTCTTTGCAAAGTGTCAGAGTTGGATAGTTCTGCTCCGACATCTTAATTCCCATGGTGAAATTATCAAATAAGCAGCTTCTTCGAGGATTGAATGTCTTGAATCGGGGAGTATATGAAGTGTTATGGATTCTGCGAAGGACGGTCTGCGTTTATAATGACTGACGTTTGGACAACCATAGCGGTTGTCATCTTCAGAGTCAAGTGAGAAGCCTTAATCGCAGGAAAAATAATAATAGAAATCATAAACGATCTTTCAAAATTATCTTGAAAATGTGAAATAAACGACACTCTTCAGTTCAACTGATAAAATCACTTGGATATTTATTTCTGCGAAAGTAGTCGCCTACTCGCCTTCTCCCCAAAATTTGTTTTTGATTGTAAATTGACTATTGTAAGAAAATAGAGGAGGTTGGAAGCTTTTCAAAAAAAGATTCGTTTGTACGACTGGTTCTTAAATAATGTCCTGTTTATGATGTCGATTAATTAACATCCGCCATCATGAATGCATAGCTGATTAATGGCTTTGGGAATAAATTTTTGTGTTGGTCATTTTCTCTCAACCACTTTGATTTATTCAAAAAATGTCTCAAGAAGAGATGACAACCTTTACCACATAGAATATTAAAGACTATATTTAAGAGTATTTTGTGCAAATTATTGATCCTGATGAATGTTGTCATGAAGTCAATGGATGTTCATGTAGTCATGATACACTGTAAATCAAAATTAAATTCAAATTGCCTGTTTAAAGACAGTGTATTTTTGAAATTTTGCACTGTTCTTGTATTCCTTGTTAATTAATTTGATCCAATTCACGAGTAATAAAAATGGCGAAAACTTACAATAACTACTTTGTAATGTTATTTTAAAATTTTTAGGTGATTGTGCCTTGATGGCAGAGTCTCCGACATTTTATAAAAACTTCGCTCCATGCATGGATCGTTTGAAAATTATGAAAGAAGAAGGTAATGTCCTCTTTTGTAACATATTTTTTTGTTTTACAATGTGCTGGGTTTACGTTCTTCATTTTGCTTGGCTTTACTTTATGAAATGTATTGGTAAATTCTGTTTAAGTAAAATATATAGTTAATAGCAACAGGGTGTTTCCGGCAAAAAGGTATACAGTTTGAATAAGTCGCTAAATTGATCAGTGCAAAAACTGTACAATAAATTTTTGAGCTAATACGTATTGCAACTTCCAATGCTTTATCTAAGTTCGTATAAGACGTTACGGAAAACAGGTTTTATAGGTACTTCATGTGATGCGAAATGGTTTTACGGGAAATAGTCGATATATTTAGTGAAAGTCGATTCATACATACATGCGCGGGCATTGTTTAGTTAAAATATTATAGAGCTGGATGAAGGTCTTTCTCATAAAACTGGCCGAGTAATAGTATCACTTTCCCTCTTCGTCCTTCATAACATCGTGGAGCACTATACTTCTTATGAACAGTTGCAGAACTTATATATTATATGCATTTTGAGTCATTTGAGTTTTAACCCCGACTTTTCAATGAAACTAGTGGTCGAAGCATTTTTCACTTTAACTCAACTTCTTTAATTTGTAACAATTTTTTAAATTATAATTCGCCATTTGCTCTACGCGCATAGCCATTTATTTCCCAAACTGTGAGTGGTTTGTTCTTTAAACGCCCAAAAAACCAAACTTAACACGATTCGAGGAACGACGTAGCTATGGCTTTATTTTTAAGTTTTTTTTATATTGACAAAAAAAGTGATTACAATTGCGAAGCTATTTTAAAATAACTTGTGCTATAGCTAGTATGAAATCAATGAAAAGAGTTACACGTGTTGAAGCTAATTATATAAATTTTGCCAATGCATACGATTACGATTAGCTTTAAAATCACGAGATTTAAAGATCGCAAAACTCTAACCGAGACTTTTAACTTTATTTACGAAAAAAATACACTTAGATGAACAATTGGAAGTGCCATTTCTGCACCCTGTCCAATCTTAGCTATTTCTTAATGTTTCTCCGGATTATGAATTTTCAAAAAACAGATTTGTAACAATCGAGCTGCTTTTACAATATGAGTTACTTATAATGTAAAACCATGCAGCTGTTGTAATTTTTTTGCTTAACGCTGAGTGTTGAACTGAAATGGAAATTCTTTCCTTTTCTTAAATTAAAGGTTTTCTTAATTTGGGTTCAATGTTTGCCTGCCAAACGGGCTTTTCAGACCACTAATAAAATTAACATTTTCTATCATTTATTTTATATTGTAAATTATTTTGAGTGGTTTCAAGTGGTACTTTGTTGCTAAAATATTACTCCAGCTTTGTATTTGCAAGTTCTTTGCTTTGTTTTTGAGAACGACGATTCTTTTTTGCACTACTGTTATTGCAGCTGTAGATAGAAACGTGATTTTGGTTATAGAAACCTTTCAGCTGGTGCCTTGAAGTGTGTTCAGCACTAACTAAATTATACACTAACATCTAATGTTCATCATTTAAATTGCAACACCTCATTCTTGGATATATTGACGCTGTAAAGAAATTTGAAATGTTTTATCCTTTAAATAGTCGACTTACGTTGTGTTTGCAGGGTAAAATATTTATAACATGAGTCAACAACATATACAAGCATTTGCTTACGTCTTTTTTTGGGTAAACGCTCAACGAGCTTTACGTTTGACATAATTGTGTAACATGTGAATCAGTTAAAAAGCTGTTCCTGGGGCTTAGTCGTATTTGTGCATTGGTGATCCGCTATTTTCCCTTGTATAGGTATACCCTTTTGTGATGAAATAGTTTTGACAAAAAAATCACCAGCCCCTAATTACACTATGGACGACACTGATGATTGGAGCATAATTTTTGAGAAGTCTGAAGCGTGTACGTTTAAATTTCCTCGTGAATTAACGAGTTGTCACGAACAGTTCAAGTTCCTCATAGAGAAAGGCTGTAAAACTTTGCTTGATGATTCTCAGTTATCAGGAATTGAAAACTTTTTTACGAACAAAGTGTCACTGATTCAGGTATTTGTTTATATGTATGCTCCCGAGAGAAATAGTGAGTTTTGTTTTTCAATTTTATAAACTGAAACAAAAGTTGCAAACGATATAGGAATTATGGCGCAAAATAATTTTTAATGAAAATAATAAAGTATTTATTGTTATAGAATTTGTGAGAAATCTTAATCACTCCACTTTTTACGATAAAAGCACAGTCACATGACATGCGATCTAAGTAAGGGCGTTCAGTAAATCCATAAACAGTTTGACAATTACAACGTCATTTCATTAAGCAGTGAGTACAAAGCACATTTTTGAATTTCATGCAGGTTTGAGTTAGTAATATTGACTATATAAAATTATTTAAACTAGTTTTATAAATCTACTATAAGTTTCAAAGGCTTCCAACGTGTACGCAATGTGTACCTATTTTTATTTATGGCAAAAAAAATTTATTTAAATATTTTGGTTTAGGGCCCTCCAGGAACTGGAAAATCATTTTTAGGCATCAAAATTCTCAGATTGATGCTTTCCATGAAATTTCATAAGCGCTATCAAGGACCAATATTGGTGAGAATTTAACTGAGACAGATTTTTAATAACGTTTCTTGAATCCTAGCATACGCAGGAGTTGAACCAATCCATTTTCATGTTAATTTCATTTGCATGGCAAAAGTTGCCTTAAAATTTGTTTCGCAAGCTTCGTGATTGTAAAGTAAGCAACTATTCTTATGCTTAGGTTGTAACATTCAAGAACGTTGCCTTAGATCATTTTTTTGGTTGATTGCACAAAATATGTGTCGAACATCGTCCGGATTGGAAGAACCTCACGAGAGGAGCTTAACAACATTCTACTTAACAAAGTAATGTGATGAATAAGTACGTTTCCAAAGATTTTCTTCATCAGCTTAATTTAATTTGATTATTTAGGTCATTCATGAAACAGGAATTGAGAAAAAACATCGCCCAAGCTACATGAAAACTTGTACACAAATGCGAATTGCAAAGAGAAACATTAAAAAGCTCTTTAGATATTTGTCAATACCGCATTTTACCGTTAAATCATTCCTTGAGGTATTAACAAATCAGTCTATTTAAACATGAAACAATTGTTCAATCCTTTGCTAATTTTAAGAAAATCGATCCAGGAATTGTAAAAAGTGGACAATTGTCCGGCATACGTACTTTGATCCAAGCTAAAAATTTTAAACGGAATTTTATAGTAATGCAGAGAAATATTATTTTCAAAGTACAAAAAGAAACGACATCTTTATTCCTTTTTATGTAACGTTATTAGGTTGCTAGCAAAGAACATATTAGCTCTCTTTTGAGCATGTCACCTGATTCAGAAGAGAACGAAGAAAAGACTTTAGAAGGTGAGCAAGCAGATATATTAACTTGCTTATGTTAAGCTCTGTTGCATCAAATGCAAACGTATCGGTGCTTGTCTTTGCATATGATAACTAAGAAAAGGCCTATTTAAAAAGACACAGTTTTAAATTTTAGTCATTGTTTATAGCTTCTTCTCTCCTTCATAAATCATAATCACCATTTGTACGGTGGAACGTTACGTCATCATATTACATTTGATGTATATATCGTATCAGTTACATATAATTATAGATGATTTTATTTTTCTACAAACACATTTCAACCTTAATAGAAGACGGTCAACTTTGCATCATTCCAATACACAGTCAAACATCAATCAGTATAATTTTAAAATTATTTTGTTCAACTCATCCCATGCAAAGCATTCAGTAATTATGTCTTATTCAGAACTCACGCCAGTTAAATATTTTGTTTATATGCAAAGATAGATTCAAATATTATGATAATTTTGTCATTAAATGATTTGTTGTTGCCTGTTTTTCGTAGAGAAATTAAAAATATGTGTGAAGACATGGCTGGAGGAGGCAAAAAGTCAAGTTGAAAGCTCCTTAACGAAAAAAAGAGTTGAAAAATTTCGCTTCAAGACAGAAAGCAGGTAATAACGTATACATTTTTGCAGCAACGTTTTCAGACTGACCTTGGTTTAGAGAAAACAATCTTTGCTTTTCATATTTTTCCTTCTTTGTTTGTATCTCTCGATGGCCAACTAGGAACGAGGAAGAAGTTTTGCGTGGTGAAGCATTTGACTCAAATGTTACGTCTAAAGAAAGGCAACAGGATACTGTGGAAGATGAGGTGCCTTTGGACGACGTAAGTGCGTCATACGATGAAATTCAAGAGGGTGTTAACAATGAAGAACCGTTAACTGATGGTATCGAAATTTCATCAGCTGAGCCAGGTAGGCCGAGTTGAGTTAACTTTTAAGTGAAGAACGATCTAGATTGTCTTTAAAAAACTATTTCATAAATGATACAGAGGCATGTTAAAAAGATTTTTATAACATGGACATGTAAACGGAATCCACATTTATTTAAATGCACGTGCTCATTTAAAAAATTTTTTGAATTGCACACATTTTCATACAATTCTATCGTATACTCTATTCTATTGTCTGTATTGAAAATTTTTTTGCTTGATTTTTCATGATACTTTTACTGTAATCATGCATGAAAAGTCCATGCTTTTTTACACTTATAGGATATGGTTTATAATGATTGAAATTTGGTAGTATCGTCTAGAGCTTTAACTTAGAGTTTTCGACTCACTTACAGCGCTGTTTATCTCAAAGTGCTCTAAGTTGTAAGGAAGGCTGTTAACACAGAATAGACATCTAACAGAGAAAGCTCACTCAGCTAAGATTGTGGCGTATTTTTCCACTACGCATGCGTGACTTCCCAGCAAGATACTATCACAAAATAAATCATTTATGGAATAGTAATGCACGAGAATGTTATTTTACTAATAACTCAAGTGTAAAGCAAAAGTTTGCCGAAATTTTTACAAAGAGTTATCATCTTACGAAGAAGATAAGGTACCAAGATTTTGTAGTGCAAAACGATGTATTTGTAAAAACAACATCTATATTTTGTATTGCAATCTTGCAGAAGTATCTTCCTGGAAGGCGTGTCTCCTTAAAATTTTCTGTAGAAAAGTGAGGGACACGAACATCAAAGGTTCCTACATCAGAGGACCTTCTGTTAAGACAATCTATTCTGTGCTGTTAGTGCAATTGCCTGTTTTAAAACGGTGGTGACTTAGCGTCAGTACCAGATATTTTAATGTGATTGGTTGGTTTTAGGTCCGAAATAGCTGTAAAATGATCTGCAACAGTGCACAGTTCTGTATCAAAAGTGAAACCTGTCAGTAATGCAATTATATAGCTATATGTAACAAAACCTGTATTAACCAAATAAATTTCGGTATTACAGCAGCATAAAAATTAGACACAAACAAAAAGGAGCGTCAATTGTATATTTTTGATTTTGCGCAGAATATATGAAAATATACTCGGGCTTACCAAATAATGCGTGTAAACAAGTGCTGCGGCTCACTTAGATTAGATGAGTTAGGTGTCTGAAACAAACTTACTGAGAAATAAACCGTTGCTTTTCCCTGGGGCGACCAAACATGTTTGGTTTCGGCGGTATGGTTAAAATAAAGAGAAAATAAACCACCACAAAGGAATAGTTTGGGCAGAACTTTTGTCCTCTACATCGTTAAAAATCACAAAAGCACAAAAGAAGCTTGAAAAGATAAGAATAAGCAAGCAAAATTGTTTTTAAGACCTATCCTCCGAATATGTACTACTTACCATTTGTCGTGAAAACTAAAATCAATCATTGTGCCAACTTAACTCTTCGTTTCCCCCTGATTAACATATCCCCTATTTAAAATTTAACTTACAAATTAACCGGCTGAAGCAATAAGATTATTATTCGCTTATGCAAATAACTCCTTTGCGAAGCGAATTTGCGTCAAAGGCATCTCTCTTTAGATAAATAATAATTTATTGTATAATTCATTGGTAGAAATATATTTAAACTAAATCATGATCATTTCAAGTATGAAAAACATTTTATAACCGACTAACCATGTTCTGACTGTTGTTGACTTTATAGATGAATATGCTAGTCTTCTTGATGAAGATGATCTGTGGTCTTTAACTTCGACACAACGTGCTAATTTCCTTCGTGCTTTACGTGGAAAACTTTTTGCAGAATTTAGGGAAGCTGTTGAATCGTTTGAAAAGGTAAGATATTCATTACCAGGAGCGTAAGAACTGGGGAAGGGGAAAATCCTCCCTGCTGTATGTTGCAAAAACTGTCCTTACTTGGCGTTGTCTTTAAGATAATGAAAACTAGGCTTTTTCACTGTTAGACATGAAAGGTTTCATTTCTTCCCAACTTTTTTATTAGTTGCACATATACTTGCTGACTCTATACAGCTACTTTTTCTGCATGTTGAAAGATCCTATTCCTTGCATAGCTAGGTTTGTCAAAAGTTGTTTAATATTTATTAATCTTTACCACAGAAAAGTATTACAATAAACTATTGCTCAATATGAACAAACATATCAGAGTTCCAATTTGCAATTAGACAATCGCAAAAGACTTTGCTAAAAAAAGAACGCAGAATTAAGTCTTTTTCAAAATTTAAAGAAAAATGCCTGTTATCTCGCGCACACGTGGTTATAATCAATGCAGAGATTTGTAGCTAGCTATTTTCTATCTTTTTTTTGAAAATTAGTCGAAAAGTTACAATTTCTACTCGTATGTGCTTTTTTCCAACAAAGTTGTACATCTTTTGTAAGATGTTTTGTATCTATGTTCGTTGTTTTTTTGTACTTTTTTTCGTGAAGTCAGTTGCATACTAAAAATTGTCCTTTTGTCATAGCTACAGGTCTGTTAAATTCTGCGCATGTGGGTCAACAGTCAGCAAGTCTAAATTATTGGCTAGGTTATTTGTCAGTAGCAGACCATCATTCAAGGGTTCTTTTTAACATTCGATGTTTATTTTTTCAGAATAAACGTTTTCGTCAAGATTTTCTTGATGAACGCACAGTTTGCGTTCTAAAAAATTTTGATGTTATTGCCATGACAGTTACTGGAGCTGCAACTCGTTCACATTTGTTGGGTAAGTGTATATTACGTTACGTGTGATGCAGGGTTAGTCAAGATAAAGTATAGCAGCTAGACTCAAAATACTTTTATAGCAGCATTGTTGATTACGAGTTTCAATATAATAAAATTACACTAATCAAATTGCTTTTTAGGTATTTTCAAATGTAAATATATACAATATTGATCTTTTGTAATTAATTCTTGCTCATTCTTGATCTGCCACTGTGCCGGCAGGTTATGACGAATGTGAAATTGTATTACGCAAGATAATCGTACGCATGCGTAATGTGACAAATCTTGTTCTAATCACTGCAAAAGTCAATGAAGAAGTAAAATTCAATAACTTCAAAATAGCAAAAAGATTATTTAGGAGTAAGGGTGTTTGAGTTCTTGGCATCCTAAAGTTGCCAGTTGAATTGTTGTAATGTTAAAGTCGCGCGTTATTTATGTGAATGTGACCACGTTGCTGTTCAGAGTTGCTGTTCTGGTTTTCTACACATTCAGAAGTGAACATTATCAAATAAACAATACATTTATAATCAATGCAATGCCATGCAATACATAATTTATTTTACTGTTTTGCAGTTAAATTGCTCATAAACTCATTTTTTCTCATGGTTTTGTTCAGCAATAACCCATTGATTATTTTCTGTTTTATAGAGAAATTGAAGCCTTGCGCTGTGATTGTTGAAGAAGCTGCAGAAATAATGGAGGGTCAATTGGTATCAATTCTTCCCAAATCTTTGAAGCATTTGGTTATGATAGGAGACCATTATCAGCTAAAACCACGAGTTAACTGCTACAAACTGCTAAAAAAGAATCTTGATTGTTCCATGTTCGAGCGATTGATTAACAATAAATTTCCATTTGTCCAGTTAAAACAACAATGTCGAATGCGTGATGATATAGCCGATCTTCTTCGTGAGATAAAAATCTACGACAACTTAGAAACAAAAAAAGAGGTAAAACTATGTTGTTGGATTGTTAAAAAAGCATTTGTAGAGATATATTGAGATATATCATGAGAACTGCATGAATTGAGATGTATTGAGAACTGTATACATTGTGTTAAATACAGTTCTTTGCCAGCAAAAGTGGTTTCTTCTATGTACAGTGGAAAGTATCTCAAACTATTTTAAAACTTTCAATTTAACAACGCTTTTCTGGCTGAAAACGAATTTTTTTACCAACTGATTTTTTCCCCGTAAATGAAAGAGATTTGGATAGGAAGAAGATATACTGTAGCGCAAACGTGAGTTCAAGCGCAAACGTGAGTTGAGTTTTATTGCGTTTCACGATTGTTGCCGTGGTTAACTGACATCATTTCGACTGATTTCTGATCTTATAACTATGTGAGCAACTAAGAGAATCGGCAAAGAAACTAAAACCATGATTCACTTTGTAATTTCTGGAATCTTTAAAAGCTGTTTAAATACATATATGATAAAGCTGGTTGAGTTTAATTTTAGGTATTCTTTTAATCTTTTGAATAAAATTTAGAAAATTAAAGACAACGAGCCGCCTCTGTGCATTGGAGAAAGCCTGTTCTTTCTTAAGCACACAAAAAAAGAAACTTACCCCTCTGGATCAAGAAGTCCTTTTAATGATTACGAAATAAACAGGATTCTTGAAGTATCTCAATACTTGATGAGAAATGGCTATAGTCCTGCTGATATTACAGTCATCTGCCCTTACAATGCACAGGTATGTAGTTCTACTTAGAAGATGAAAATTGACGTAACTCACGAATTGATTTTCTGGCAAAGATTGATGTGTTTGTGAACAATGCTTTTAAGACAGAATTAAACATTAACTAGAATACTCCTCCTAATGAATTGACGCAAAGTGTAGTGAATGTAGTCATGCATGGGGTAATATCATACTTTTAAAACAAATTTTGATGGCCAATTGCTTGTGAAATATAATTCTGATCTTTTGGGAAAGTAAGTGGTGACGGTGACCAAAATAGATTTTCAATTTGCTCTGCGTTACGACAAAAGATTATATAAAAGATTACAGCAATAATACTGATTGCGCCAATAAGTGTCGTAGCTGGTCTACAACAAGTCGATTGGCTATCTTTCACCATAAATTCATTCTTTCAGGTGATTTTGAATTCTTTTTCTGCTCATAATGTTTTAGAGAAGGGTTTACTTTACATTGCCGTCACAATATTAGCACAAAAATGTTGTCAGCTGAATTTGACAACGCCCATTCTCGTAAAAATTAGTCTCAAGGAAAGAAACAACTCCTGCATACAATAGCATAAAATTCAGTCGAGGATATTTTTTTCGTAAGTCCTGCTTTAAAATTATATTTTGAGTTTGTTACGTCATTATTTTGTTTCATAGCCTCCATTCAAGTAGTCCATGTAATCCCTCCTTGCAGGCATAGTTAGCTACATAAGAATGACTAAAGTCGCCTTTAAAAGTACCATTCTTACAAATTTGAAAGACTGAAAAGAGCTGTATTTACACGTTAGTATAATAGTTTTTATAAAATAATATGATAAGTTAATCGTGCAGGACTTCTAGCGAAGCATCTGGAAGCAATAAAACAGTTTTAAGCCAAATATAAATTAAGTAGAAATTAATTGGGAGAAGTTTAACGAAGCAGGCTGTTCCATTGTGCATAGAAAAATAAAAGTAGGTTGCATTGGTAATTAATTTATGTTGACTATTGAGAGTTTAGTTTTGATAAATACTCTAAAATTTTTAAACATCGACGTTTTAAGTCTTCATACTGTACATGCAGCAGTTGAATTTGGCCAAATATCACCTCATTTCTTTTATAATCTTTATGATTAAAACTACGTTACGTTATATTCCAGGTAAATAGAATGAAAGGAAAATTTCTTCTTGAAGCAAATAAACCTTCTGAACAGTATTTTACAAAGCTTAAAGAAATCAAGATAACAACTATTGATAGTTTTCAGGTGAAATAAATTTTCCATAGTTTACGAACTATCATTACAAGACTCAATTTATTCTTTTCAAACGTATACAGGGGGAAGAAAACAAAGTGATTTTGCTGTCGCTAGTACGCAGTAATGAGAACCAGAAGATTGGTTTCTTGAGTAGTGGTAACAGAATATGTGTCGCAATTTCAAGGGCAAAATGTGCATTGTACATTTTTGGAAATCCAAGTGTTTACACGTTGTCTGAGAAATGGGCTGTAAGTTTCACCACTTTTTCTTATTATTTGTCTGAATGTGAATGAAAATGCTGGACGAAATATCACCAATTGAATAAGTGAGTTTTCTTTTTTTTATGTAATTCATACATTGAGTTTAGGAGATGTCTTTGTTTGTCACAGTATGTTTTATTCTGTATTTTTGAAATTGTCTACTAAGAAAATAATTTAATTTTGCTTTGTCAATTCTTTAAAATTATTTATGCTGACTCATTTCTTTAAAAACACATTGTTTATGCTGTGAGTGAGTTTACAAAAATTTATATAGTAGGACTTAATGAACGGGCCATATAGTTACTCCACCAAAATAAAAGGAAAGTGTCAAGCATTTCATATTTTACTGCTGCAGAAAAGATTTTACATGTACATTAAAAGGTAAACTTTTTATTGTAGAAAATCATCAGATTGTTTGAAAACAGAAAACTAATTAGCTCCAAGTTCCCGTTTAAAATGAACTCGAGCAGGTATAAATAACCGAATTACTTTTCTTTTTGGTTTATGGTGTGTTTTCCATCAACGTTGAAGGCATCGAAGACCGTTTGATGAACCATGGATTACAAAAATTGGCTTTTCTTCAAATTTCTATCAAAGCAATGCGTCCAGGAATCGCCAAGCAGGAATCTGCCATTTGATTTGGCATCAAATATATTTTGAAAGTTGCACGTTTAGTCAGCCTGCACGTCTGGGTAGTGCTTGTACATTTTAGATCACCAGCATTATTGCTTTCTTTAGTACTATTATTTTAACAGTGAGTTAACACCAAATATTTACACAGCACTGAAAAATTTGCGGGCTGGTTGCGCAACTGTTACACTGTAACGATTGAAAAGAAAAATATGATAACATGCTACATTAAGTTTGATCCGTAATACCTTTTATGTTTAGTTTGAAATACTCAAGATTAACGAGACTTTTTTTGTTCTCTGACAAAACTTGCTTCGTAGGAATTTTTTAAACACACTTTTAATTTATTTTTCTGTTTTAGGTAACCGACAGGGACCCTTTATGTAAGTGGCTAATTCAAAAAATTTTTCATATATTGAAATAGATTGAATAGGTTCTTAGCTAACGGCCAATAATGATCATTATTATAATGAAGGTATCAGCAGCAATGTTAACGCCTTTTTTATTTCCAGTTAGAGTACAAATATTTTTGTCTTTTACTGGATGCATCGATAACACTTAAAATGCCTATGAAATGGAAATTTTGCAAATTAAATAATGTTTGAAATGACTAAACTTTTGAAATGACCGTGTACTTTCTAATACTGTAAATGCTTATCTCTTTTTTAATCTCGTGATTTTGACGTTTTTGTCATTTCCAGTTTATACAACTTGTGACGTCATTACATGTTTGTAGATGTAGATCGTCCAAGTTACTAGAGTTCTGAGAAGAACTGTTTTTGTTGTTGTTGACTGAGTCAAATTTGACTGTTAAGATGACTACCGCTGTCTGTTGTCGAAACGTCAGTTAACAACAACAGTCCTTCTCAGAACTCTACTAACCTGCTCGATCTACATCTACAAACATGTAACGATACTCCCGGGATCAAACCATTTACTTTGTGACGTCATGTTGCATAATGGTTCCCACAATATTTCAAATACTCTTCAGTTTCCTGACAACTTTAGGTTGACACTAGTACGCAGCATTTTCTACCATTAACCATGTCACAAAGAAGGGAACTCGTAAATTAAAGTATCGGTAAATATACCTAATAATTATAGTTCTCATTATGCAATGTGACCTCACAAGTTAGATATATCAGACAAACCAAGAACCACAATATCTCAAGAATTAAGAGTGATATGCATTAACTGGTTTAGAATGTCCGTTGTCATTTTGAAATATCTCTTGAATAAGGCATTTTAAAAGAAATTAAGAAATAGTTTTAGAGAAGCATTTGAATTGTAGAGGTAAAAACTCGGGCATTCTTCGCCACTTGTAAGCACTAATTTATAAGTAATGTCGTTTTTAACGTAAGTAAAGGATGTTTCTACGAGAAAATTGCAAAAGATTCTTATTGTGTCAAAAAGCCCTTTCAAATCCTACTTGTAGAACTAGCAGAACTAGCAGAACAATGACGTAGTCAGCCCGCAAGTTTGATCAATGTAAAAACAATGGGTTTCTAAATGCATAAATAATGCGAATGATCTGAAATGTACATACTAACTTTCCGGGTTGGCTCCCCCGAAATCTTTAAAATCTTCATTCTGTTCAAAATTACTGCAGTGTTTCAACTTTGTTTTTCAAAGTATTATGGGTATTATGAAATTTTATAGCAACTGTGTTGTAAAGCTAAAACAAAATCATGGTTTACAATAAAAAAATCAAGTTATTGGCTCAAAAAAATTGCCAAAAATGGTGGGAAAATATTGTTTGAAAGGTACATTAATCGATTAAAGGAACAGAAAAATAATTGGATAGGAATAGAATAGCACCTTTTGGATGATTATGCTAGCATAAGTATCCGGCGAAAAAGTACAATTTTTTCTATATTAAACAGATGAGATATTTGAAGACAGCACAAAGCTATCAGGACGAGAAATTGATTTCCTATCCGAACGAATTGGTTCAAGTTATGATAGAATTGGACGTCTGGAAAATCTGCCAGAACATACTGTCCAAGAAGTAATTGATAACAATGTCCAGTATCCAAGTCCAAGTAAAAAAGCTGCTCGAACGCTAGGTCTGATAAACGAAAAACAAGACTTTGGACGGAAAAAACTTACAGAGCACCTTAATGAAGCCAATGTTGAGATACATGAAGAAGTATTACTAGGGACTTGGTGGCATTCTCCGACATGAAGCAAGTTACATGTATGTGCATTCTCATTAAGTAAAGAAAATGTCTTTTTCCAATTTTAGGTGTAGAAGCCTTTTAAATGTCCAATTTCCAATGCCATTACAAATTCAGGTTTTCAAATTTTAAATTTTAATGCAATATTGCGAAGATCGTATTTTACAAAAATTACGACTGCCAAATAGTGTTATAGTTAAAAACTCATTCTATACTGATGATGACATGTAAGTCTTGTCGAAAAGGTTAATATAAATATTCATTTCTTACGGAGTGTCAGTGGTTTTTGTTTTTAATACAAACGTTTTTCCACTTCTTTATAGGTATACTGAACTATAGGGGATAAAAATCATCACAAGTAGGCGTATAAAAAAAAGCAAAAAAATCGGCAATTTGTAGGTCCCCTCCAGCTTTAATCACAGTTTCAAATCTGCGGTACATGATGGAATTGAATGATTTAGTGTTCTTCTGTCACGAACAACCTCCTAAGCAGCCTTTATAACGCAGACACAGTTTTTTATCATTCGTACATGATGTTATGCTTGGGCCGTTAAATTCAGAGTCATTCTCTGAGATATATGAACTCTTCCCTCACTTGCTTAAGAAGAATTGGGCTTTGTCGTTAAAATTGCCGTGTCCCACTAGATAGCTGTCCAACCTGTCCAACCTGAGAAAACTGTAGGCTGGTATTTTTATGTTTAGCAGTAAGATTTGTTTTCACATGGGTTTGCAGCGATCAAGACTTGTCTCTCCAAGAGTTTTTTTTTTCGAGTAAAAGAGATAAGTTAATGCCGTGTTAAATCTGCATCTTGGCTATTATCTGTGGACTCGTCTTAAAGTAATTTGACACGAATGCTTACTCTTACAGTTATGTGGTACTGCCTCTGAGATATCATCCAGTACCGTCCTATGATCTTTGCATTATCACACTCTCAGTCCTCTTTTTTACGGCATTCACGCTACCGTGGCGAACAGATGTCTCGTTGGCTGCAACTTTCTTCATATAATGTCAACACGTTTCCACAGCTGTCCAAACGCAACAATCATTTCCCCCGTCTTTCATTTCTTTCATCAACCAAATAATGACTTCACCGACGATTTAGTTTATTACATATGTACCATAAAAGATATTAAAACGGTCAACAATCTCTACAAAGATTGCGGTACATTCTACTTGAGTAAAGTATAATATTTGAGAAAATCATATTCTTGGATAAAAAAATGTGCATATGTTGTAAAATTGACGTAAAAATAACAACACTAACGGTCTTACTCGGCACTGCATTAAGCTGGACGCTCTACATGTACAAACATGCAACAAATTTTTGGAAACACTACTACTCCTGAAAAAAACTTCGAGTAAAAAGATCGAAAAAGTCCATGTAATTCTTCAACTTGGCCAGAATTTCTTCAGGTGTCCAGTCTTCGTCTGGATCAAGCAGTTTTTTTGACCAAGATTCCGAGACGAACCTCATCCCTAACTGATAGAAAAAGACAACATTAACGCTGTTTTATTAGTAATAATTAAAGCCCCTTTTTGATCTAATGTTTGTTTTTCATATGCTTAATCATGCATAATGCATGCTCAACCTTAATTATAAGTCAGTCTAACAGGTGTTTTTACTAAACGTGCACTTCGCGTGTATCTTCTCATCCTCGTCATTTTCTTTAACAACAACTCCTCCATAACATTGAACATCCTTTGTGCTGGAAGATTGTAGTATTTTAACCCTTCTAGAGAAATGTTCTTCTAATCAAGCTTCCTCATGAAAATTCATATTCTCGATTTTAGATTCAAATGGTTTGTCCACTCTCAACAAGTGTTTTCTATGTCCTCTATGTATTCCGTCAGATGAGTTAAAAATATGATCGAGGACTTTTGTCTCTCTACAACAAATCCCTTTCTCTGAAATCCTTTTATTCCTTGAATCCTGAAGGCATCGCCTTCATTTAAGACTGAGAAACCTCGAGTTCGTGAATTAAATTTTTCCTTTTGAAGATTCTTGTAATAATGAAGTCGATCAGAAGCAACTTCAGGATCTTCACTTCGGGTTTCCGTCGTTTTTCCGCTATATGAAGAAGTGTCTTGGTTTGCTTTGACATTAATCGCAACGCCGGACTTATAAATACCGTATCTCTTGGTGTATTACGATGGTTGAGTAATAAAACATGTGGATCAACATTATCGTCCATAGCTTTCTTCATTAACAACTTTGCTTTTTGAACTGCTCTTTCGACGCCACCGTTGCTTTGTGGATAGTTGGGCGAGCTCGTAATATGTTGGAAGTGCCATACAGTTTGAAAAGCTTTAAACTTTTGCTGTAAATTGAGTACCATCTTCACTGACAAGTACATCTGAATTTCCATATTGTGCCATTTATGCCTTTTACTTAGTAATAACAATTATTGATAATAAGTTGTACAAAAGATCAAATTCAAACCAACCTGAGTAGAAATCAACAGTAATCATATAATTCTTTCCATGAAGCATGAAAATATCCACTCCATTGCGTTGCCATGGTCTCAGCGGAGTTGAATGAGGCTTCAACGGTTCTGACGGTTGTTGAGGCTTGTTATGATTGCATATACAGAACATTTTCACTAGCTGCTCGATTTCACGATCCATTTCTGGCCAAAAAAGCTTCTCGTGCTCGTCATTTACTAGCTTCAATTCTAAGATGAGGTTGATGAACGATCTTAAGTATCTCTTTACGCAGTACAACTGGAATTACTATTTCGTTTCTCTTGAAGATAAGATCATCATAGATACTAAGTTCTTCTCTACAATCTCAGTAACTATGGATGGAAGGGGATAAAGGCGACTTTTGTTGGTGACACGAACTCATGATTCAATTGTGGTAAGCTTGGATCTTTTCTTGTTTCTTCTTGTGACTCATCCAATTTTCCTGCAGAAACAGGCAGAAGTACGTTTATCTCTAACTCTTCTTCGAGGGTATCGTTTAGATTTATTTCTTGGCAAGCTCTGTTTAAGGTATCAGCTACGTACAACTCATTTCCTTTCCTGTAGGTAACTTGTAAACCATAATGTTGCAGCCGAAGTAATATTTGTTGTAATCTCATTGGACATTCAAGTGAACTCTTGAATGTGCTTTTCAAAGGTATATGGTCTGTCTGAATCTTAAATAAATTGATGGAACTTTTCACATGCAAATATTATGGCCAGTAGTTTCTTTTTTATTTGAGCGTAACGTTGTTGTGTTTCAGATAAAGCTTGTGATGCATACACTACTGGATGACCATCTTGTTCCAAAACTACTCCAAATCCAGATATACTACTGTGACAGGAAATCTTTACTCGTTTTGTAACATCATAATATTGTAACGTCGGCTGTTTAGCACAATTGTCTTTCAAATGTTGATAAGATCTCCGATATTCATTTTTCAACTGCCGCGCAGTAGTCCTTTTTAGCAAAGATCGTAGTGGTGCTGCTTTTCAGACTGATTTGGAATAAACTTTGCGAGTTATTGTATCATACCAATAAATTGTTGAAGATTTTGCTACGAAGTCGGTTCAAGGCACCTTCAATGGATTGCACTTTTTCATTGCTTGGTTAATGCCATAGGCTTGTGACGTAAGCTTGTGCCCCATAAACAAAACTTACAAAACTCGCATCTTGCACTTCTTCTGATTTAACCTTAACCTAACTTCTCGTGCTCGATCTAAAATTCTGCTAAGAAGTTCCTCATGTTCTTTATCCTCTCCTTCCCAGATCATTAAATCATCCACAACAGCTCCACAATCTACGATACTTCCAAACATCTCTTGCATAACTCTTTGATAAACTTCAGGCGCTGATTTTATTACAAATGGCAGGCGCTTAAACCAATATTGTCCAAATGGAGTTTTGAAACAGGTCAGAAATAATTACACTTTTTCAAGTGGAATTGCCAAAATCCATTTGTTGCGTGAAGAGTTAAGAAAATTCTTAGCCCCAGGTATTCTGGTCAGAACATCATCAACGGTTTTCATTGGATGTTCTCTTCATTGGATATTGTATTCTCTTCACTGCTTTGTTTAAATCTTACTGGTCAACGCACAAGCGAATCTTACTTGGTTTAACGACTTTAACCAATGAAGAAACCCATGCTTTGGTTCAGTTATTAGCGTTACGACTCCCAGTTTCTCCATGCGATTCAACTCTTCCAGAATTCTTGGTCTAAGAGTTTTAATTTTCAGTTTTGTTGCAAATTTCAAATGTTATATTCCACTCTTCATTTGTACTTAATTTATCTGAACAGAGACTGACTAATCTTACCAAAAAAGTTTTCATTTTAGTCCGATTCAAAGACGGTGGCAAAAAATCAATCCAAACAATGCTAACTCATTTCACTTTAAACAACATACATCCAAAATTAAAAATTCAAAGTTGTCTGATAATTTCCTTTGTTAACAAATCAAAACAACTCACAAGTAAAATTCTAACTACTGTCAGATATCACAAAATTCCTTTCGCTGGTACAGCCTATCATATCGACAAAAGGTTAGGATTCGCCCAGCTGCTGCATGATTTGTAAGAAAATATGGCCCTGTATATTCAAATATACAAGCTTCGTAGCAATATTTAGGAATGACTCGATGTAGACTCATTTCCCATCAGATTTATTTGAGCGACAAAATTTGATAACTTACCTGGTTTTGAGGTATTTTAATCAAGCCATTTGAATCCCACCCTTTTTCATGCAAAACAATAATTTTGTACACTTCGCCATCCATTTCTGCATTATAGAATTTCTCTTTCGCTTCACGATAGAATAAGCAGTCGAAACCATCGGGTATTTTCATTTCATTTTCATCGGGCAAAATCATTTGAGCATCACTATTGTGCTCATCAAACTTGCAGTTTGATAAGTAGTCACACAAAATTTCAGCTTCATTCTTGGCTTCATCGCCCGCTAAAAATCTTGGGCCTATTGAACGACAAATACAATAAGAAAATATGAGCATATTTAGCACAATATGAAAAATGAAAGGTGTTGTAAAGGTATCATGTAAGAAGAAAACTAGGCTGTGACATTTCCATCACAAAACGCGACAATATCTGAGATCATCATTTTTGTGTATTTATAATTCATTGTCACATGGGTCATAAAATATGTTTGACGCAAAACGTCGGCTACATTTGTTTTATCATCTAACTTGGAATAGAAAAACAAAATCATGAAGAAGATTTGCAACAACTACTCGAATACTATTAAAATAATACACCTTTAACTTTGATTATTATTCACTGTGTAAACAATGCCGATTATGATTGGTTATCTACATGCAAATGATTCTCGATATCTGCATGTAATTTTGACGTCATATTTCGTCATATTTCTAAATAAATCTCGATATCTGTATGTCATTAAATTAACAAAAAATCGCATAAAACCAAATATATTCCATGTATTATTGAGCAAAAATGGCATAATAAATGCATATTTGTTTACAGTGCACAAAAATTGTTTGAATGATATGTACTGTGTTGAAAAATAATGACACAATCACAACTTCATTGGCAAAAATGCCTAAATGACGTCATTTTATTTTCTGCTTAACTTTTTTTTAAAGTTCATTCATTAATCTCAGAAATTGAACTATTTGTAAACAAATAATGTTATAAATAAATATTTAAAAAAGATATATTATTTATTAACCAACATGTTTCCCTATTCGTAACCACAAATCATGCCTTCTTAAGCTTGCAAGTCTATCATGAAAAAATCAATTAAGTTTATCTCTCAACAGTCTGAAGGTGAACTTTCAGGTCAGCAAAAGGATAGTGGTATGTTACTTACTAATCCTTTGTGTACCGTTTTTCTGACGTCCACCTTCTATAATAGCGCGTATTGGAATCTATTTATCGTATAAGTCTTTTCTCGTAAAAAGTTCGAAACTTCCCATGAGTCTTTGTTTATTTGGAAAAAAATAAGCAATTGTCCTCGTTTTCAATTTAACCGTAACTGTTCATCAAAATCGTTTTGTCTTGTACCATGCTTCGCCTTCGAATTGGTGATCCAAATGTTTGATGTCGGCACTGTTTTCCGACTTCACCGTACTTTTTGTATGTTGCTTCTTTTGTCTTTTTTTCACGCTTTTTTTTTTGCTTTCGCTGTCGACATCTTCACTAGCATGTTCCCATATAACCTCAATTGTTGCATTTTCCCGTCTCTTTGTGCTCGACGTTGGAGGTGACTTTCAGTGAACAAAAAGGGTACAACGCTGCTTTGTTTGTTGCACCATTGCTAGCCGAATTTGTTAAAGGTGTCAACAATGTTGATCTTGGTGCAACAATGTACGCCTTATTATTCCTATTTAGCTAAGCCTACAAAGTTGACTTAAATTTCTTATGTAACAGACAGAGCTCTGGTGTGAATGTATGTTTCTCTCCGTCTCTTCCAAAAGTGCTGCTCGAATAACCTCGCTCACATTTACTTTAGTTTCATCAATGATAATCTCGTTCTAGCCAAGAACGTCCAGCAGCTGGACAGAGTTTGGTAAATTCAAAAGCTTTTTTAAGACTTCAATTTTTCCCACTTTAAACAAATACTAAATTTTTAGCTGCTAACTCTTTTACAATGTCTTATTTTTTCAATTTTATGGTTTTTGCTTAAAACCACAATTTTTCCACTGTTCTGTAATTACTGCCCATGTCAACTGACAAATGAAAATGACTCAATAAATGTTTAATACATAACGTTCAGCAAAAAGTTAGATTGTTTTTAAAGTGACATCAATTCTTTCCTCGTTTTCTCAAAAATCTAAAACAGACTTTGGGATAAAAGTCTGAAATATGACTACAACAATGTGCAAATATTGATGCAATTAGTATGAATGAAAAATTGTGATTTGCTCTCCAGCCTTACAAAGATTGACATGTTGTAACACGACAGGGTATTCGTTTTAAATGGGCAAAGTTTTTGACATCATCTGGACATCTGCTACACTTTCTTGGTCAGAATGAGATTGTCAATGATGACACTGAAAAAATGTGAGCGAGTTTATTTAAACAATCATTTATGCGAGAAGGAGGACAGAAAAATATATTGAAACCAGAGCTCTGGAGTAAAAAGGAGCAAAAAATAAGTCAACAATGTGTCTTCTGCCCAATCTACATTCAACTTAACAAGTAACAAAGCAAGTACACTATAAAACAAACATTTGGCAACGTTGCATCGAGCCGATGACACCTTTAACAACTACGGCTAGCAATGGTCTAAAAAATAAAGCAACGCTGTACCCTTGCGGTTGACTTGAGATCAGCTACCTCCAACGTTACGCACCAAAATAAACGAAAGGCATAGGAAGTTTCAAACTATTTAAAGAGCTAAGACTAGGGCGATGATTGGATGCCTTGAGTTCCATGTGAACTATGTAAGAAAGTTAACACCAGTGCGTGAAACCCGGTACACAAAAGATCAATAGCATACCTCCTTCCTTTTGTTAGCCTGAAAGTACACCATCAGATTGTTAAGAGATAAACAAAGTAGCTTATTTGATTTTTTCACGATAGATTTGCAAATGTAGATCGTCCAGATTGGTATGGTCCAGGTTGGTATAGGTCGTTATAGTTACACATTTCCTGTACACACAATACAATGAAGTAAGAACCAGATAACAAATACGGCTAACCTAACGTTTACTCTTCATTTGGCTCTGAAGATGACTACCGATAAGATTGTCAAAACGTCAGTCAACAACAACAAAAACAGTCCTTCTCATGACTATACCAACCTGGACAATCTACATCTACAAACATGTAACGATACTACAGGGTTCAAACTTTAGACTTGCAAGTATGAGAATAATTTGTGGTTACGGATATAGAACTACGTAATAGTGTAACATGTTAGTAAATAAATAAAATATCTTTTTAAAATAATTGTTTTGAAAATTATTTGTGTAATGTATTTATTTGTAAAAAGACACAAAAACTTAGGGAACAAGTAAGCGACGTGATTAGGGCAGATGATTTGCATATGAAGTCATGATGACGTTATCATTTTTCAACACAATATACATCATTCAAACGGTTTTTGTGCACTATTTACAAATATGTATTTATTACGCCATTTTGGCTCAACAGTCAAGAAATATAATTATTTTATGCAATTTTTTGGTAATTTTAAGACGTCATCAGTCACGTAATCAATAAACATTTACAAAAATGTTGTCAGGTTTTAAATCGAATCTAGCACATTAAACTTTCGACAAAAGTGTTTAGCACTTCCTTAGTTCGTTAGAGCATTTGCGCTGTCTAGTAAGAATGACGTCATATCTACAAATAATAGTTTCTACAATTATTTACGTCATTAAAAAACAGTTTGAAAAAGTCAAACAATGGCAATGTTTGCCACAGTTTCTAAAAACGATAGGAAAGCTTTCGAACAAAAAGGATGCAAAAAACACTAAAAAAGTGGCGAAGCTGGCTTTGAAATATTTACAACAATTAAGAACTTGAATGAACTGAATTCTTGATATCGGCTTTTGCATGATATCAAGAATTATTCAGACCTCGGTCAATGCTGCCTACCTTGGCTTCGCTTCGGAAGATAGCATTAATTTCTGTTTGAAAAATTGCTGATATAATGCTCAACCTCATCAAATAATTATTTATTATCGGTATTCTAGCAACACCGGTATACTTATTGTCCATAATTCACGTACTTCAGAAATGGTTTCCGAAATAAGATAAAAGCATTAAAAAAACATCGCAAACTTTTTTTTAACATTACATATACATTTTGTCGTCAAAGAACATGACATTCGAAAATACATGGATTCATAATACACTTTCAAGTTTCAGCATTCAGGATGAATGTTATGGAGGTCATGTTACTAAATATGAAATGAAAATGACGCTCGCATGCCGTTCCAATCATAACTGGCGCAGAGGCTGATGAGAGGGCAAAGGGCTTAAAATCGCCCCTGAGCTCGGATAATTTAATAACTAGTTGATGAATATTTTGTGTTTTTAGAAGATTTTCAAAATACAAGTTTTTCCTGTTTACTTGCTGACCATTCTTCATGTAATTCCTAATCAAACATTAAAGAACTCAACTTTGTTTCATATCCTAACTATGCTAGCTAAAAATATTGTTTGGCACCTACACGTTTAGACACTTAAGTATTGATTTAAAAAAAATGACATACTTACCAGCCCTCAGTTTTATCCTACAGTCATAACTCGACTTTGGTGACATTATTTCTCCTTTAGCAACAGTGACGGATGGCCTACAGAGCCAAGCTTTAATATTTCTACAGTGTTTGAGATCAACTTCTCTTAAAATATTTTTGACCTCAAATGGTGGTTCTTCCATTTCGAGAGGATCACATTTCCATGCTTTCAATCGAACGGTGCGCACTTAAACAGAAAAAATCTATTTTGAAAATCCTTAGTCTCAAAAGGAGCCAGGTTACTCAAGGGGCAGTTACTTTCAGGGGGGAGGCGCGTAGTGTAGGAAAGAACTTAGAGTTTCGAGTTGTTATTTTCAGCATCGTTTAACTCTCATAGTTAACTCTCAATCCATGATTTATAAACAGTATTTTTCAATTTGTTCAAAGTTGTGTAAGGTTGTGATAGTTGAAAAATGTACATGAACGTTATAGTTCGACAATAAAGAACAAATGTTGCAAAGCTTTTAAAGTTCTATAAAAAGAGCGGTTACCTTCTGGGGGGGGGGGTAATTTTCGGTTATTTTCATGAGGGGGCTACTTAAGACACTACAGTATGTTTAAAAAGGTATTACAAAAATTGATCGAGGAAGAAAAAAGTCTGTCCGGGTAAAATTGTGTCCTTTTTCTATAAAATATAGACTCTAACAAGTCGGTCCCAGGTCTTTTTCGTAATGTGCGCCACCTGGTCATAGTGTCTAGATTAACACAATTCATTCCTCCTTCACTTTGATATGAAAACAATAGTTTAAAACGGATTAGGAAATATTTCATTTTTATTCCAAGAACATCATTGGTCTTATGATTGCTTATTAGTAGAGACATACGTCAACATTTTCCATCTTCGAAAATAAACAGCAAAAATACTTTATTACCTGATGGTGTCTTAAAGGTAAAGTCAAAGCGCCATTGAGTGTGTAAAAGCTTCAAATTGAAATCATCATTCTTTCCTTTATTTGGAAAATATTCATCATCAAAATCCTCGATTCGAACGCCTTCTTGAAAAGAGACATGCCAACATCTATCCTCATTATTATTTACATTTTGTCCCAGACTTTGACGACGACCTATTTGCAACTTCTTTTTAACCTGAGATGCCGTTAATGATTGCTTTTCTTCTACTACAAAAGAGCAAAAATGACTTCTTTGAGAAGTGATGATGTTAGGGAGTTAAGGGAAAAGTCTTGCAAGCATATATATCAGCACTTGTATGACAAGTTATATCACTAGAATCAGCGTGTCTGAAATAAATGCCGAGATGTGCTACGCTACAGTATGGAACATCTGGTTAAAATATGAACTTTAAAAATTGATTTACACGAGTATCAGAAAATCGAGTCATTGTAAACATTATAAGTTACATTTACATTTCACAAAAAAAAACAAAAACACTATATTAGTAATAAATTCATTACCACGCAAACAGCATTGTCATAAAGGAATGCATTTTAGTGTTAAAATTGAGATGCTATAATCTATTTCCATTTCCTAAGCCAACGTTGCCACTTTTAAAGTAGATCCGTCAAATCGTCAGAGAACACTGCATAGTTCACATTGGTTAAGTTAATGTCTTTCTCAAAATTACCTATCCTCAAGTTAAAGTGGAATGGTTTTTTAAAATAAAACAACTTAATAAAAATAACAACTTCTCTACGCAAAATACAAGAAACAGCGTCATAAAAAGTATTCAAAATCATAGTCAAGAGCAGTTTAGCATGCTATCAATAACGCATAAATATGTTAAATTCATAAAGCTGGCATCATAACTTATTTTTAAAAAAAATTTACCTGGATCGACATTGGACACAAACATTTTTCCAATATGACACCACAAATCAATCCTCAACTTTTCCTCGTTTTCTATTTCTGACAACTTTTCCTTCTTTTTTATTTCTGCCAACTTTTGTAACGATGGTAGCAAATTCAATTTTATGTCATCGTTAATAGTTTCTCTCTTGAATATAAAAACATTTGTAAGAATTATTAAATGGTATTTGAAAACTGTGTATTTTTAACAAATAGATAACATTTAACCGTTGTCTATACAGTTATAGATACACGGGTGTGACGTCAATTGTGATAAAAACTAAAAATGTGGCCACGAGCCGCCACCACTTGAAACATTGAAAAGTCTTCATTTTGCAAATATCACGCTTACGTGATCTATCGAATTGAAAAAATGCTATTGGCTAGCTTAATCACGTGATAAAATGTGATTGGCTAACAAAATAAACATGCAATGGCTGATCAACTACGTATGGACGAGAGATTCTTGCCACTATAGCAGTTTACTGGATGGCACCGTGTTTCGACTTTATTCCAAAGCCATCATCAGAGAATATAAATAATATATTAATCCTAACACGGTTTCTAATATGCACATGAAAAACATGTGATCAATATTGCAGATCAATATTGTTGAAATTTCGTTATCGAAGACGAAGTACAAATTAATGTTTGAAAACCGGGTTTTTTCTTTTCTTTTTGCTCAAATACGTTAATTACCTATACTAGGTCTTTGTGAATATATCCATTTTCCATTCAGGAGGTATTGCAATAATTTTCAAATACATCCGCAATTTGTTTGTGTTTATAAACATGAAATTTCCTGTGACGTCAAATTCCGTACGTATGTCCTCTTATAGATCATAGCTCTCGACTAATGGAATTGCTCAAATTCTTCTAGCTTTTATATAAAAATAATTATCAAGCAATTCACATCACTCTATGTATATCTTATACACAATTTGGTAGAAAATTCATTTGTAACCTATTGATGTATACATTGATAAAGAAACATATATAAACCTATATATTTAGTATTAGCTATAAATGAAAAGATGCTGTAGGAAAACTAAATCACGGAAATTGACTGCAGCAGTTCACCAATCAAGCCATGCATTTGTTGAATATAAGTTAATAACTGTACCTTGCTATGCATTATTGCCTTTACCTCAAAAACATATGGCGAGATTAACATTTATAATCAAAGAAACAGAAAACAAAAGTAGCGTGATAGTCTACAATATACAAAGCAAAATGTCAAATTTTAAACTAGATTTTGCTTCACTAAAACTTTAGTCAGTAGTTTTAGAAGTTTTGTAAGAGACAATCTAAAAATTTGGGTCATAGGCACTTTAAATAAAGCAATGAAGACTAATAAAATATACAGTAACTGATTTCGCGTTGAAATGTTCAATAATGTCTCGAATGAAGAAGTGTTCAAACAGTGAGCAACAATTTTCAATACTTGAAATATCACGACACTTCCCATTCCAAAACAGCATAAAATATACAAAGAATAAACAAAAAATTGAAACGACGACATTGTTTTTGGTCGGTGCTGTTATTTTTGTTTTCCTAAATGTTGTCATATGATCCCATAATGTATTTACCTCACTACGATTTCTATCAGCTGTACAATAAATCCTATATTGTTCGCCTTTGATATAACCACGCAGTGCAACATTATACTGATGGAGGTTATACTCGTCCTCTTCGTTTTCGTTGTCTAAGCAAACGAAACGTACGTCGCCTCCATATTTTTCTCTCTGCATTTTGTCTTCAAAAGATAACTGAAAAAGATGGTAAAAATTAAACGTCGTCAATGCCATTTTGCACCAGTATATAAAGACTCCTTAATGGGCTGGATAGTTAAAAGTTATTTACGCACGCATTAATTTGCTTTCAAACTCAAATTTTTTGCACAAGGGTTTTTCAAAATATATGCTTTAGTAAGTATTTAAAAAACAAACAGCTGGAAACCTAACTGACAAAGACTATGATTTGACGCAGACGTCACTGTGTGCTGTATAAGCCATTGTTGGTGCTCTATAGAACATCCATCAATTTAAAAGAGTTGTGACTGTAAATTGGAGAAATTACGGCAACTCTGTTTGATACAGGAAGGCAATGAATTGACAATAATCACAGCTTATTTTCTTTCTGATAAAAATAGCTAAGCTTTTTAAATGACGCTTGGGTCTTCATTAATTCGCTAAGCAAAGACAAGAAGTGAACTGCATTCCCAAAGCATTCATCTTCTTTCCTTTTTACTTAGTCTATTAAAATGCTTAGTAATCAATGAAACAATATTCTAGGTGATATCACCTGAGATATTTCCGAATGTAGCTCGTTTTCCATCTAAAAAGACATTTTACTGCAATTCTACAGGCCATGGCGATCTCACGGTGCCAAAGGAAGTGCCAAAACTCGCAATTTAAGAAAATCACAAGTTTGGATACAACCTTCAATTTACACTTGATTTTTAATCTAAGTAAGGGAACTGTGCAATATAATCGAATATTTTATAGTGGAGAAAGTTGACTGTAGAAAACACCATATTAAACTGCGTTCTTAGTTTACAGTTGGAAAAATTTTTTTCCATCCACCACAATGAGAAAAGAAAATGATTGATTAATTTTTCTTATTCGTTTAACAATAATAAGCTGAACCTATTAAAGTTTTATCTATACTTCACTTCTCTTCAACTTAACCATCCACTTCAATCACTTGACTTCACTTTACTTCCACTTCAAATAACACTTCATTCCACTCCACTCTACTTCCCTCCAATCCACTCCACTCCACTCCACTCCACTCCACTCCAAACCACTCCACTTCATTTCACTTCACTTTACTTCACTCCACTCCACTTCACTAAACACTTTGACAACTCACCAATATCTCGAAAATAAGGAATCGGGCATGACGACAATTACTTTCTTCACCGATGATTTTAACATCAGCAACATCCCCATGTGGGTCTATAACAGTTTACAAAGCTTTAAAATGAAATACGAAACATAGTTGCAGTTATTACCCCATGCATTACAGCATAAATCTAGGACAATATCTTTTCGTAACAGAACAGCCACGTTACGTAACATCCAATGAGCAGTGAATACAAGACAAGCGAAATCAATGCGTTAATCAACATTAAAACGAAAACTGGTTGAACGTGGTCCGAACGGACGATATGCAGTTTACAAAACATTGTTACAGAAACGGAAAGACAAACGATACAGTGAAGACTGTTTATCGATGAATCTAATTACGAAAAATAAGGACAAAGGCGGAAGGTTTCCGTTTATGTAAAAAATGAAAAATTTTTAAGTTCTTGTGTTGAACCAGAAATTTCTAAACCAATATAAAGAAGTACTAAAAGAACTTGTTTACATTATGCTTGACAAACTTATATCTGTTTAAAAAGCTAAAAAATGTCATACACAATATTATGTGTAATAATGTTAACTTGTTCCATATCATAAAATTTTCATATATAAATACATATTGTATCATTTGTAAGCGCTTATTGTACTTTTTCAAGTGACAACGTGTTAAATATCAACTAAAGACACCATCGCATTGACAGGAATCAGACTTTTTACCTTCACTTTGTATTATTTTATTTGGTTTGAACAACATCGATCAACATAGGTGAGGCGCAACCAGCAATATGTGCTCCCTGGATATGTTTCTCCGCAAAATATGTAGATCATGCATTGCTTTTATCAGCTGAAAACTCACTTAGATAAAATGGAAACGATAGGCAACTCCATTGAAAACCGAATAATTATGCACAAAACTTCGCATGTTTTTTGTTTGAGAAAATACCAAAAAATTCCAAATGGACATGGTAAGATGAAAATGAAAAACTAGTTATATAATGCCTTTAAAACAAGACATAAAATTTAGTAATGTTGTATTCTTTTAGGTATTTTACCATGCAACAACAACATGATAAAACAGTACAACAAACATTAAAAAAGTACGTTGCACTGGTAGTAGCATAATCATTATAACTACAATAAGATAATAATGTTCAATGTTCAATCCTAAGAGAAATGAAGAATTTTCACCTTCAACCTTGGGTACCCATATTCGTGCTCCAGATTTGGTTTCTATGTATTCTTTCGTTTTGCGATTCCCTCCAAGCATCACAGGAATATGTTTTTTCAAGATCGAAAGCCACTGGAAACGGTCTTCTTTCTCTTTAAATTCTGTCTACAAAAAAGAACGGTTATGTTTTACAGTAGATATCATTTCAAATTACATAGACAGCAAATTATCAAAATAGCTATTTTCCGTTAATCGTTGGTTGGAAGGCACACTACGGAGTGATTAGACAGCTTTAGCAAACGCAACGCGACGTCAACTAGGACGTCTACAAGTTGAGAAGAACTGGGTCGAGGACGATGTTGTATTGTCAACTTATTTTGGTTTAGCATTTTTGAGACGGGGAGTCGAGGACGTGAAAATTTATAGTTCACTTTTAAAGAGTTTATTTTGTTCAATGAGACGAGTAAAAAACACATATTTCTAACAAAATACAAATGTTTGTTCAAAAAATAGTGAATTGGAATTCAAAAATGTTTGATTTTCCGTCGTTCACTGAAGGCGAATCCCAGCAATGTTTTGGAAAAACAAGTTAGTTTGTTTATGTACTTATTCTTCATGAAAATCTTTTATTTTGACACCTTAGACATCGGCCATGTCTTTATCAACTCTCTAACATGTGATATTGAATAGATTTTAATTAAAAACAAGTCGCTTTTATAAAAATTATATGTACGATGTGAAAAACAGTAAAAAAACAAGTTGTAGTAAAATTCGCCATAAAATGGACTGGAAAAGTTGTTAAAAATTTTTAACATTTTGTTTGTAGCTATTCATGTAAACAGAGCAGTGTTTAACTGAAATAACGTTCGACCCAACGCAAAAAAGAAACATGTTTTAAATACAAAAACATACAAGGGAAAGCCCGCTCGATGTTTTTTGTTTTTAAGTTTGCATATTTTGAGCTTTTCCTACAGTTGCAATGTCAAAAAACTTTTGCAGCAGAAATTATGAAAAACATACAAGTTTCGCTTCAAAAGTGGAAAAATTGACTGTAAGAACTGATGTCCCGTACACGACGTCAAATCACCCATTTTCACGTCCTCAAATCCACAAAAACTCCGTCCTAAACTTGACCGGAAGCACAAGCACGCCATGCGCGCCATTAGTGAGTTTACGAAACTTCACATTTTGACGACGACGCTGGGAGTTAACGCTAGTGCGCGTGCTTCTTGACATTTTGACTGCTTCCTTTGGCGACGACGCCGTGAAATCGTCTTCTTTTGACGCGTCCTGCATGTTCAAGATGGCAGATGAACATCAAAATACAAAAAAGGTTGGAATCGAACAGTTTTAAGTGTTTAAAGCATTTTTCAGCAATAAGATATTGTTATGTTCAGTTTGTACTGAGATAAGGGCAAATTATTTAACACAGAGTACTAAATCAATTTTTTTCAAATATTTCATTATATTTGAAAACTCAACTAATATTTTATTATATTTCATATTACACAAAATATTATATATTTATAATTAGTTTATTTGTTTGGTTTCCTTTGCATCCTTAATTATTTTTGTAATTTTAGCAAAAAAGCAATGACTTGGACAAATGAATTTAATAATGCGATTCTAGTTCGTGAAATGTACTTATTCCAACCATGGAACTTCAAAAAAGGAGCGCAGCAACGAGGTAATGCATGGGAAATGATTTGTGATACCTTAAATGATATGGATGGCCCAAAGTTTAACGTGACGCAAAAGTCTGTTCAAGACCACTACACTTTACTTCAAAAACAACAAAAGATTAAGAGAGGAGGAAAGAGCTTCTGGGATCTCTCCAGAGCCGTCTGCAGTAGAAATTTCCATTGAGGAAATTATTCCATTGTTCAAAAATAGAGATGAAGAAGAGAAAATTTTTGGAAGAGAAACAAAAACAAAATTCTGTAGCTGAAGTAGAAAATGTGTGCGAGCACACCTTACCACGCCATTAGAGAGATTTAGCAAACACTACGTATCGTCTAAGACGCCGTGAAAATGGCGTAAATATGGCGTGGACCCAACCATATATGGGAATATCACGCAATTTTTTATGCCATTTTCACGACGTCTTAGACCAGGGTCTCCAAACTTTACAGCCAGAGGGCAACATGAACTTTCATCCAGCATGTTGCGGGCCGACGAACCGTATACCGCTGGTCAAATAGCGATGAAGAAGTATTTTACACTCCACTCTTCTTGAAATCGCCGACATTCATCATCTACTTTCCTTTTTCTTTTATCGGCCATTATGAAGCATTGAAATATAAAAAATTTCCACATCATCTTTCAGATTTTTAAATTTCGCAATGTGCTTGAAACGGAAGTAGGAATTTGAGACAAAAATTGACGTAAGCCACTCTTGCAAGTTGGCTTGCGTCATAACGTGAACTTTCTGCACAAAGTTTATTTTGCTTAATAATATTATTTTTTCTTAAGTGTCTCTGCGGGCCGGATTGAGAGGCCCAATGGGCCGTAGTTTGGAGACCCCTGCCTTAGACGATACGTCGTGTTTGCTAAATCTCTCAATTTTCACGTCCTCGTCGACGTCGCGTTGTGTTTGCTAAAGCTGTCTATTAACACAATTGGTGACATAATTTATTCAAACCTCATTCAAACGTCACTGATGATATACGACATGACAACGCTAGGTGGCAACTAGCTTATAGCTCAATGGTGGTAACACTATATCAAATATTGTTACAACGAAGTTGGAAACATTTAGCTTTGACTGAAGCAAAGGCTTTTTTTAAAAAAGGAAATAACGTCAAGAAATGAGTTTAAAAACAACAACGAAATAAACGGAAGAGTTTTCAAGTTCATTCATCAACTGGCATCCACAAAACAGACATGCTAATTGCGAACTGTTGTTTGACTTACAATTATTTGTTGTATAAGAGATTCTGCTTGAAGACATTTGTTTTTCTCACCAATGATAACAAGTTGAACAAAATCCCCATGCTGCTCTATAAAAACGAAGAGATAATAGTTGATAAATTGTGACGAAAATGTTCAACAAATGCTTTCTACATTTAATATATACAACTTAATAAGCATTACTTATGGAAAAAACCCCGCATATCAGAAAATTATCATAACCAAAAACTGACACAGAAACATTAAGCATCAAAAATACGTAGCTATATTTGTGATCAAGCTGGGCATAAAATAACGCCAGGCATAAGCTACAATATTCGGACAATGTTTTTCAAATCATTAAAGCTTCAACAAAAAAAACACACACACACAAACCCACTTGCCTTCTCGAAGAGGAACATTGATTTGAGTTTCAGAGTTTGCAATGATACGGTTGATCACAGTGTGATCTTTTCCAACGACTACACCAACATACTTTCGCTCGATAGAAACCTCTTTTTTATAGTTTTTGAGATCCTTGAAGTCATTCTGTGTAAAAATAACAATGACAATGCGATCAATAGACAGTACAGTAGCTAAGTAAATCATTTCACATTAATGTATTGGTAATAAATAATAAAAAACATGAACACCAAATAAATAATCAGCAAAACGCTCAGACAAATTTTTTGATCAAAAACTGAAAATATTGAATTTCATGCAATGATTTCCACAGTTAGCAGAAGTTTCTTCAAACTTCGGGGGGTGAGTTTCACCGCCAAATGGGCAAGAAAACTCCGGCTCTAGCTTAATCATGCTTTAGCTACATCAGACAGTTTACATGTCCGAAAATTTAAGATATTTCAAAGGAATGAAGAATTCTTTTTGTCATGCAAAGCGAGCAAATTTCTTTCTTTTCATATTAATTTTGTGTTCAATGAATTGACAAACATGTCGCGCCTTGCATACATGAGAGTTTTCAGGCTTAAAGATGAAGCAGAAAATTACAAAGGCTTTATAAAGGCTAGCTGGCCAATGCTCCCAGGTAGAACATACCGTTTCTCAGTAACGGTAGTCCTGGCCAGAGATAAAACTCATTCAAACGTTACTGATAACGCAAGACATGAGAAATACAATAATCGCAAAGAAGTACGTAAGTTTCGACAGTTTGTCCTTGTAGTGATTAACAAAACTATCAATTTTATAGATTAAAAGGAGCCATTTTCAACTTTGGTATGAATACTAAAGCGTGTTGGCTAATAAATCATCGCATATTTTTGAGAACATTTTATGCACTTGCTATAACCGACCATCAGCGATAAACGTCACCGATTCTAACGGCGCTTTGCGATGAATGGTAACTACACTTAACTTACAACTTTTTGTCGTATGAGAGATTCTGCTTGAAGACATTTGTTTTTCTCACCAATGATAACAAGTTGAACAAAATCCCCATGCTGTTCTATAAAAACGAAGGAAGAGATAATAGTTGATAAATTGTGACGAAAATGTTCAACAAACACATTAAAATGCTTTCTACGATATATACAACTAAATAAGCATTACTGTATGAAAAAACCCCGGCTATTTACCAAATACTGACACAGAAACATCAAGCATCAAAAATACATAGCTATATTTGTAAACAAGCTGGGCATATAACAACGCCAGGTATAAGCTACAATATTCAGACAATGTTTGGAACTTTCTAAATCACCACAGCTTCAATAGGAAAACACACAAACCCACTTGCCTTCTCGAGTGGGAACAATGATTTGAGTTTCAGAGTGTGCCATGATGCTGTTGATCACTGTGTGACCTTTACCAACGACTACACCAACATACTTTCGCTCGATAAAACCTCTTTTTTATAGTTTTTGAGATCCTTGAAGTCATTCTGTGTAAAATAACCAAGAAAAAGTGATCAATAGACTGTATGTACAGTAAATCATTTCACATAAATGTATTGGTAATAAATAATAAAAACATAAACATCAAACAAACGATCGTCAAAAATGATCGTCAAAACGCTCTAACAAATTTTTTGAAAACTTGAAATTATTGAATGTCAATGATTTCCACAGATAGCAGAAGGTTTTTAAAATTTGGAGGAGGGGAGGGTTAATCGCCAAATGCGGCTAAAAAACTTCGGCTCTAGCTTAATCATGCTTTAGTTTCATCAGACAGTTTACATGTCCGAAAATTTAAGATATTTAAAAGGAATGAAGAATTCTTTTCCCCATGCAAAGCGAGCACATTTCTTTCTTAATTTTCACATTAATTTTTTGTTCAATAAATTGACAAACATGTCGCACCTTGCATACGAGAGTTTTCAGGCTAAACAATGAAGCAGAAGATTACAAACGTGATATGATTGTGTTTGAATTTTCTTATAAAAGCTAGCTGGCCAATGTTCCCAGGTAGAACATATCGTTTCACAGTAACAATAGTCCAGGCCAGATATAGCTAAAACTCATTCAAACGTTACTGATAACGCAAGACATGACAAAAACAATAATCGCAAAGAAGTGTGTAAGTGTTGGCAATTTATCCTTGTAGTGATTAACACAATTTCCAAATAGTGTAACAACGAAATTTGCAACTTTAACCTCCATTGAAAGAAAAGTTTTTTAAAAAAGACAACAAAATCAAGAAAAGAGTTTTTAACAAATCAACGAAATGAACGAAAGACTTTTCAAGTTCAATATTTAACTGACCTAACATGCTACAACCATAATTGAGTATTGTTTAACTTACAATTGTTTGTCGTATGAGAGATTCTGCTTGAAGACATTTTTTTTTCTCACCAATGATAACAAGTTGAACAAAATATCCAAGCTGTTCTACAAAAAAAAAGGAAGAGATAGTAGCTAGTTGATAAATTATGCCGATGTTAAAACTTCAACAAACACAAAAAAATGCTTTCTACAATAGAGTATACTATGCATGCATGCATGCATTACTTAAGAACTTGCATTCATATCAAGAATCCCTCAATCAAAAACTGAAATGGAAACATCAAACAACAAAAATATATCTGTTATCAAGCTGGGCATATAACAATGCCAGGCATAAGCTACAATATTCGGACAATATTTTGAACTTTCTAAATCACCACAGCTTCAATAGGAAAACACACAAACCCACTTGCCTTCTCGAGCGGGAACAATGATTTGAGTTTCAGAGTGTGCCATGATGCTGTTGATCACTGTGTGACGTTTACCAATGACTACACCAACATACTTTCGCTCGATAGAAACCTCTTTTTTATAGTTTTTGAGATCCTGAAAGTCATTCTGTGTAAAGCAATTTGATTAGTGGGCTGCACAGTAAATTATTTGACATGAATCATGAATGCAGTGGTAGACAACCACTTTGTTATCTTGCAGTATAAGTGACAATCATGTGAAATATTGCAAAAATTATAATGTATATTAGTAGAACCAAAACTACAGAATCATTGAAAAATGTACATAAAAAACATGGACTACTCCATAACTTCCATTTTTGAAATACAAAATGACTTCTCTGACAAAGTGTGTGTCTAATGCTTCATAGTAGCCACCAGTTGCAACTTCAATGCAGATAAATACTTAATGTTTTCTTTATAAGCATTATAAACATAATTAATTAAACTAATTGCTACAATATTACATTGAAATATGCCATCTATCTTAGGGAAAGATTCATTTGAATTAAAGTAACAACTAATTGCTTTGATAGTCTAACTATCTTTCCAAAATTTAACTAAATATTACATAAGCAGTAGACTAGCAGCGAGTGCATGGGCATATCCAGGTGGGGCACAAGAGTGCACATACTTTTTCAGGGATGTAAGAGGATTGAGAATTGAGGGAGCTTATATTCACATAATCGTATGTTATAATCAAAGATCAATCACAATTTACTTCAATAGAAACTGATAAAGTAGAATGTGCCCATATGATTAGCCACCCTCCACCTTCTCTTCAAATTATTCATGTTCTGGCATCCCGCTTTCTGAGCTTAGATATTGTCAAAACTTGTCTAATTAGATCATCAATCAAATTACCAACCAACATGAACTACGAAAAGCTTTATGTCACAAGCAATAATCATATCACAGATATACTTACAACACTTTTCAATATGTCTTTCTGTGCCTGTTTGCAGGCTGTTGGAGAACCACTTATGTTAGAACCTGATTCACCTTTGTTCAATTTTTTTGACATTTTGTTTATTCTTTCCAATAATGTGTTCCATATATAATAAATTGATCAGGCACACAAACAAACATTTTTGTAATGTTGGGATATTTTCAACAAAATCAGTTCTAAAAGAAAGAAAAATATGGTCCTCATTTCTAAATTTAACTCACCAGCAAATACTGTAAATATTACCAATGAACTGTTGCATTTACAGGGCCTGACATACAGACGCTTATTTCTGCTTATGTCAATGGCAAAGTTAACCTCCTTCAAAAAATAAACTTTATAACATTTCAAACTTATACATGAATTTGTTCCATGTTTGTAAATGTAGATCATCCAGGTTGGTATAGTCCTGAGAAGGAATGTTTTTGTTGTTGTTGACTTATTACTGTTGTTGACTTTTGTCGTTGTTGACCATTTACTTTATGAATTTGTTTGTTAGGAAGTTTAAATTTATGTTTGAACATTTTAAATCTAAAATGCAACGGTTCTAGGGGTTATGGATTGCCTCAACAATGTCAACTCCTTTTTTAAAGTTAAAAATAAATCCTCCAGGCTACCACCATAGTAAAAGGTGAGTTTCCACAATCCACACATAAAGGCATTTTGGAATTGGGGGATTTTTGCCACCCACAAAAAATCTTGACAGTGGCATTGATTTTTGTTCACATATTCTATTAAACGCCTGTATTTTTCAGCGTGGTTAACAAAAGCATTTCATTATCACTACAAGAATATGTGCGGTTGCTCCGTTGTGGCCAAAAAAATCAGAGTCTGTTGTCAGTTAGTTCGAACAAACTCCTGTTAGTCAATTAATGACGATGCAGCTATACTAATTCTCGATAATAGAACATGTATATGAGATTCGATCGAAGTTATCACCAAAAACTTGAACTAGAAATAGAGTATATAAACATAATAAATACCTCGGCTTGGTATAGATTAACGCCACCTTTACCAAATCTGATTATAAAGTTCTTCCTTTATCACTTTATCAGTGTTTATGAATGCCCATATTCATAACATGTCAAAGAAACAATAAAGTGCCGACTTAGTAAATGCCATAAACAAATTATTCTGATCACGAGCGAACGAACCGGGGGGGGGGGGAGGGCACGTCCCGTAAAAGGCCAACAAGCTGAAGTGCTTTTTTTGCATAAAAATTTACTTTTTGTTGAAGGTAATAAATTTCAACATCAAAGTTGCTTTTGATATTTAGAAACATTGCAATGGGCCGTTTTTCATAACTCATAAGCTATTTATGTGCATTTGTAAAGTCTTAACGTTAATACTATTTATAATCAAGAGTAGTGCTATTGTCACTTATAACTGAAATTAATAAAGGAAATTTTTTATATTTTTTTAAGAACAGTTTGAATAAGGACACTTTATACCTCACACATTTGAGTGGGTTGTATCCTGGACTCTCCATCGAAGGCACTCATTGGTGGCTCTGCAATAGAAAACCAATATTTTGGGCTGGGGGCAGAGTTAGGGTTAGGGTTAGGGTTAGGGTTAGGTTTTAAGGGCGAGTGGCTGAATGGTTAATGGCGTGAGCTGTAAGCCAGACGGCGCGGGTTCAATCCCGGCTGGTGGCACATTTGGCAATGTGTCTGTAAACCTAGCCCGGGTTGACCAAAGCCATGTGAGGGAAATTTGGTAGAGGAAACTATGTCGTCGGATGGACTGTACCTGCATCTGCATTGTTGCCGCCTTGTCACACGGTGTCACGCTGATATCATCGTTGTGGTTGCGTGAAGGGTACGAGTGATTGTAGTCTGGTCAGCTGCTTTCACTATAATTTCAGTAACCAGGATTTTCCACTTCGTGGAACCCTCATACGTCGAAATCGACGGAGTCCATTATGTAAGAGTCAAGGGGGGTGGGGGGCAAAATCGTTTCCAGGATGTTCAGCTACAGTGGCCGACCAATGTGTCCGACTTTGGCCGACTATGATTTCATTACTTAATTGTATGTATTATGAACTTAGCCCCATATGCTTACCCCCCACCCCAATAATTTGACTGCAATTTTGAATAGAAGAAAAATATTTTCAAAATGGATGGCGGGTAAGTCAAAAGTAGGTACGAAATGCGTACACGTAGGTAGCCAACAAAAATATTTGGCTAAGAAATAAAGTAGATTCAACGAGCATAATTCAAATAAAATTATATATTTAATATTTTTTACCCAAAAATTGTTCAAAATTTGAAAATTTTCTTTTTTCATGACCCAGCAATTGTCTAGTCCTTTCTGCATTTTTCGATGATCCCAGTTTAAGCTTCGATTGCATGTCACGTGACTGCACTCACAAGCTTTGCACAAGAAAATGACGTCATTTAGATTTCTCGCCACTTTTAAAGGGTTTTTTTCTTACTAACTACCATTTTTGCTATAGTTGTGTTTCAAAACAGTTTTCTGAGATGTCGTTCACACAACCGATAAATCGGTTAAATCGATTAAATTCACCATTGTAAGTTTGTGTGAGTAAATCGAGCAATGTGTCATCAATACAAATAATACTGAATTGGTCTAATGGCAGACAGTTCATCGCTCCAAGTACACGAGATGCTAGTACTGATTGCTTGAAATTGATGTTTGTCATTGCCATCTGGTCTACATTAGATCAAATTCATGACTTTAGATGTTAGTTTTTTATGAAGTTTTGTGAAGAATAGGATTGTTCGTTTGTATAACCGATTAATTGAGCTCATGTTTAGTTCTGCTTGAAATATATGACAACAGGGAATATAGTACAAGTCAATTTTTGTGTTGAATGTTTTCACTTAATATTTCTGAAATTTAGGAGCATTTTCTTATGATTACGCCATGTGCTGATGGAAAATCACTTAGGCTTGGTCTTTGTACGAAGACAGACGCTTCTCAGCTCACACTGTCGCATGTACTATGTTGGGTATTGGATTCATTGTCATTCTCTATATGACCTTACACACAGTACAATTTTACGGAGTGTAAAGAACAACTGGGCAAGCTTGAATACTTTATACTAAATGTAGTAAATCGAGCAGATACCAAAAACAGCTAAAATAGCTTTATTTCTACAAAAAAAGGTAAAATTCATTTTTCATTAAGTAAATTAAAGAAGTGATTTATTTCATTTATCGTATGTTTTCACTCAAATCTCTCAACTACATCCAAAACAAACTGTCTTCCTCCGTATGCTTAAGTATTAATTCTTTGTAAGAACCGACGTAACAAAATTTTTAAAGAGATCCGCTTTAGATTTTTAATTCTATTCGAGTACTCAGAGTCAGCAAGTACTCTACTAAAAAATCTGTTTATAGTACTACATAAGAACAGTTCCATATATAATCCCGCAAGAATTATTAACAGAGAAAGAAAATATGCCATGACCAGAAGAGTTAAGACTTGGTTGAGGTATGACCTATCAGTGGTATCGCCCTTCTAAATTTCCAAAAATGAGCAAACAGACAATTTTTCTCTAACAGAGGAAGCAAACAAGTCTGTTCAACAAAATAACAATGGAAAACGCAACTTTGGAACATTAAGCTACTGAAAACAATTGCAAATAAAGGAATAACGACAAGGTTGAAAATGTAAAAAGTTGCATTACATTTTCACGATTTGCTGTGATATTTTTGTAAATCTCTTCTCCTTAGCTGATCTTATTATCGACATTTGTTGGCACCCCTCTTCGGTGCCTATATATGCATGTTCTAGGACTACCGTTTTTCCCATGTAAACATGTCAGCCCCAGTGGTCAGCCCTACTGACAGGGCTAAAAGTAGAATTACCATGGTAAATAGTACGTTCATTCTTCGTTCCTTTGTGCAATGGCGTGGGACAAATGAAGTAATATATTGATAACCAGTAACTTATAGCTGAGTGACAACGATAGAAAAAACAAAAACAGGTAATACAAGAATCGTTATAAATGTTCAGTTAGCCATGTTAGGTTTTTAATTTTACGCAAAACCGCCAGGGACTTATACGAACCATACTCCTGGGTTCAAACCATTTACTTTAAAGTTAACTTCATTAACTGTATATTATAACTGTGGAAATAACTGTTCTGCTTCAATTCATTTTTCTTGACTCATATTCATTTCTGCGCCCCTCCAGAAGTCAACAGCTGGGGGGCTCCGCCCCCCTGCCACCACGCCACTGTCTCTGACCTTCTACGATAACCAAAGAAGTATTCTCTCAGTCAACAAGTGGGGGTCGTTTGACGCTTAAGCCCGGTTTTCATATAATCGTGTCGATGGTTTGTCGTCTGAAAGCGTGCAGGGACGATATCACACGCAATCGTTTCAAGAACAGAGTTCTATCCAGACGATTGTAATCGCCTTCATCGACTCGTTCGTTTCGATCGTCTCGAAAATGTTTCCATAAAAACGCTCTAATCGTCCCTGCACGCTTTCAGACGACTGACGATCGAGACGATTATATGGAAACAAGGCTTTAGATTCCCACCAAACCAAAAATAGTCAAAGTGTTCCACATCAAGGTCAGCTTAACACGTTTGTTTTACTGAGGCCCTATGTCCTTTGTGAAAAGGTGAGTACTTCGTGTACGTTCCTCGGTGAGCAGCGACATTCGTGTTTTTCTGCACAACTAGAACAAAATGAATTATACCCGTTTTTTATTGACATTCTGAATCTCCCTGGATTGTCATCAATGAGTTGCTCGACATTTTCAATTATTGTAAACTACCATTATACTTATATATAGCACACTTTCACATAAAGTAATTTATAGACAAATCATTATGATTCTAACACAACTCAATTCAACTTGCCCTAAAACATATATATGAGAGTTATGAATTTGACTTAATGACTGACCGACCCTCTCCTCTTAACCAATTTATCGGCAGACGTTGGTAATTTTCAGAAGTTACTACCAATCAATGTTGCCCAATGGGTGGTTTTCCCACCAATTGGGCTGGTTTATAAGCCTGTTTGCGGGAAATTTTGGGAGGTTGCGGGTTGCGGGTTTTGGGCTGGGAATAACTTTTGCGGGATTTTTGGGCTGGAAAAAATTTGATGATCTAGCCTCCTCGTGTTTTGTTTTGTCGTGGTAAACAGCAATTGTGCTAATCTAACATGGGAAAGTGGGCAAAATACCAGAAAAAGTATTGTAAAGACCGGGAAAAGGAAGAAATCTTGAAAGAATGGATTTTGAGTGTAACAGGAGATGACCAAAAAGCATATTGTAAGTACTGCAAAACTCAAATTCGAGCACATCATGGGGATCTAGTTTCCCATGCAAAAACTGAGAAACATAAGCGCAACAAGCAACCTTTTTCCAGTTCAAGAACCTTATTTGAGTTAGGTTGTCAAAGTAAAAAAGTAGACAGTTCTCTAAAATTTACAGAGATAAAGATTGCTGCCCACATCGCGTGTCATTCTAGCTTAAACACCGTGGATCATCTTGGCGAGTTATTTAAAGATGTCTCAGGGAAAGATGTTAAACTCCACAGAACAAAGTGTACTGCATTGATTAAATGTCTGTCAGGACCAGCAATGTTAGAACAGCTACTTCAAGAATTGGTCGATATCCCTTATTCACTTATTATAGATGAAACATTGACATTGGCAATGAAAAACAACTGTACTTTATGGTTAAATATTACAGCATAGCCAAACAACAGATTCTCACAAGCTTCCTTGGACTTTTGTCTATTGAATCAGGAACGGCAGAGGCCATTTTCAAGCCATAATTGAATTTTTGAGAGCAAAGGAACTTGATATCAAGCAGTGTATAGGCTTGGCCACTGATGGGTGCAACACAATGTGTGGAAGGAACAATTCTGTAATCACAAAATTTCGTGAACTATGCCCTAACATAATACATATAAGATGCATTTTTCATTCTATCCAACTTTGTTCCTCGCATGCTCTTAAAGTAATGCCCCGGAATGTGGAGTTCATGGTGTCAGAAACGCACAACTGGTTTTCTCATAGCACTTCTAGGCAACGAAAGTATCGCCTGATACTATCAACGTGGGGGAAGCACCTTTGAAGATTTTAAAGCTCTCCGACACACGTTGGCTATCTATTTCTGCATGTGTTGACCGAATACTCCAACAGTTTGACGAACTGAAACTACACTTTCAGCTTGCCGAAGATGAAGATCGCAACTACACTGCAGAATTACTTTTTCAAATGTATAGTGACATGGAGAATACATTATATCTAATTTTTCTGCAGCCTATCCTTAAAGAATTAAACCGAGTAAATAAGCTGTTTCAGCCAGATTCTGCTAACCCGTTGCAACTCCTCACTTATGTTATGAGTTTTTATAAAGCGTTTCTTTTCCGTACTATGAAGCCTGTGACCTTTACAACATGGTGCTCGATTCTCATTTACGACATAGAGGATGAGAGAAATCATTTGCCTCTTTCTGCGGTCGACTTTGATATTTTATTTCAAGTGGCATTGGCGGAATCAAATTTAACTTCTGAAAAGG